ATCAAAATCTCATATGAAATAGATTAAATAATGCGATATATTATTCACGGTAGTAGTAGATAGACAAGCAGAAGCAGATTCAATATTATAAGCTTTGAAATTTTTAGAATTTTTAATTCGTCAGATTGAACGTGTACCTTTACCACTGATGGACGCAATAAAGCTGGAACTCTATTTTCGCTGTACCATACAATGTAGTATATAGTAGTACCATACTAATACTATACCATGGTATATGGTACTATACGATACTTTTTCCCGTACTCATCCATAATCTCTCAGTGCATTTGAATGGTGAATTAGAGCGAGGCTTGATCGAGTGCGGAATCCGATTATCTTTCGATAAAGACTAATGCGTGCGTCGACACAAATCCTTTCATTTCTCTCAACTTGCAATTAATTAATTTTTCTAGTTTCATTTATTCTTATAACCAACAAAATACTTATCAATATTAATCTAATTTCATTTCTAATTTATAGTTTTTAGTTGAGATAATAATAATAATAATAATAATAATAATAGCAAAACTGTATAATAAGTCGGATAACGATGAGGAGCTTTGTAGGTTTAATATAAGGTCATCTAGCGGTCGTACGAGCGCAGTCGCATTAGTTTAAAGTAACAGCGATGTACAGGACAATCAAAACCTGATGGGCCATGATTCGCTATGATAATGAACCATGAATTTATTATGAGATGAGAGCGAGACTGGGGACTCCAACTCCTCGCTTCGCTCATGGCTCTCTGACGACCCGCAAATCATTCGCCACGCCCGTTATATCCGTTATTATCTAAAGCTATCTTTATCCTTTTTTGGCATTAAAATTAACAATAAACTATGCGGTAAGGTTGCTAATTAATCATCATAATTATGATAATAATTGTTAATAAATGTATAGTTGAAGAGGTAATAGTGGTTTCAATTTCCTATCATGGTTGTATAATGAAATGTTTGAACAATTATTTTCAATCTTCATGAGTAATAGGCTACTGCGGATGTTATTATGGAAATTAATTCTTTCAATGTAATATTTTCTTACGGAAATCAGCGCTAAGAACGCAAAATAGAAATATTGTTATGAATACACGGCGCGGAAAAGAAAAAAAAACCACTTGATTCAAAAGGAATATTCTTGATCCAAAAAAATTATTTTCATTCAAGAATTCTTTATCTTAAAACTCGTTTTCTTAGCTTAAGAAACTCTACAAGTTCGATCAAAAGTATATTATCTTCGTGAGATAAGATCAAATTCTTCATAAAAGAATACAATATCTTTCAATTATAATTGAATTTTTCTAAAAATAATACCGTTCACATTCAAGGGGACCCGGTGGTCTAGCGGCCTAAAATTTAAGCTATTTTTACAAATTTTATTTCTATGTGAAGGTAATGACTAATGCTTTCAAATTTTTTTACACTTATTCTAATACTTATCAACTACACAAAAATGAAAATCAAAACCAAAAAAAAATTTTTTTTAAATTAGAAAAATGGCGCTGAAGTCCCCCTCTCAAAAAAAAATGGATCTGACTGGTGGAAGTAGATTGATCTCTCCCTCTGATCTGAAATTAAAAAATATGACTGATTTTTAATTAGTACAAGTATAGTTATCGTCGGTACTAGAATGAAAAAAAAAAAAAAAAAAATATTTGACAAAATGGCGCGTAGTTAAAAATATTTTTTGAAAACGAATTTCGGATTTTTACTTTAAACTACGCGCCATTTTGTCAAAAATTTTTTTATTTTTTTCATTCTAGTATACACGATAACTATACTTATACTAATTAAAAATCAGTCATATTTTTTAATTTCAGATCAGAGGAAGAGATCAATCTACTTCCACCAGTCAGATCCATTTTTTTTTGAGAGGGGGACTTCAGCATCATTTTTCTAATTAAAAAAAAAATTTTTTTTGTTTTGATTTCCATTTTTGTGTAGTTGATAAGTAATAGAATATAAAAAGTAAAATAATAAAAAACAGAAAACACTTCTATGGTTTAGTGGCGCCATAACTCTAAGGTGAGGAAAAAAGATACTATAATAAAATGTATAGATAGATATACAAAAATCCACAGTCATATATTTGTTTTTTATAAATAATAATTTAACGGCAGTGAATTGAACGCTCATGTTAATTAAGAAAATCCGTTGTGTGTTACTTTAGATAATAAAAAAAAAATTATTCCGGTACAATCATTTTTTCGACCAATTTCCCTGCCACATACACCCATTCATACACGGACGTCCAAAAAAGATTATGTTTAATGTTATTATTTATTATGTTAAACAAAAAAATTGTTATTGAAATATATTTTATGTGCCTGAAAAATTATTTGACTTGACATAAGTGTACTCATTTTAACCTGTAAGTGCGATATAAATAACAAAAAATCAATTTCAGTTTCGAGAAAACTGCTTTTTTCGAAATGTCGAGAGTAGCGCACAACCTCAACGCTTCGCTTATGAGGCGTGCAATTATTTTGTTTGAAAATAGTAAAATCGGATTTTTGCGGTTTTTATGAGATTTAATTGAAATTTATTCATCAATAAACAGTTTCATCGAAGTTGAATCGATACTCAAAAAATTTATTGAATGATGTGATAATTTCTGTAAAAAAAATTTTTACAGTGTACTCAACAAATAAAACAATATTTGAAAAATTTTGTAACTATGGTATAAAGCATACATTTATTTAAACTAAGAGGACAAAGCTTTCGCGGGATTTTACCAAGCTCTGAGTAACTTTGTAAAGTTTTACAATATATAGAGTATGGAAAGAATCCAAGTGACGCGTTGATAAGTCAAGGCAAGGCAAAGAAAGTATAAAACAAGAAAAAAAAAGAGAGAGAGAGAGAGAGAGAGAGAGAGAGAGAGAGGAAGTACGGAGTGTGTGTAACAAGTGGAGAGTAAAGAGTATAGAGATAACGGTTTACTACCACTGCTACTGCTTTGAGGGTAAAAGTAACTATAGAATACAAAAGACAAAGAGAAGCGACGGAAGAAAAAGTTAAGTACAAGAGAGACTGAGAGTGTGTACGCTAGTAAGAGTGAGAGAATGGTTTAGACATTGTGAAGGATAAGGTGTATAGAAGGTGGTAGGTATAGTAAGGGTTGAGTTGTATGTGGTCTATAGACTTAGAGTATGTAGACATATATCGAGATGGAGGGTTGATACGTTGGCTTTGCTGTATAGGGAGATGTGCGTGCGTGGGTGCGTGGTCGTTGGTCTTTGCGTTTGAAAGCGAGGGAGTTCAGTACACCAGAGTAAGAGTGAGCAGAGTTGAGTTCTAGTCTCTACTCGAATAAGCGCGTTGAGAGAATGCGGGGGTGGCAGTTGGTGCTGCCGCGTGGCCCGCATTGGCTGCTGAATTATAAATGAGTGGAGCGTAAGGGCTGTTGCTTGGCAACGCGTGCGCAGCGCTAAGACAAAATGGAGGATTTCTCGCGCAGTTTATAGATACAGATGAGTTGGGCTTGCTGTAGGCTCTACAAGCTCAAGGAAAGTGCTTACGATCGTTTCATTCGCTTCTGTCTGGTATTCAATTCATTGTTCTTTTATTTTATTTTATAATTTTAATACAAGAGATTAGAAAAAGTATATTCGTGAATACAGGTACTCATTATCAATTGATAATGAGTTATTTTTATTGGTTTATAAGTATTGTTTACTTTTAGAATAATACTTTTTAGTTTTTAGTGTAAGGATACACAACACTAAACCAGCAAAATTTTTACATACTTTGTAATTATTTCAAACTAAAATGCTTCGCTCAACAATAAAGTTCTTGACTGGAGTCTTTTAGTTCTTTGACGAAAATTTTAATTTAGAGGTTTAAAGTCCATATTTGACCTAATATGGTCATACATGCCAAGATATAATTTTTTGATTGAAAATAGTGCTAAAAATCTCCGACAGGGGATGCATGATCGCTGAATCGTTTCCTTACAAGAGATTTAAATTTGAATTGTTAAAGAGGTTAAGTTTTAAATTAAAACGTAATTTTTTTGACTAATTATAACAATATATGATTATGTTTTTTATAAAAATTTTAATTCAATAAATACAAATAAATCAAATACATTAAATATTAAATTATAAACAAAACAAGATCTAAAGTAGTTAAGCCAAAACGGAGAACTATCAAAATCGCTACGTTTAATCTCATTTAATTAAATAGTAAAAATTTATAAATGATGTAAAAACGAAAAAACTATTGATAAAGAGATTTTAAATACTGAATAATTTTTTGACTCTATCAACAAGTTTATTTCATATTAATTTTTAATTTAATCAACTATAAAATAAATCATTTTTTAATACGTCTTAATTGGCGTACATATGTCTAGAAAAATAAAAAATTGAATTTTAATAAATTATTATTTCATTTATGTATATATAACCTGATTTGGTACTATCAAAAATGTTTTCACAGGAGAGAATGTGAATTCTTTCGACCAAGAGAACAAAATTTTTTACTTTATAAAAAAAATTCATTAAATTTTTTATTGGATTTCATATCTTTGAAACTATAAAAAAAACCGATAAAAAAAATAAAATGAAATAACAGATAAGAAAACTCAATTAATTTTTAAATTTACAATTAAAAGTTTCTAAGACTAACGCAATTTATCTGACACAATAATCTAATTTATGTAAAAATTACTATATTATATAAGAACACAATTACAAAATTACAATTGAGTTTTACTGAATTTTATTGGCTTCAAACTAAATAATTTTGTAAAAATTTTCACCCACACAGAAATGTATGCTTCAAAAATATTTTTTTTTTCCATAGAAATGAAGAGCCATTAATCTATATTTGACTGCAATAAAAAGTTATACCGTCAAAAATAAAATTTAATTACGATAACATATTATGACCGATTATTTTAGAATGAAGTTTATTCGAGAGTTGACAAATAAGAAATTATCACCAATTTATGAGTGCGTAATTGTGCTTTGCCGATACTTTGTTAATGTAAAACTGTTCATTATGTATACGTGGTTAATTGTATTTTTTAGTTTATCAACTATTATTGTGCCTAATCATTTAACGGAAGCATGTTTAAAATGTTCAAAACATACATATAGACCATATTCGAAGCGTCTTAAACATTTAGCCAGATTACCAGGTTCAAGAAAATTAAATGACCTTGCGTTAATCGGGACGCACTCATCATTCTCGTACAGAACGACCTCAGAAAAATCAAAAACTCAAGACCTTAACATCGAACAACAATTGCAATACGGGATAAGAGTTTTAGACATTGAGGTGAAGCCAAAATGTAATTTATTTGAACTTTATGTGAATAACATTTCAGACAAAATATATTTTCATGATGTATTTATCCCAATACATAATTTTCTCAATGATAATCCTGGTGAATTTATAATCATACATATCAATCAAGTTCCAGATTCAATTATAAATAATAGTAATCCAGTTTACCCTAATTGTAAAATAATTGATTTTCACATTAAAAATATCTATGGTGGATGGTATTTAACCAAAAACTGGACACTTGAAGATCATATTGAAAATCATCGAGGTAAAATTCTACTCGCAACTTCTGATGAATCATTTTCAAACTGTGCTTTCAACATTAAAAAACATTGCCATGTACAAAGCGACCAAGTTATTCGTAGGTATAAAAAGTCACCAAATTTTTTCCATAAATGGGATTTTATTGCTAGTTCGATTGAGTACAGTAAGCTAAAAAGTGATCACCGATGTTATTTGAACGATATCAGTTTTAATAACCACCAACAGAGTCCTCGATCTTTTGCAATAGATGGTGGCTATAAATTACAATCTGAATGTGCTCAACCAATTAACAAGCTAATGACAGAAAAGTTCATAAATCCACACCGTGCTTTGATAATCATTTTTGCTGATTTCGTAACTCAAGAATTAATTGATTTGATTAATAGCAGTAATTTTTTACAGTCACCATGGCTAGATTAAAATGGAGACTTTGGTATGACTTCTTTTCAAAGAAAATCGTTAGCAATCATTTTTTAATCAGACCATTATAGACTGATACGATTATTAATGGGTTCTTTGAAGAACACTTTTTCAATTGTGATGGAGTACAAGGATGGAGTGAAAAATCTTTTAAGGAAACACTCCAAGCATTAATCTCGGCTAGTAAACATAATAACTGCAGTCGTCAATACAAAATAAATACCATCAAAATTTTCAGAGTTAAATTTTTTAATTCATTTGATTATTATTTAACCAATTAGTTCTTTATCCCACGACATAATTTCTTTACTTCAAAAACATATTTTTTTTTATTGAAGTGAAGACCCATTCAACAATTTTTTTATAATACTTGGGTATCCTTTGATAAAAAGTTATATCGTCAAAAATAAAATTGAAAAGCGATAACATACTATAAAAAATTATTTTAAAATATAGTTTATTTCAACGTTGACGAATAAGGAGATATAAGCATATCTAAGCACAAATTTGTGTTCTGTTAAAAATTTTTAAACTTACAATTGTTCAATATGTATGAGTAGTTGATTGTATTTCTTGAGTTGATCAGCTGATATTGTGTCTAAATTTTTAAAATAGAAGCTTTTCTAAGTTGTTCGAAGTACACATACAGACGACATTCGAAGCGTCTTTAGTAATATCTCTTCATGATTTTGTCATTAATCTCAATATCTAAGTGGCTCGATAATAATCGAAGTGAACTCATAATTTTACACATTGACCAAAATTTTAGTCGAATAATATTTGATAATATTCCAGTTTACACCAATTCTAAAACAATTGATTGTTACATAAAAAGTATTATGGAATTTAAAAAAAAACTGGACACTTAAAAATTATATTGAAAATCATGGAGATAAAATACTGCTGACAACTTCTAATGAATCATATTCAGGGTGCGCTTTCAATATTAACAGACATTGTCATTGGACACAATTAGCAAAAGAAATTTTCTACAATTGCCATGGCTAGAATAAAATGAAAACTTTGGTACAACATTTTTCTGGAAAAATGTATTCACAATCAATTCTTTTATCACGACTTCATGGACTGTTACAATTACCAATGGTTTGATTAAAAGGAGCTCGAATTGTGAAAAAATACCAAGATTCAGAGTAAAAACATTAAAGAGGATATCTCAATTATTGATTCCGAATAGTGGATATAATAACTGCAATTCTAAATTGAAAAAAAAAAAAAAACTAATACAATAAATTTCTTCACAGTTGAATTTTATAATTGGTTTGATTATCATTTAATTGATGTGCGCCTCATTCCACGATATCATTTTTCGTTTCAAAGTATATTTTTTTTTATTGAAATGAAGAGTCATTAGTAAGATTAATAAGATTAATTAATATCTGAGTCTCCTGTAATAAAAAGTCGTTCCGTCAAAAATAAAATTTAATTGTGATAAAATTCATGACCCATTATTTTAAAATAAAGTTTAGTCGGGAGTTAACAAACAAGTAGCCATTACCAATTTTTGAGTGCGTAATTGTGCTTTGCCGATACTTTGTCAATGTAAAACTGTTCAATATGTATAAGTGGTTAATTGTATTTTTCAGTTTATCAACTGTAATTGTGTCTAATTATTTAACGGAAGCATGTTTTGGTTGTTCAAAACATACATACAAACTATATTCGAAGCATATAAGAAACATAGCTAGATTGTCAGATTTAAGAAAATTAAATGATCTTGCTTTGATTGGGACGCACGTATCATTCTCATACAGGACGACTTTGGAAGAAATAAAAAGTCAAGAACTTAATATCCACCAGCAATTGATGTCCGGGATAAGAGTTTTCGACATTCCTGTAAGGCCAAACGGTAACTCATTTGAACTCTGTATGAGTTACATTTCTTTGAATATAGATCTTCATCGAGCATTAATTCCAATGTATAAGTTTCTCTATAATTACCCTCGTGAATTTATAATAATGAATATTTATCAAGATCCTGATTCAATTATGTCTTATAATGAGCAATTTTACACCAATTGCGAAATAATTGATTATTACATAAAACATACTTATGGTGGACGGTTTCTAACTACAAATTGGACACTTGAAGATCATATTAAAGATCATCGAGGTAAAATACTGGTCGCCACTTCTGATGAATCATTTTCAGGATGTGCTTTCAATATTAACCAACATTGTCTAGTTCAAAAAGACGAGATGGTTCACAAGCATAAAAAACCGCCACATATTTTTAACAAGTGGGATTCTATTTCGAATTTGATAAAAGACAGCCAACGTCATTTTTTTAAATGTTATGTTAACGATATCAGCTTTTCTAACGGCATACATACCCGCCGAGCTATTGCAAAAGATGGTGGCTACGACTTCCGGTCACAATGTCCTCGACCAATGAATGAAATAATGGCGGAAAAATTCATAAACCCACATCGTGGTCTGCTACTCATTTTTGTTGATTTCGTAACTCAAAACTTGATAGACGTTGTTCATAATAGTAATCATTACCATCACCATCATGCTTCGCATCATGAGTCGTGCAATTCTTTTCAATAAAAAATAAATATAAAAAGCTGTTTCAGATATTCTCAATTTTACTTTTAGTTTTAATTCATATCTCAGATTATTGTACTGTAAAATAAAACTTGTACTTGTCATTTTTTAAATAAATAAATAATAGACGTCTACATATATATAAATCAATTTTTTTTAATAGCTGAGTCAATCATTAAACATTAACTAGAAGAGTAAAAATAGTTTAAAAAATCCAGTCAGAAATTTCCTTGCTTCTGTGGTTTTAATATAAAAACACAAAAATAGTATAGAGGAGAAGGGGGTCAATTGAACCAAAAAAAGTTTAGTAATTTTTTACTATTCGAATTAAAACTAAATAATAATTTTTTTTTTCTTGGAATGGTAGTTTATTAAGTTTACTATTATTATCAATACATAAATTCGTCAATAAACAACGTGAATTTTTAAAAATTATTATTTTATCCAAACGCGTCGAATGGTTCAATTGACCCTCGCTCGGGGGCAATCGAACCACTGCTTGGGATCAATTGAACCAATAATATTTAAAACTCAAACCCGATTTTTTAATAAATAATACATAATTGTAACTTGCTAATATTAATGTTGCACATTTTTAATGCACAGATATTATATTAAATAATTTAAAAATCAATTTAAAAATAATTTTCATTATTAATTCAGTTCATCAAATTGTTAGGTTATTTCTCTGAGTATTTTTCATGTAGAGTCAAGATGCGCGCGCATGTTCCATGCTTCTCCGTATGGTTCAATCGTCCCCGGAACTGCTGGTTCAATTGACCCCATATAATTTTAAAACAATTAATAGCAAATAATAAATAAATAAACTATTATATCACTATAAACAAAGTTGAGGATTATAAAGTATAAGTATATACAACTACTACAATTCAAATTTTATCAATTAATTAAAAAATTGATATATTATTAAACAATTTGTCACCAGTCGAAAAAAAAAGTTTACATGCCTAAAAATAAGAAAATCTCGATTTTTAAAAATTTATTAATCGCAATGATTTCAAATTTTGATCATATCCGAGTTTAACGTATTAGAATCTAATTCTAATAGCATGAAGCATTTTTTCGATTTTTTAAGTCGAATGGTTCAATTGACCCCCTTCTTCCCTAGCTCGAAGCTTGAGCTCTAACAAATAATAAAAAATACATTCCTGAGTTATTATCAAAATCTTTCCGTTATTATTGTCTCTCGATCAAATAAATCAATTAAATTGATTATTTAGCGTAACAAATAATTCTGAAATGGTTATCAGTTTATTTTTTAAGTATTTAATGAATCCTCAGACAAACGCTCAACTACACCGGTGCTATATTTATAAATAGTCACGATTATTTTTTGTTCGAACATTCTATCTAAAATACTTGAATCTATTTCATAGAAAAAAAAAAAAAAAAAAAAAACTAATTGGTTTTTTATTGCTCTATCAATTTGTGAAGCTATTTATAAATATATATAATTTAAAAGAAAAAAAAAACGAAATCAGTTTTATGTACACTGATGGAAGAATTTTTTTTCTTGTTTACGAATTTATTACTTAGAAAACAATTTATTTATTTATTAAGTACAACTAATCGTTTTTATAAATTTAATGTTTACTATTCCGGAAGAAAATCACATTTATTTACAGTTAATAAATATTCATTATTAACAATTATCAAATTTTTTTTTTCATTTTTGAGTCAACGTGTCTTGCTTAAGATGCGATATGAAGAACATTCATTAACAAATAGAACCATAACCATTTTTAATAAAGATACACTAATTATTTTCAACGCAAAAAAAAATTTTTAATTTGTTGCAACCATTGTTTCATTATTCATGATATTTCTTCTATTTTAAAAAAAAAAGCTATTAATTTGCCTGATCTAATGGAATTCTATTATCGATTGAAGTTATGACGTTATAAAAAGTGTCGAAGTAAAATTTTTATATTCACTTTATTTTTAGGGTCCAAAAAAAATCGGCTGTGCCATTTCAAAACACATTAACTGCAAATTTTTCGTGCATATTTTTTTCAGTATTGTTGCATTTTTTAGTATTTTTAAGAAACCAATCTGATAGTTTTTTTCTTGAAAACTTTATTAGTAATATATCTTTTGCCTAAATCAAATTTTTTATCAATCGAAAGTGTAGACTTGTTTCTTTTTTAAAAAAATGTGAAAAAATCAAAGATCTGTAAATTACTGTATTTCGAAATGGGACAGCCGAATTGTTCATAAAAGTGTTTATTAACAATTAATAAAAAAAATTGTGTTTAATAAACGATTCATTAAAAGTAAATAAATTTTATTCAATGAACGATTTATTAATTATTAATAAAGCTTATTAAATGATAACAAATCCTTCTATCAGTGTAAGCCCACAAAAAAATTACTCGATTGAATTAAATTCTATTAATATATATTTTTTAATAAAGTCAAAACTTAAAATATTACAGTGTCAGCCCATAAAAAAATTACTCGATTGAATTGAATTCTATTAATATATATTTTTTAATAAATTCAAAACTTAAAATATTATCAATTTTCTTGAATTAAAGAGTCCTCATTATAACTTGATGTTTTTCATAAAATATAATAGTATTATGAATTGGAACAAAAAAAATTAACCTGAGTAAAAACATAAGTAAAAAATAAATTCCCCTAAAGCTACCAGACTAAGATTGAACAAAAATGACTGACAGGGTCGAGTCCCGCGCCACCATATATCTCAACAATATGTTTATATTAGCCGTATAATGAATTCACGCTGTGAATGTACATACACTCGATCAACAGACACCAGCAGAGAAGTATGGATATAACGCCAACTCCCCTGTTAAGCTACTCTACTCTCCTGAACTATGATATGATAAACTAAGCATAGATGTTGTATGTTGTATGTTATACTTAGTACTCCCACTTTTAAGTTGGTGCGAACAGGTTGCGGCAATAAGGGGTGAATCAATCGGTGGTAGATCGGATCACGTGGAAGTAATCCAAAGAGCGTCATAGAGCACAGTAAGTAAATCTATCTATCCATCTCTCCAGGATATTATATTTAATTCTGTCTTGTCTATAGTCTATAGTCTGTAGTTTAGCAGTATATGGACAGATATCGAGACTCGCAGATGCTCTTTTGTCAGCAGATGAGCTTCTGAGTGCCCCAAGGGGGACCACAAGCTCACGATGAGCGGCGACGAAAATCTAAGGGGAAAAATCGTTCCGCTCTTCAATGACTACATGGCTCTCAAAGTAAGGGAGTGATCCCACAGGTCTTGATCCCTTCACTCTATCTAACTTACATATATCTGTATATACGTATGCATGTGTATTGTATGTATTATGTATATATTTATATTTATACTCTCGGGTCCATACAGTTCTCAATACTAATACATGCTTTTTCTGCAGGTCTTGACATCGGGGACGCCCTTATATTTTACCCGACAATACCAAACTATTTTATATCGCTCAAACGCTCGTTTGCACTTGTTTGTATAGATTATTATCGCTCGCACTTATGTCCACGGGGTATATTGTATGCGTATATTTACCAACAGTACCTCGGGCTAATGAGATCGGGGGATAAACAAATGTTACGACATAAAATCATTTTTATATTATGTTTCTTTTGTATCAAAAGATTTCCTTTTTTTTCTATTAATAATTTGTTTTTATTACTAGTTCCGTATAATCCTCAGTAAAACCTCTTGATTTCGGTTTTTGTATGGATTTTTTATCCTTTCATATTGTAAATGCCTAAAACAAAGTTTTTTGGCTTGAATGATGTTCTGTTATATTTGAGATAATCCCAGAACTTTAGAAAAACTTCAAAAAAGATTATTTAGAGTGAAATTTTAAAATCGAATAGATTCGCCAAAAAATTAAAAAAACTCCAAAATTTCTTTTCTTATAAGTTGAACCGTATCCTAGGATAACTTTTTAAGAAATAAATTTTTTCTTTAATTTTGTCGGAAAATAGAAATCTGCGATGAGTGACCTCTAAATATTAATATTAAAAGTTTCGCTTTTTACAAGCATCTTTTTTCACGTTTTCTAAAGTATTTCAAAAAAATTTTAAAAACAAAAAATAGTCACTTCTTTGAACCAGTTTAAGTTATATGTTCTGAAAAGACATAGGGTCAAGTTGAAAAGTTGAAAATATTAGTGGATGGAAGCTCAGTTGACCCAAATCACTCAAACATAAATAATTTTTACCAACGATCCCAAAAAGCAAGATTGAAGCTACAAGATGGATTACTACCAAAAATTGATGAATTCAGATATTGTTCATCAACTCAAATTGTATTAATCGAAGAATAGTCTAGAGAACGTGGGCAATTTAATAATTTTCCTCGCAAATTTGATTTAAAAGTTTATTGAGTGTGAAAATCTGATGAACTTTAACGGTGAGTTCGATTGAGACTACCTGATGGGTCACCATCAAAAATGTAAACAAGTTTCGAAATTTTTATAGAATTCTGATCAATTTAATGGTCGTTCTTTACAAAATAATTTTACGACCATAAGAATTTTAACAATTTTAGTATGAAAGTTAAACGAGCTGTTCTCGATTTTCGACGGGCCTTATGCATCAAAAAAATATACTAGTGATTAGAAAAGGTTCAAAAAAGACTTAAGCACGGGAATTGTACTTGAAATTGTTGTTATTTACATTTCATAAAAATATCAATTTAAAAAAAAAAATAATTATAAATTTTGTCTCCCAAGTTTCATCAAGTCTAATTTAAATTTATTATTATAATCTAGTATACAAACGGTAATGCTTTAAATGTGACAATTTTATTCAAAATAAATGTTCTCGATATTACTGATAAATTGATGGTTTCATTCGTGATTATGATTATAAATTATGAATAATATAATAACTTTGATAACATGGTGACATATAAAAAGTTACTTAGGCTTAACATATATACCAGCGAAAGTTACTTCGGAAAGTCAAAGGTGATTAGGTATGAATAATAAATCTAACTGATGTCAAAGATTTTCTGATAAATTTACTAGAAAAATTTAATATGTATAGGCAAAACGTACAATATAGCATATTTCACATAACAGTTACAACAGCAACAACAACACATCAGATCACGGATAAATAACAAAAAATAAAAAAATTTAAAAAAAAAGCAATAGGCACAGAACATACGAAAGGGGGGGATACCTCTTCTCGTTTTTTATTCCCGTGGGTTTTGAAATCCCAGGCGGTTATATCGACCCTCATAATATTTACGAGCCGGAGCACCGACACGAGTCGAAAGCACATACTTGTTTCTATCTTTTTTTTCTTCACTCAATATATGTTCTCTCTATTACTCTTATCGTGTATCGTCTTGTCTTGTCTATCTAGTAATATACAACAAGTTCTGGCGCTATAACGGGAAAAGAGCGCGCAAAACGCATATAAAATCACACTTGAAAACAAAATATTTGAATTTATATGCATTTTATAACTCGATCTTTTGCTCACAGTACTCCCTTAGGTAGTATTTTTTCTCAATAATATTATAAACATCCGCGTAAAAATCATGATCAGTATGTATAAATATATTTAAAAAAAAAAAAAGAATAGCATATTTGGAAGGCTAAGGCTAGAATATGAGCACTAAAAATTGTCAAAGCTTTTAACATTTTACCTCAACTTATTTTGTTCAATCCATAGTTTAGATATTTATTACGATATTGACGAGCAAAGTAGGAATAATATTTTACGATAAAAGTTATCTTATATTTATAAATTATATTCATTTAGTTGTCTATTTATAAAAAATATACTGAGTAAGTCTGAGTAATATGATACGACAATAAAATTTTTTTAACAACCTTTTATATTTTTTTCTGACCCCTTGTACGAATTTACAGGACAGAGTCTAAAATCTTAAAAGCTTGCAAAGCGCATTGAATTGGGATTATGAATAAGGGATACGCAAACCCCAGGGGTGTCGATGGATGAGATGAAGGTACAAGTGATGGAGGATAAGGTAAAAAGAAGAAAACGCGTAGTTCCTAAGAGTGGTAAGGAGATAAGGGGGTAAAACATGACAGGGTGGAAAATATCCGGGGAATAAACATGCTTGTTGCTCAAAGATACGGCCAACATATGGGATATGCATTGTTATGTTTTAACTTTACATTTGTTTGAAAAAGTGAAATGTTTACTCCGTTACATGGACAACATACATAACTGGAACACTCTACTGTCTTGTGTGAATAGAAGCTACTGACTAAATTTATTTCAGTATTCAACTCTAAAAAGTCTTACAAAAGTATAACCTATGGTCGCATGATTCCTACCGACTTTTGAGAAACATAAAACAAGAAAAAATGTCGAATTTAAAGCAAAGTAAAATATCGTCGTTATACGATTATAAGATATTAACTTAATTACCCAAATATATCTATGGTATCTAATAAGAAATATTATTAGTCTCATGTACAGATATTTTAAATATATGTATGCGTAAATGAATAAAAAAATTATATTCTCAACTACAAAATTTTGTTTAACCCAATTAATCACATGACACTGAAGTTGAAAGACACTCGAATTTTTTTTTTAAATTTTATAGCAATGAAATTATTATAAAAAAAATTTCACGTGTGAAACTAAAAAAAATTATTAATGGAAATTTTTTAAAGCATTTTATAGCACTGCGTGTCCTAAATTCGTATTTAGGACCCTCTCAACTGTTGACTTAAATAAACAATTATGAAACGAGTAGAGAGGAATCTTTTAGGATACGGGCTCATATTTAAAATCAATCCATAGATTTCTGCTCTAAAAATTTGACTTTCACAGCAAAAAAAAATAAAAAAAAATATTTAAAAACATTCAAAGCCCCGAAAAAATAGAAAATAATAAATAATTAATAATTAAAATTACATCTTTTTGTCGGTTATGATTTAATCTGAAGTATGCTAAAACCTCAATTAATGATTCTCAAATGTTTTTTATTAATATAACGATTTTGCTCAGTCGTAAACATTATTCTGTAATAAATATGGACAGTGATAATGATTTAGACGATGATTATAATGATTTTGTTCCTGACGAGATAAAAAAAAAGGGGGAAGAATATAGCTTGAATATAGCAATTTTTTATGAATAATTTTTTGGAATAAATTTGTTTGTTAGAGAAAATTAAAAAATTATAAAGTGACAGCTAAATTTAATGTTATTTAATTTTATATATTGATTATTTCAATGTGTGAATTTATTTTTTGTTAATTCATACTAATCACTTTGGATTTATTATTTGATATATATTTGTTTCTTTTTTTTAACTTTTTATTTGTTTTTTGAGTCCACATATATCGCCGCATTTGTAATAAAAAATTTTCCTTAATTAATTTTTATATTTAAATTTGAATAAAACTGAAGACGAATTTAGGACACTGGTGCTACAAAATAGTGTAAGATACTCGTGGTTTAAATAAGCGATCATTCACGGCGTGTTGTACTATTACTTTGTTGTAATTAATTTGTTGGAAAAATTGACGATTGTCAGCTAACTTCAGTTAGATATTAATCACTTATTTTAATATACATATACTTGGTATCCAGCATTTCATTATAAGACCTATACTTATACTTTAGATTTTCATGTATTCAATTTTTTCATTATTAAAAATCACTCAATTTTAAATTCAGAAAAATGATATTTAAAAACTCACTTTTCGTTGATTTTATCAGCAGGATGTCGCATGAAGCATTTTGGCGGGCGAATCACTGACGTAGCTTGAGATTCGTTTGATGAGTGTGTACATAGTAGTTTGAGAACATTTAATCTCGAAACTAAATTTTCACCTAGTTAATAAAAAATTGAGTAATTAGTTTTACGAATTAATGTTTCTTGAAATGTTGATAAATTGTAAAATAAATGAATATTACCTTGATAAATAAAAACGTCCGTTGACAATAGTCGGTTAGTGGGTGGCCAAAATTTAACACATACATTTTCAAACTTTTTGAATAGTAAATAGTCAAAATTCAATACTCCATAGCTCAATTACACATGATAGAATACTTTTATATAGTAATTTTAACTAATCAACATGCTGATTATTATTAAATTAACTAAGTTGCCGAAGAAATTAGTGTAACGTCTACTTGTACTGCGCAACCGCCATATTAAATAACAGCTGCGCGCGCATGCCGGGTTTTATTTAAACTGTACTCGCTTGCTGACGAGCACGAGCCGGACGTTGGTTTTCGAAAATAACAAATTAAAACTATTGTACATTATAAACTTGGAAATATGATTAAATCTATTATTACAATAAAAAAGACTAAAATAATTTCAAGTTATAAACTATTTTATTGAAGCTTAAATGTAAATCATTACAATAATCAGTTATAGTTATTTTGTTTTTTTTTTTTTTTTTTTTAATACAAAGTAATTTTGTTTGATACCAAAAATATAATTAAATTTATTTTTATCTTCACTTTATTTCCATACTCATTGTATAAAATTTTCATACCTATTATTTAAATTCAAAATTTTTATTTATATCCATTTCGATAACAATTATCTTTACATGCCTAAATTAAATCAGAAATAAAACAAAATTTTATTAATATAATTTTTATACTCTTTTTTTTTACAAAGTTGAAATTATTTTTTAATAAGTCGTTTCTGAAAAAAAAATTATTATTGCTTACTTGAGTTAAAAAACTGAACATTAGTATTTATTTACACGTAATAGTCTATGATAAAAAGAACTCTTAAAATTCTAATGATTTATTTTCTTGTTCATCATCATATCATGAACTGCTAATAATCAACAACTGAATATGAAATAGTGAATATTTTTAATGTCTCGTTAATTATTACTTGTAACTATACTGTTCGATTCATTTACTAAACATTAATGTTACAAAAAAAGACCTTAACTTAATGAAAATCTAATGTAACGACGAGTATGAAATAATGAAATATTATTTAGTTGCGTAATAAACCAAATATCAATTATTTATTATATCTGACTTAAACTACGTGAAAAATTATTTTTAAAAAAATCTGTTGCTCACTCAAGATATTGAAGGAAATAATTATTTAATATATTTAAAATAAAGTAACTCGTTGATAACGAAGATTTCTTAAGTATATTTAAAAAAGCAACCGCAGTAAATAAAGTTGGTAAAATATTTATAATCACTAAAAATCACGCGCTTATTCATTTTATTCATTCATTTAAATTATCATTATTATTTTTATTATAATTATCATATATATAAATTCAATTATCCGACCAATAGAATTGTGCATTTATCACTCAACTAATGGTGTTACGCCGCTTAACTGTCATTGAAACAAATGTCACTTAGTTATCAAAGATAAATAAACACTGATATTAAAAATTTTATTTTTAATTATAAATGATAATAAAAAGTAATTAGAGTTAAATAAACAGCGTGAATAAATTGTTTTAATTAATATATAAACATATTTATTTATCTTAGACAACTTGAAGACTTCATTCGAATAACGATTTGGTAATGGCGGAGATGATGTATTTTATTAAATTATTTATTTTTATTTTTATTATTAATTTATTGGTGAATGTTACTTGGAGGTTGGAGATGATGTCTCATCATTCGATAAATCTCCTTTAGCTACGACATCATTTTGTGTAACTCCTTCATCACCAGACAGTACCAGTACATCATTGGCATTTGTAGACTCTAAATTATTTTTATTTAATTAGTTATCTGTATAACTTAATAAATAATATAATAAATAAATAAATTTTATTTACCAGGATTCGTTGGATCAACCAAGAGTCCAAATATTGTAGGCTCAGACATATTTTTCGTAACTTCTTTAAACTGTGTAACTTGCTCACTAAATGTCTGCCAAAACGACTGACCATCCGGAATAATGAACAGCGTTTTGAACTTATTATACATTTCATCAGCTTTCTCTCTTATTTGTTGAGCTTTTTGTTTAAAATTTTTAACAGCTTCTTCAGAAAGCGACCACTCTGATAAATTACCAATATATCTTCGTAACTATAAAACAATAATTAATTTTACTACATTATTAACGTTGCTAAATAGATTGATTAATCAAATTTATAATTTAAAAAATAATAATCTATAAATTTTGATGATTTAATTACCCTTTTTACAGTTTCAACAACATTAGAATGTTTTTTAAGCATTAACGAATCTATTGTAAGACCGAGTACATCGTCCATTGCTCGAAGACATTTGTCAGTGTCTGCTTGTTCTAAAGACAAATATGACTTTATTTGATTATTTAATTCTATCAATTGACTTTCCGTACGTAACCGCTTAGTTTTTTCATTTTGATTCAAATTTTCATTGATAATAAGCTTTTTATCGTCTTCTGAAATAGTAAAATAATTCGTTTAACATCTAATAACAATATAAAAAACAGTAGTTATGAATTCACTAAAAAAAATCTTATTTACTTTCTACGCTCATTCTTTTTTTAGCATTAGACTGTGTTGATACGTTTTCGTTAGGCTCTTCATGTTTAACTTTCGGTCTTCCTCGTCCGATAGTATCTGTAAGAAAAATATAATTATTATTTATATTTATTCAGCAATTACTTAATAAGCACAAGCTTTTTGAACTAAAAGAGCCTTTGTATTCGGTTAATTTTAATTATATCACAGCCAATACCAAAAGTATATACTTTTTTAAAGAACCAAATAGTCTCTTACTTCAATATTGTCTACATACCTAAATCATATTCATCATCGGCTGAAAAATCGGCAAAACGTTTAGGTTTTATTTTTCGACCACTACGACTGACAACTTCTTTTCCAGGAGTTTCTTCACCTTGAGACTCATTGCCTGCTTCTGTTACAGGAGTCGTTAACGCTTTACGACCACGTTTCTTTTTTGTTTCTGACGTCTCCTAAAATTAAAAAATAACTTATATATTTTCAGAACTACTTACACAATATTTCATTTAAAAATTGTTTAGTATTATGAGGCAATAATCAATATATAAAAAAAAAAAAAAAAAAAAAAAAAAAAATAACATTATTAAGCTTTATTTATTGATGTAAGGAATAATCGCACAAACTAATTAATCTCAAAGTAAGCCTGTCGGCAATTCCTTATAGTTAATATCGGGATTAATTATTATGATATGTAAAAACTTTAATAATATCAATATAAATGTAATCCCTATTTGGAATACAGTAATTTAGTACGGATAAAATAGTTTCAACAGTTATTTAATACTTACGGTAGAATTTGACGTATTGAGTATTGTTTTACGTTTCAACGATTTCTTTTTATCACTCTCATCAATTACCAATGTTGATTCTACATCACTGTCTAATTGAACACCTGCAGAGGGCTCAGTTGTCGTTTGGTTATTTTCATGATCTGATTCATCAGCAACAGCTTCTAAAAATGATAAATGATAAATGATAAATAAATATTAAAACTGTAATTAATTGATCATTCTAAACAGTTGATAATTACCTTTTGTTTCAGTTATAGTCGGAGTTTTGTCCTCAACTTTTTCAATGTCTTGTTCAAGCTCTTGCATACCCTCAAGAAATTTTTTAGCTTTACTAGGCTTACCATATTTATCCTTATTCTCGTGGTAATCATATATTCTATCAAGAGTACATTCACCCCTGCAATTAAATACACACGTTTTTAATTAATCAATTAAATCAAACTAAAATAATATTGAGTATTATTATAAAATGGAGAACGTACTTTTCACCAGTTCCATAAAAGTAAACCTCGTATTTGCCGTTTTTTTTATTAGACTCTGGTACTTTTCGAATCTGAAATAATGAAAATAAATTAATCCAATGTATACTTAATAAATTATATACAAAAAAGAAAAAATGCCAGCCAATTATGATGAAATCTTCACATAGCAGTTGCATGAAAAAGCTAACTGTTTGATAATTTTGTTTAACTTATATTACTGACAAAAAAAAAAAACAGTAACAATTTATGATGACTAAATAATATATAGAATGTTAATGACTTGTATCAATAATTATAGAGGATAAATAAAATAAATGTGTAATTGAACTTACTTTAGCGGGCCAAGGCGGATAACCTCGAACCTTAGCAAATACTTTGTCACCGACAACAAATTTTTTTACTAGTTTAACCATTATTAATTACGATATTTATATAACCAAGTATAATTATTAAATACGTGTCAATAATAAAAATAATTTATCGATTAATATTATAAATTTATTGAATGGTTAAAATATATTAGTTTACAAAAAACACTTGAGTTTATTGAACGCGCAACCATTTGCACAATAAACCTCGTAATATTTGTTGAGGAAACGTAAGAAGAGCAAGGGGATCACGAGAAAAAAACATACGCGCTACGATACGACGCGCTGCTGCGGCGCCGGCAAATGGTGTCTTAGTGCTAGCCGCTAGCGCTTCATTATTATCATTATTATTACTTATGCCTGTATCGCATGAAACTCACTAGTTTTACCCGCGTTTTTTTTTAATTGTGTTCATATAATAATGTCAGTGAAAAGTGACTTGTATGTGAAAATTTTTTACAAATTTTGTTATAAAATAATCAAAGATAAAAATAATAATAAAAATAATAAAAACATAATTTATTTGTTAAAAAAATTGTTAAAATTATCAAATATCTGGTAAATTAGTTTTCATTTTTCTTGTTTGTTTCAAAATAAAATTTAACTACAAAAAGGTAAGATTAAATAAAATTCAAAATCTTATTAAAAATTAATCATTTATTTAATTATAAATATAATTGTTAGATAAAAAAATAATTTATTACTTAAATAGACTAATGGTGTAAGTTATGATACTTAAGTTAGCCGACGTTTTTAATTTTTTTTTTTAATAATTAAATTAGAACAAAAAAATACTTTTAAAAAATTGCACTTACAGTTTTTCAAGTTTTTAACAAATGACAATTTTTTTTTTTCTTATTTTTAGTAGTAATTTTTTCAATAAAAAAAAATTTTTTTATTTTTAAATGTCGGCTAACTTCATTTTCATGTGTAAATTATAAATAATGGTTAAGATATATATATATATATATATATATATATATATATATATATATATATATATATATATAAATATAATAAATTATCACAAACTCCTCAACCGTTGGAAAATAAATTAAAATATTAAACTAAATATTTACTTATTTATACAGATTTACTAGCTTCAGTAATAGTTAAAACAGCAGCAAGTGCTTCTTTAGCCGTAGGAATTATATAACGAGCCGGTAGAATGAAGCCACTTTTACCCTTGTCTCTCAATTCGATTGTATAAGCATACTTGATCTTGAGAATCGCCTTGGCCCAGTCATCAGAACCACCAGCAGCCGCATAAAGTGTCGTTGCACTATTACCTACCGTGTAAATACTACCAGAACCGCCCGCAGCTTTCATCGCTGATGCCGATTTTTGCCCTACACGTTCTAAATCTGCGTAATCTGGTGGTACTCTTCTGTCATAGCCCCACGGATACAAAATATATTGACCATAACTATGGAATGACAAATAAGCCTAGACAAGACGAAAAAAAATTATTTATTAAAGTCAATGTATTATAAAAGTAATAATAAAATAAAATTTTTAATTTCTACCTTGAAATTAGCAGCGCTGGCTTCGAAGAAATTTTTCATTGCCGCTGTTTCAGGCTCTGAAAACGGCCCAGTGCCTGCAAAAATTTCTCTGCAAGGCTGCTTACTTGTACCAAGACCTCCCCATCGGTACCCGAAATTTCTGTTTAAATCCACGCCAATACACACACCACCTTTTTCGGGACTGCTACGATTTTTTCGCCACAATCTGTCTCCTCGGAAAGTATACTCGTATCTGCAGAAAATAAAATAATTAATATGACTATTAGCACATACATATCTATGGATTGAATTAAACAAAATAAAAAACTTACCCATCAGGATTAACAACCGGTAAAATATAATAATCAGCTTGAAGTTCATCGCTATTTTCAACCAAATAATTAATAATATAGGTCACAGATGCAGGAGAAATCCACTCACGAGCGTGAATCCCGCCGTCTATCCAAATAGCTGGTACATTTGGATCGCCTTTACTTATTCGTAAGACCTTTTATTAATTATTTCATAAATTAGTAAGTAAATTTAGCAGTTTGTTTGTAAAAATTATATAATTTATGAATTTACTAGACTTCATACCTTAAGAGGCCTGCCCTCAACCGAATTTCCGATAGACATTACCGAGCAAAGATCGGGAAATGTGTCAGCAAGGTAGTCCAAAAAACCGTGAATATCTTCCAACCGGTGATAGCTCGACCACTCCATACGATGACCTGATTAAAACTTTTTTTTATTAACATAATTTTTGGCAAAAGCTCATTAATTATCTTCAAATATCACACGTAAGTGTAAGACATTTTGATATGTACTTTTTCTCAGCTTCTTATTACGTTCATTTTCTTTAAGTTGAATTTTAAATATTCAACAAGATTTTAAAAATATAGTTAATTTTAAGTGGAATATAATTTATTTAATTGGTCAAATTAATTTAAACGTTTAATTAAGAATAGTAATTATTAATAAATTTTAGTACTATATACTAGTATATACATATAATTTAAACGTAATCGAAAATTTCATAAATTGCGATAAACGACCAGATATTAAAATTTATTAAAATACGTATCAAATATTTTATTTATAATATTATAACTTTATTTAGATTATAAATGAAAAAATAAAATGTATTTTCATGTTTATTAATTCTGTTTGATACATTTTGATATTAAAATTATTATAATAAATTAATTAGAGTCAAAATATTATGTCAACCTCGAAGTTAATTTTTAATGATTCTGATATAATAATAAAAATACATAATCAAAAGATGCAATTAATATACTTGTGATATTTGAATGATAGGATAAAAAAAGAACCCATAAAAACTAAAATAGCAGTAGGTCAGATTTGAACGGGAGGCAAGAAGAATGAACCTCACCCTTGTATTGCCAAAGGCCTTTTCCATCACCATGTACACTAGCTACAGGATAATGAAGAGGAGCACGAGGACGCAAATATAAATTACGTCGTAACTTGACTTCCTTCCACCAAGCATAACGAGCTAGAAAATTTTATATTTTTTTTTGTTTTTTCTACCCTAAGAGTAAGTAAGCAAAGGTTTGATAATAATCATAATGTAATAATGACTTTCATCCTCATTATTATTATAATTAATTCTGATCATGATTTGTTTATTTTTTAGATTCAAGAAAATCAAAGTCAAGTTTAGAATAAAAATGTAAATAAATAAATAAATTGAACATGCAAGTGATACAAGTGATAATCAAAACACGTGTGAAAACTCGATGTACTGACTACTGGGTAACTGTTATGTTAATAAGTATTGTCGATCAAGTATGAAACTGGGTTATCCTTTCGTCTCCAACCGAGGTTGATAACCCCATTTTATAAAATCTCATTTGACTTATTATTTTATAAAAACTAATTTATTTTTTAATTATCGATTTCAATACCCAAGCATTTATATAATGAGCCGCTGAATTTAAGATAGCATTTATTAATTGCTTTTAAATTAAAGATTGCAACTACACTGGAATACAAATGAAGAAATATTTAAATCTAATCAAGCACTACATATACTAATAATTATCTCAAGGGTTAATGGTTAATTTTTAATAAAATAAGCGGAATTATTATATGTACCTTTTCTTCCTTCAAGCTCTTCCAGTTCTTCAGGTGATGGCAATGGATTTTCTTGATCTATTGCTTGTTGAATATCTGGTATAATCACATCATATTTTACCTGACGTTCGCGTAAAAAGCGCGATACACGTGGAATCATATCAGGACGAACAAGAACATCAACCGTTGAATCATTTCCAGTCCACTTGGTAACTTCTGTTAAATTATAGATAATAATTATTATTTGAAGTAATTATGATTTAATAATAACCACTATTAAAATTATTTTTTATTGCAGAATTATTGGGTTGTACCCAGACAAATTTAAATGCAAACAAACCTCCAGTATCTTGAAGGTAAGACACAAAATCAGATTGTTCATTGTCGGCAAGGACTCTCCACAATTGTGAGCCCTCATAGGTTACCCTTTCTTCGGGTATTTCGACAGCTTTGACAATAATAGTATCCACGACTTCACTACTGGCTTCGATAGGAACGGCATCAAGTTCACGTAATCCCGTGATATTAGCATCACGTTTAAATTTCTGAGGAAGCGTGAATGATGATTGTACTGAATAAATAATAACAATACACAAACAAACAAACTTCATTTTGTAGGAAAAAGAGGCTATTCTCCGAGCCAAACTGACCTTGCCAGTGAGTTGAGCGTCCTTTTATAATATTCGCTGATGTTAAATAACGGTAAGTGCCGCAAACAGCCGATCACCTTTCTTCGATGTCTTTTATAAACTTATATTATGGTCGTTATTTATTTTCTATGGCAGGATCTCCTCTGCGGGTGTTATGGAACCGTTGGAAAGGGAGAAAGAAATAGGAAGGTCAAAAAAGCATGCCAAACGATCACCAGCTAATAATCATGTGTAAAAATCAGTATCATTATTTATCATCATCATCTTTTCCAACGGTACTAACTTTTTTTTGTCATCTTCGTAGTTTTCAATCCAGTTTTACAGCTGTCTGAAACATAACAAACAAATATTAAGACAAACATTTAATTTTTATTTATTATTATTATTAATTATCAAGTATTTATCATTTCTTCTTCTTTTTCATTGTTGGATTTTGTAGTTCATATTTTAAAGCAACTTGCAGTTAAAATAAAATAAATTTTTGTTTTTTAAGTAATTTAAATATTTTCTATTCATCATTCATTGTTGCTGTAAAAAAGTACTCTAGACTTACAAATTATAAATGATGGAGTATACACAATGTTGCCTGAAAAAAAAATATCAATTATCAATAAACTTTTAATTATTTAAAAACTTTTAATATAGATTTTTTAGTTCAAACTTTAGTTGCAAATAATTTATCAAAATATTAATAAAAATCAACTTTCAATGTATGAAATCATGAATTGCTAAAGCTCTAGACTTGAATCTACTAAAAAAAAAAATTCTCTATAAAGCTATTCTTAACAATCCAGAAAAAGAAATTTTTTGATAAAAGAAAACCAATGAATAAAAATCGAATAAATGAATGAATCAATGAGGTAATTTCTATTTATAATAATAGATAATTTAATGATATTAATAACAATATTATTATTCAAGTAGCTTCATACATATACAATGAAGATGATGTGAAGTAATGATCTAGTAAAATCTGCTATGATCTATATTGCACCTAGTAAACTATATTGTGCGACATAGTTAAATCATTTAAAGACGATTGAAACGATACGAGGGCAACAGCGTCATATTGCAGCCCCCGCACGTTTGCTAAGTTAACGTAGTAAGTATCTATATATATATATAACTAAACATATACTTGTTGTGTTGGGTTTGCTTGTCGACGACTCCAGCGGCGGATTGATATATACGCTCGTGGTGCTTGACGACCACATTTTTGTCGAGTATACTTCTTATACGTCGACGTTTCTCATTCAGGCGGATTAATATAACGTGAGCATTATTGTAAACGTCGACGTGGAGTGGTCCTGCTTTCACTAGCACCAATTACCAAGTATATTCTATTAAAATCCAAGTATATCTCAGAGAACACACATCACAAAATTAACTTCCTTTGCACAATAAATCTCCATCAAAGATGAAGCTATTATTTATAATATTATCAACTGTCATCGCATATTCAAATGTTCAGGTAAAGTAATCAGTTAATTATTATTTTTTTTTATCTATTAATACAATTAGTTTGCTTTGCACTTACACATTAATAATATACTTTAATTAAAAAAATTTAATTATTTTTTTGTTACAATACACTTTTAAGTAATTTTATTTATGAAATTAATTAAATTAGTTAACTCGAAGTCCCTTAAGTTGACAGCTAGATTAGGGGAAAATAGTTTATTCGTTGGGACATTTTACATCTGTATAAGGTTTCTTCATATATTTATACATACAAGCATGAAATAATTTATTTTAAAAATTTAAATAAGCGCAAAATTGAATATGTTACAGGCGTCGACGTATAAAATCACAGATCAAGTTTATTTCGACATTATGATTGACGATTATCCTATTGGTAGAATAGTAATTGGTTTATTTGGGGATGCTGCGCCAAAGACTGTGAAAAACTTCTTGACAATTGCGACGGAAGGAATCAATGGACGAACTTATGCAGGTTCAAAGTTCCACCGTGTCATCAAGAAATTTATGATACAAGGTAATTTAATTTTATTGCTCAATAAAGTTACTGTATAATAATTCATTCAGTCCTTATTTAATTATTTTTCAATTTTCCAATTCAGTTGTTTATTCTTTGTAGTATGAAATATCCATAAAAATTTCTTACAATTCAATATTTTATTATTGCTATTGTAAAATTTGATTAATAATAATTAAGTATCATTTATATTAATTAATTTAAAGCAAAGAAATAATACAAGTTAAATTCAATAACACGATTTTAAATTAATTTTTAACATCAATTTTTAATGAAATTAAAAAAGGTAATCATTAAAAATGAAAATGAAACTTTAAATTTATAAATTAAGTATTCATTTTAGCTAGATTGAAGATGAAAATCTTTTTAATAACTAATGTCCTCTAATATGATTTAAGGTGGTGATATTGATAAAGGTGATGGTTCAGGATCAATAAGTATCTACGGAAAGTACTTCGATGATGAAGACTCTGGTTACAATCATATTGGACCAGGATTCATCAGCATGGCTAATGCAGGAAAAAATACAAACGGTTGCCAATTTTTCATCACAACTGTTGCTACACCCTGGCTTGATGGCATACATACTGTTTTTGGAAAGGTATACATTTTATATTTATTTTTTATATATAATATTATAATATAATACAATTAATGTAAAAAATTTTAGGTAATTAAAGGTCAAGACGTACTTTTTAAAATCGAACAAACGAAAACGGACGTGAATGACGCACCAATATCACCAGTTGTCATTCTCAAGAGTGGAAAACTTCCAACAACTACGCCGTTTTTCATCTCTGAAGATCCCTACGAGTATGATTAATTATAATATTATAACTAATTAATTTTTTTTTTATTTATAACTATAATTATAATTTATAATCGATTAATTATTAAAGTAGATTGAAGTAAAAGTAGCAGCTAGTGTAGATCAAAAGTAATTAAAAATCAGACACTGTAAGTGATGCCTGTAAAAAAATAGCTTCACTATAAGTTCTTATAAATCAATTGAAGACTAGGAGAAAGTTGTGGAAGAAAAAAAAAAAAAAAAAAAACAATGAATGTCAAGGACTGCTTGTTGTACTTGTTAGGGGATTACTTATATTATTATGTTTGGTGACCTAAATATTTAAATCCCTAGACAATACGATGGTCTTCATACGTGCAAAATTTTTGCGATTACGTGAGCAAGTAACAGCGAGAGATATGAACATGACTACTGTACTTTAAAATACATTTGTAGATTTATTAACAGCTGTAAATTGTAAAATCGGTTACGATTGAAAGCCACTAGGTCATTTGTAAATTAGACTATCCGAATAATTTTTCAATGGCGACAAATTAGAACCGGTTGGTTCTAAAGATTACTGACACGTACACTATACTGTAGGTCATCTAAATTGATCAATCACAATTTATGAGTTGTATTAAATTATTATTTAACATTTATTTCAAGCTACACTATACATAGGTAGATGGACGTATCATTACATTTTAAATAGTTTATTTAAAGTAAAAAACAAGTTAATTTATAATTAAATTATAAATATCAAAATAATGATAAGTATTAACGATTTTATAAATTTTAATATGAAATATTAAATATTTTTAAAATAAAATATAATCAGTTAAGTTGTAAATTTTTATTGTAATTATTTTTTTTTTTAAGTCAAAACGAAACTGTTACCAAGGAGCTCTAGACACAGATCATTACTTCCTTTATTGTATTAAAGTAGAATGTAGTTTTTATTTGTATGATATCGTAAGTAGTTAATTTTGTTAAATACTTAATACTGCAAGACACTTATTTTATTTTTATACACAAATTAAATATTATTTAAAGAAATTATGCATGAAAAAAAATTAGAAATAATTTATAAAAATTTTTAATTTGTTTAAAAATAAAAAAAATTGTCTAATTACTGCTATAACATTTATAATTTTAACATTTACAACTTCACTGTTATTTTTTTAGTGCCTGGGCATGGATCAAAGCGACTTTCATTCCACTATCATTTAGTTTTTCAATACTTGGATTCTTTCATTGGGTAATGAAACAATTAGATTCCAGCTGTTTAAAATTACAAGAAACAGAAAAATTATTCAAGCAAGATTAAATCATCAATTTCACAATACATTTATAAACATAATTACAAATTACAACTACCATAATTACTTAATTTGTAATGAATTAATAAATAATCTTTTTACAATCTTCATTATTGATTTTCATAATTTATAATAAAAATAATTATTCATACAATTCCTTTTTCCTTTTTAATTTTTAAATATCTCAAAACTTCTCGGCTGTCCAATTTCAAACACAGTAACCCAAGCGTCACATAAAAAACTGTTGACTATTTGGTAAATTTTATTTAACAAGAAGTTATAAATTAATAATTGTTAACTTAAATTCAACAACATATTACCAAAAAAATTTTTGTGCCGCTTGGGAACTAACATTTAAAAATTTTTTTCAATTTTTCTTATTAAAAAAAAATTTGCCCGCCAAATTGATGAAAAATTTGATTTGTGAATAGAAAATACTTAAATATAAATATTAAAAAAAAAAAAATACTTGAAATTAAGGTCTAAAAGTTATAAAAAATGCAGCAATACTAGAAAAAATCAGGTATAAAAATTTTGCAGTTACTGTGTTTTAAAATTGGGCAGCCGTAATAGAATCTATCCATCGATTGCTGGTCAGTTAGAAATCTTACACAGAAAAATTCATGACACAAAAATCTATAAATTTTAATTTTTAACAAATCTAATTGTAATTAGCTATCGATTACATTCAATTACTTAACTCTATTTAAGAAACTTTTATTACTTGGAATTGGAATGAAAATTGATTATTTTATTTCGAAAAACTTGTATACATAATATTTATATATATATATAAATAATGATGCACACTAAGGACATTTAATTTTTTTCCTTAATATTTACTGTCTTTAGCGTTTTTTTAATCTACAAAATTTTTTGTACTTGGATTTTTTTTTTCGATTTAATAATTTTTTGTAAAAATTGAATTATCAAGGTTTGTAACAATAGTTGGACGTATACTTAGCGCGACGGTTTACAGTGAAACTGTTTTTTGTGGGATTAAAATATAGGCGCATTACTTGTTGCGTGACGGTAAAGTTGGTGACTTTACACTGTTTAAATTTTAATTTCTTCTTTGTCAACTACTTTCATTATCATTATTGTTATTGTTATTATGATTATAAAGTCTAGGTTAGCTTAGCATGTATATTTACTATAGATGATGAGTTTTCAGTTGTCACCGGTTGACCGTGAGCGACTGGTCGTAATAATTTTTTTTAATTATTATAATAACTCGCATTACATAAATACAATTATCCGTCTTGAAAACTAAATTTATATTTACAATACAATATGTACAGCCTGTTTTATTATTAATTAGCTATATTTTGTATTTAATATTTATATACTATATATAATGTTATTCAGTTCTCGCATAACCAACGTAATGCCGGTTTTAAAGACGAGTAAATTTTATTATCAGTGACCTGTAATAATAAAAAAGAAACGTAATAACAACTTTAAAAAATGTGAAGAAATACTTATTCAAGTCGTCAAATAAACTGACATTTAAAATTAGTTTAAATAATTAAAGGTTTATTATTTTTTTTTTCTTTGTAAGTGAGCGTAGTTTTTTAATATCAGTGGTTTTATATACATTTGACGTAAATTTTTAAGAAATATTTAAAGGTGATAATTGCATTTAATGAGGTAAATATTGATTGTTTATGTGCAAAACGTGATGTTCAATGTAATATTTCAATGTTATATATATTTATATGTTAGTCAGCTGACAACAAGTCGTATTACAATCGATATGTGAAATTTAATTATTTCAAACTAGATGGATTATTTTTTTTGCATAAAAATTTTATTTTTAGCGAACATTTTAAAAATTCCTTGTAATTATTTACTTTGAATATGGGGAAAATATTTTTATAAATTTTATTATGCAAAACAAATAAATTACTTGGTAAATTATGTATTTGAAAATATTGCATGACATTAAAGTTAGCAATTGCTTGACAATTTTTTGATTTTTTTAATAAATAAATTTGCTCCGAAAAATTATTTCTAAAAAATTGGATTTTTAATTTTTTTAATTTTTTAAATGTCAGTTTTTTTCCTCATTTTCTTTGACATAATTTATTTATTAAAAAAATTCTTAAAATTATAAAATTTATTTATTTATTATATACATGTCTGCTAAACTAATTTTCATAAATATTGCAGATTAATTATTATAATTGTTGAAAATATTAACAGATATTTTATTTAAAAAAAAAAAAGGATTAAGTGTTGAAACAAAATCTATATTACCACAAACTTTTTCGATTTCTGCAGATAGAAAAATTAGATGTAACAATGTATCGTCATAATAAATTAATTTCAAAATATTACACTTGAACATTTTTCATCTTAAATTGTCAAAAAAAAAATGATTTCAAAAAGCTCGATGAGTTATTTAATTTAAACACTGCATTCTTCAAAGAAGTTTTAATTTTTTTTAAAATATTCATTAATGTATACTGAGAGAAAAAATATCTTTTGAAAGAAATGGGCATTGTTGTAATAAGAAATTAATTTGTTGAAAATTTTCAAAAATTTTATTTCTTAGCTGAAGAAATAAAAAATTTTCTCACTGTAATTTTCTTGTTGAAGAAAAGTTTTTTTGATTTAAAAAAGAACAATTTTAGGTAGACAACCTTTCTTTGTCAAGAAAGTTACTGTGGGGTCATTCCATGTCAAATCGGCCAATAGTTGGAATCGACCCCTTTCGATTTGAACGAATTTTGGTCAGAAGTTTTCTTTTATCATATAACGAAGTTCTGCCAAAGGAAAAAAAATAAAAAAATTTTTTTCAAAGGATATGCAAACTCAAAATTTCGCGTTTTTTCCAGTTTTTAAATTTTGTTTTTGTAATATCTCGAACGCTAGGATAGATACAGGAATGATCTTTCGTTTGTTTGAAAGGGGACACTTGGAGCTATTGAAAAAAAAATATTTGGTTTTTTCAAAATTCCAATTTTTTGAATTTTTTTAAAAAAAATTTTTTCTTATAATTATTTTTTTCTCATCGTTATGCTACTAAATGACATTTTAACTGTTCAGAATATCGAAATTACGCGATTTACCGAACTCAATTAAGATAAAAATAAAAAAAAAATTTTGGAGAAAATTTTTTTTTTTTAACAAATTTCAAAAATTTTTATTTTTGAAAAAACAAAAAACACAGTTCTAAAAATTTCAGGATCTCTTAAGATTGGTACAAGGTAGTATATAAAAAAATTTGAGCAAAAAATTTATTGTCGACCGTCATTTTTGACGATTTTTAAAAATTCAAAATTTGACAAATTAGGCATTTTTCAAAATTTTTTCCCAAAATATTTTTTTTTCAATAGCTCCAAGTGTCCCCTTTCAAACAAATGAAAGATCATTCCTGTATCTATACTAGCGTTCGAGATATTACAAAAACAAAATTGAAAAACTGGAAAAATCGCGAAATTTTGAGTTTGCACATCTTTTGAAAAAAATTTTTTTATTTTTTTTCCTTTGGCAGAACTCCGTTATATGATAAAAGAAAACTTCTGACCAAAATTCGTCCAAATCGAAAGGGGTCGATTCCCACTATTGGTCGATTTGACATGGAATGACCCTGTGAGAAAAATTTTTATTTACTCAACTAAAATAAAATTGTTGAAAACTTTAAAAAAATCAATTTCATATTATAACATTGCTCAGTTTTTTCAAAAAATATTTTATATTTCAGTTTACAGCAAAACAATCATAAAATTCAAAAACTGAAGTAATTTTATAAATCAATAAAAAATTTATATATTTTAAAGGCAATATGAATAATTTTTCAGTGCGTTTCGAAAAAAGATGATATTTCATAAAAAAAGTAAAACAAAAAATTTCACTTTGACCGTTCTTTCTGTATCAGTAGCTATTATGAATTAATAATAACAAGAAAATATTATTTTTTTTCAATTGTTGAGTAAATAAATATTTAACTAAAAGTAAAGTTCAATTCTTTACTACTACAATATTTACTACTTTCATTATATTGTACGTATATTTTAAATACAAATTATCATCATAATAAAAAAAAATAATACATAATTGTTACGGAACAGTTCTTATCATTTTTCTATTGTCATTTTTGATATATTATCGATATTGTATCAAACCATATTTTATTTCCCTGTTGGCGATAATGTCCACACAAGATTAATCAAACAAATATACCTTATATACATATGTGTATGTATAAAGTATATTCTTAATACTATGGTGCATACACTTATATTATTCTTTAAAATGGTCACCGCGCAAAGAATGCAAATACTTCCTGCATGAGTGATTAAAGGCCGTCCGTGAGTACGTGACGATATGAAAGATAATTAAGTGTAAAAGTACATAAAATTACTAATAAACCTATTTTAAAATTTTAAATAGAAAAAGAAACAACTCCATTAAAAAATAACCATTAAAATAAAGCCATGAGTCATTTATATATTAATATATATATATATATATATATATATATCAAAAAATATGAAGTAATTTTTGTTATCATAAGATAAAACTCATTAATGTTATTTATTGTAAGTTAATGATACAGCAAGTTAATTATGTCATACAAACAAAGAGGGATGAGATTCACGCACGTTTAAATTAAGTTAAGTTAATCTTCATCCCTTGCGTGTCTCACGCAATGAACACAAGCTTTTTCTTTTTAATTTATTTTTATATTATTATCTCGCAGGCCAGAAGGCTTTTTCTACCAAGTTAATAGGTGTGACGCCATTTAATTATTAACAAATCTCTTAAGATAATTGTCAGTAAAATAAACATAACTTATGTTGAGATAAAAGCTAAGTTTATTGACAGATCTAAAGATTAAGTCATTTTCATTAAACTTTCTATATTTTTTTTACATTAATAACAATAATAATTTTATTAAATCAACCGACTTTCGCGGTTTTTGTTTCTGATACTTTACCAGTGGTTCATATAAGTATAAACCGGAATTTCGGACGATCGATCGTACCCTACATATCATTGTTTATGTTCCACCCATCCGATGACACACGAGATGGTCAAACAAGTCTCCTTTGTTATAATCAAAATTGACCACTTTCAAACAATCAAATCAATCATAAATACTTTTTTACAGTTTAATTAAAAATTTCACTCATTTACAATCAAGTATTATTTTACCTTATTTACAAGTAACATTTAATTGATAAATAATTCTTATTTCAGGGATTTTATATCACTTATTTTTAACATACACGGAGAAAAATTAATTATACTACCTACTATACAAAAATAGTAACTCCTACTATCTAAAATGGTAATAAAATTAATTAGTAACAAAATAATAGCTGGTATTATTTTTTTTTTTTAAATTTGATTTTTTTGAAGATTAAAAATTTTTTTTTTGGAAATTTCAACTTTTTTTTCAAAAATTTGACGTTGAAACTTGTTTTAGACAAATGAAAATTAAAATATATAATTTCAATCCGAATTTAATCCCGATTCTTTGTGCACTACAGCTGCTTTTAGTTTATTCAGAAATGCATCCACGGTAACGCAGATTCTTAATTTTTTTAATATTTTTTACTAGCTTTGATAGTAGTTATTATTATTACTGATGGTAACTACAACCATCAGGTTATATTAGGAATTACGATTTTGATAATAGTGGTAACTAATTAAAATAATAATAGTTATTATTACTGATTACCATCATAATAGTAGTAGTTACCATCAGGATGGTAAATACTACAATTCAGATGGTTTACTTAATTATTTAAATAATATTTACTACTATTGAATTCAGTTAATAGATTTTAACATAACTAGATGATAAACTCTACTATAAAATTTTCTCCGTGTATTTTTTCAAATTGTTATTAACAGATTCAAATTTACATTATTTTATTTTTACTTATCTTGCATTCGGATATCTCATATTTAAACTTAAGAATCTTGTACAATTATACATTATCCCCTCAGTAAGACAATACCTTGTTCCTTCCACGCAACTTTACTTGATGCTTTATATCTCATTTAAATTCCGTCATGATTTCTAATCTTACAAACAAATAAAAGCAAAAAAACAAATTAACTCTTAATTTTACATAAGTAAATGTTTTTAATTCTTAATTCTATATTTACAAAGCAATCAAAAATATAATTTAATTTATAAATAATACTGAAAATCTGATAATTCTTTGTTTCTAAAATAATAATTAATAATGATCGATACATAGTAATGATATTTATGATCTGCTATTTTCAGTATATTTCCCGTAAAACATTAATCAGTGCAATTGACACAAGTTAAAATAATTGACATCAATAATTAATTAGCACTTTTATGAATTCATATTTTCAGTTCACTCAAAACTGTGCCATTATATCGAATTATTCTTGTTAAAACTTATCTTTGGTCGTAATTTATTAATTTGAACATTTAAATTCAGCATACATTTCAATTATAAATATTTCTTCTTTAAAAATCTTTATTTTATTCACAGGTCATAAAAAAATCCATAAAAAAACGAGGATCACATAAAAAATAAATTACAATGGGGCAATATTGGCTGAACGTCGCGATTCTCAGGATTGCTGTACCTGGAACATTTACAGCGTGTGAGTAATGCAATAGATCGTAAATATAAATCATATTCATGGATTAATTTTTTTTATTTTTTATAACTCATTATCATTAGTTACATTAGTAAGCCTCTTGAAATATTAAATAACTATCAGCAACTCATAGTTATATTCCAATTCCCAGTCAATAATAACGTCTGATATTTATTTATGATAAACTGATCATTATTTAGTTATGTTTAATTGATTGATTTAATCTTCGTAGCATATAATTAGTTTGAGTTTGAAAACTTTGAAACTATTTTTAAATATTTTCATTTAAAATACTATACCAATTTCCTAAGTTTAAAAAATTTATAATTTAATAGTTACAATTTTTAAATTCTAAAATTATTTTATCATTGTATTTGTAACTGAAAAGTAATTATTCATCATTAATTTGATTTTTTTAAATTAGTTTATTTTTTTAAATTTAGAATTCTAATTTGAATACATAAAATAATTGAAGTTAATATTTTTACTCTACTTTCGGCAAGCACTTCCTTATTATTTTTAACATTGTAGCATTGGTTATTACAAGAGAAATCTCTTTAGTAGAACATTTAGGGGAATCCAAAATTAGAGAGCTCCGCTCAAACAGCAAACAGACATAACTTCTACATTTGATTATTTCTTCAACAAATAGTTTTATTTCTATTTATGAAATAAATATACAAAAGAATGCAATTATCGCGAGTACTTACTTATATTATTGCAAAAAATAAATAACTAATCATAACGATATCTCAATATTAATAGATTGTGACTACTGCGACTCGTCGAGCGGCAAGTGTATGTAAATGATATGTCGGCTGTAAAAATAAACAAAATAGCCGGAGAGACTGAAAATATAATCAAATCACATGTGTTATATTTAGATAATATTTATTCATGCTTTCCTTGTATCTTATTATTTATTAATATTATATAACCCGTCGAATGATTTCGGACTAACATTAAAATTACGCAAATTTAAAGGTCATTGTCACATTTTTAAAGAATTTATTCATGTAGTTAAAATTAAAATAAAAAAAATGTCATACTGAAGATAATTATTTTACCAGATATGATCTCTTATTACATTAGTGTAGTAACAAGCGCAGAATTAATTATAATTTAATTAAGGTTATTAGTAATGTTAGTACCGCCTCAAAATTTTAAAGGATTGAGATGATAAGCGATCATCATGATATAATTAAATTATGCTTCAACGGCATTTATTCAAATTATAATAATTTAATTTTATTATATTAATTTACAGAGTTTCATTATATCATCCACTTACAGTTAGTTCGATTTATTCAATAATAAATAAGTCATTTAATGTTAGTTAAATATTTATGATTTTTAATTATTTTAGGGAGCTATTATCTACACTCGTTTTGAGCTTATTAATTATAATTACCTGGATTAATATTCAAATCTCGTGATGTGTTATACTATACTCTACTTGTACGTTTGTAATTAGAACTTATTTTGGTGATAATTATATTTTATAAAAATAATAATAAAAAATATCAATAATACCAAATTAAAATTATTGTTACTATTATAAAAATTTGAAAATATTTTGTGCTCCAGTTTTTGGCAAAATAAATATTGTTAAATATTTTTTATCACAATTTGATAAATCAATTTATTTATTCACCAAACAAGTTTTTAATAAACTTTATCTTTAAAAGTGAGTCAGATTGGGTGACTCATTTTTTCGTCAATTCCAAATCATTGGCATGATGTAAACAAAATGATATTCAATCAATTAAATCAATAATTTAAATTTTTTGTTAACTATTTTACATAATTTTATAAATTAAAAACTTTGAATTACGAAATTAGTGTTGACAAAGAAATTTTTTTTTGGGATTTTTAATTTAAAGTTAAATGTGTTTAACCAGAAATTCATGTACAAATATTGTTTTGCATTGAGACCACTTTCTCCAAAAAATATACTCGTTAAATCATTTTCTTAAATATCGCAACCTTTCCTCTACTCGGAAGTTTTGTTATGATATATATTCTAAAACACATATCTTTTATAATTCATTTCAATCTCTATACATAGGTACGACTTGACCTTTTGCATCGCTCTTTACACTCTAAATGTATACACAGATATTTACAATGTTTGCTGTAAAAATATTACATAATTCATTGTATATCCAAAATTTTTTTTTATTATCAAATAATGTTTTCCTATTAAATTTTTAATAAAAAGTATTTTTAATTTCCTTATTTCATAAGATTCTTTCAATTTAATAAACACTGAGTATAAGCTAATCATCAATATTTGAGTAGAAAACTTCAAAGGATTGAATAAAGTGAAAGTAATTTATTTCTATCAATACCGATTTTTTATGAGTTAAAAATGAACTTCCACTATAAATGGTATTCTACACTATTTTTAATTCATACTTGAAAGCAGCACACTATTTACCAATAATGAAAGCAATGTATGCAATTAAAAAATTATTTACGATTCATTCAAGAAAATAACCTATTGAGTTCGGGATTAATCTAAATAATGTTTATATGAAAACTTCACCCACGATATATCGCCAGAAAAATAACTCAGCAATACATGTAAATAATTAATGTAAAAATGATTTGATTTAAATTTTTTGGGTAATGGTGTTTCCATTTGTTGAACTAATCTAATAATAAAGTTTGTTTAAATTTGATGCTTTACATTCAGTAAAAAAAATATCGCTCTATAAGAATTAAATTTAAAGCAATTATACATATTTGAAAGAAAAATGCATATTTAATTCATTGAACTAATTAAATTTCAAATGACAGTATAATTTTAAGTTATTTTTGAAACTGAACGTTAAAATATTATAAAACTCCGTCTGCGTAGTTAAAAAAAGACTCGACAGAATACTGAAGTATAATTTGCTATTTAGTATATTATAAAGTTAAAAAATGATTTTTTTTTATTCTAACCGATGTTAGATTTATAAATGAACTGTTTTAATCCTTCATTGTTATTTTAGAATATCTCTAATGGAGCATCGATAAGTTATACCAGAATATGTGAAATGATTTTATTCAATTAACTCTACTCGTTGTTGAAACTAAATTTTAATACTGCTTACAGTAATTTAAAATTAATCGGTAATATTGTGAATCCGAATTCCACATTTATAATTTATTTTAATAATTTTCAATTTTACCTATTATTCGTGCACGTAATTCGTAAATTGGTTAATTCTCTATCAATTTTTATTACAATCATTTTTTATTATTACAACACTTCTGAAGTATATTCAACGAAGATGATGTCCGTTGATTAATACTTGATAACTTTGAAGTGTAACATAGTAATTATCAGTTATACTTGACTAAATTAAAAAATATACTTATCAAATTGTCTATGTCTTCCCGAAAAGAAAGTTTTCATTGTTAATTAAATAAGATAAACGTAAACAACGACAGTTGATAATTTTTACATTTTTACTAATGTTTACTTGTTATTACAGGTACAATATGGCGGCCAACAGCACTTTCACTTATCTACTTGATACTTATGCTCATATCACCATTTATTCCAATACCAACTTCCGAGACGATGAAAAGAACAACTGGGTACTACTTAAAGTCATGTATAGCCTTAACATTCATCATCAGTGTGATACAGTTTATCTTCCAAATAATTCTCGTTGCATCACCATCAATCTGGACAAAGTTCACCGAGAATTGCAGCTTTTTAGAAGAACTATTTCGACATTTTGGTTTAGTTCGCATGGATGGTGCATCAACATTGGAAGTATTCTACTGGCTACTCCCAGAAATACTTACGCTACCAATAATGGTAACGCTATACATCTTGTGTCGTCGATTCACGTCCAAAAACAATCACCAAGACCTCGAGAGCACTCCAGTCCAAGACCAAAATCTTCAATCTTCATTAAGAAATGCCGAAGAACGCAACGCCAAAATAATAAACTTCCTCGGAAGAATAGGAACATACATAGTGCTGGCGTCTCTATGCTATACCGCGACCTTGTCGCCCTCAGTCGAAGGCGGATTTTACTTCCTAGTGTTCTTCGGAGCTGGTACCTGGTGGGCATGCAACCGAGAACTGGTTAGAAACTTTGCAATAATTTGCAGAGTAGTCATGGTTGTCGTAGTAGGTCACATAGTCGTTTTGATGTCTTATCAAAATCAATGGCCTCAAGAATACATTCCAGTTGACAGCCGATGGTCACGTTATTTTGCACTTGAGGCTTATTATAAAACAAACTGTACTGATCCAAGAAACACAATATTCACTCTAGATAATGATGATTGGACTCAAAACGGATATGCATATGCATTGAGACTTTTTTGGCTTTATTACATCCTTGCTCTCCAATCGAAATTTCTTTTCCAATCACCGGTAAGCATATGTCAAGTGTTTTTTCATTCATACAATATAATTATTTTAATTACAATTAATGGATCAATTCATTACTTCAATATTAATAATTTCAATGACTGAAATATTAATAAAAGTATTTTTAAATTTCGTGACGCTGCTTGAACGAATCAGAATTTGTCTGATGATAAACCAATAAGGCTAAGTCAAAAATTAAAAAGTCTAGACACACAGATCACGCGTCATGTGTCTATGAGACGTAAAACGCCATCGCAAAGATGGCAATCTGCACGTCGGAAAGCATACGTGAGAATTGTTATGCTAATTAATAATAATAATAATAACAATAATAGTAAAAATAAAATCAATGTTTGTAGATGATATGAATTACTATGTACATGTTAAGCTTTGCTTTGTTGTAACTTAACATATCATTTGATTTTGCTAATTTAATTTTACATGTTAATTAATTAATAATTAATTCTTATGTGCTTTTTATTATTTTTTCATTTCATATTTCTTTACTCTTCGGGAATGCCTTCTATGGTTTTTTTTGGTTACTGTGTTTTAGACACCTACTACTGCAACTTCTGCAAGTCCGCCGGATGAAAAAACGCCCGTACGTATACAAATAGCGACGCTGCTTATTTATTTTTATTATTTTATTTTTAGAATAGTTTTTTTTAGTTAAGTTATCTATGTAATAAATTAATTAATAATTATGTAATTTATTTATTTACGTATACGCATCCTTGCTGCAGAATAATAATACCTATAGTGCTACAAACATTACTGACACGGTGAGAGCTTTTGCTATTATTGTAATCACATTTTGTAACCGCGATAAGCACTTCGTAGAACGATTATTATATGCACTTGTAATTTTAATTAATAGTTAGTAATTTACCCAATACCTAATCTTGATCTGTTGCTGAATATTAAGTAACTAAATTAATGATAGAATATTCTTTATTTTTATTTATCTTGATTTTATTTTTTTAAATAAAATTTAAATTTAAAATAATTTTTTTTTTCATATTTAAGGAATATAATGGATTTTGTTTTAAAATTTAATATAAACTTTATAGTATTGGGTTTTTTACTTGAAAAATAAATATTTGTATTGAATGACTTGATGAAATTTTATAAAATTTTGCTTTGAAATTGACAGTTAATGCGGTTTGGATCTGGACGAGCTGGACTTTTACAAGATTCAACAGGAAGTGTTACCGTTCAAGATGGACATAATGATGATAATATACAAATGCAATCTATTGTTGAAGGTAAATTCAATTATTTAAAATTCTACTAATATATACACTGAGAAAAAAAATACTTTTACTCAATTATCATCAACTACGACAAATCGAGTTTTTTAAGTGATCAGGTAAATTGGAGCGTTATATCACAAGAACAAGAACCTAATGCTGCAATAAATGTGCTTATAGAAAATATTCAATCTCTTATTAAAAACTCTTATAAAGTGACAAATAAAAACAATAAATGTACAAATAATATGAGGAAAAGCTGGGTTACAAAGGAAATATACATATCATGCAAAAAGAAAGAACTTCTATACTTATGTTGGAATAAGGATAGGAGTAATTCAGCTCTAAAGGCCGAATATAATAATTACTGTAAGATATTAAATAAAGTTATTAAAAATGCAAAACAAAATTATATAAAGCTTCAGGTAAATAAGTTCAATAATGATAGTAAAAAAATGTGGGGTTTTATTAGAATGAATTTAGGTCAAAAAGAAGGTAAAATGAGTAATATTGAGTATTTAGTTAATAAAGATAACAAAATAACTGATAAAAAAGAAATTGCAGATATTTTTGTAAAGTATTTTAGCAACATTGGATGTGAATTGGCATCTAAAATAGATAATAAAATTAAATATCAAAAGAAAACATATGAATTAAACCAGTTCAGTATTTTTCTCAAGCCAACATCCACCGATGAAATTGAGAAAGTTGTTAATAAATTAAAAATCAAAACTGGTGGAGTTGATAGTATTAATAGTAAGGTCTTAAAGTGTTTAAATAAAAAAATTAGTGGACCGCTTGAACATATATTTAATATCTGTTTTAATAAAGGCATCTGGCCAAGTGCTTTGAAAACTGCGGAAATTATTCCAGTTTATAAAACTGGTGATAAATTCGAGCCTTCAAACTATAAGCCAATTTCATTAATATCCAATGTTGCTAAAATAATGGAAAAAATAGTATAGGAAAGGTTAATTAACTTTGTAAACAAACATAAAATTATATCTGATAGGCAGTATGGTTTTGTCAAAAGCAGAAGTACCAACGATGCAATCAGCTTTGTTACTGAATACGTATACAAAAATCTTGATACAAATTGCCTAACTGCGATAGCTTTTCTGGATTTGGCAAAAGCCTTTGATACAGTTAACCATTCAATTTTGCTTGAGAAGTTAGAAGCACATGGAATAAGGGGTTGTGTTTTGGAGCTTATGAGAAGTTATCTTAGCGAGAGATATCAAAGTGTAAAAATAAATGATAAATTAAGTGAAAGGACGCTTGTTAAAGTAGGAGTGCCCCAGGGTACTATCCTGGGACCACTGTTATTTATTCTATATATCAATGACATTTTCAAAGTTATCCCGAACGGATCCCTTGTTTCATACGCAGATGATACTGCGGTACTGTGCTCTGGCAAAAAATTGGAATGACGTTAGATCTAAACTTAATTATTGGCTAAGTAATTTAAATCTATGGTTATGTAGTAATCAGTTATCGCTCAACATTGATAAGTCCTCTTTCATAACCTTTGGTTGCTACTTTGTCAGTGTACCAAATGAATTTGAACTGAATATAAATAATAAAATGTTGCTACGAGTGCAATATTATAAATATCTAGGTTTAATTATTGATAGTCGTATGAAATGGGACTATCAGATAAAAGAGCTATTAAAAAAATTAAAATACTTCATTTTTCTATTCCATAGGATAAGTAATAGTTTCATGAATAAAAAAACATTAAAAATAATATATCATGCCCTTATAGAAAGCATTATTAACTATGGAATAACGGCGTGGGGAAGTGCATATAATAATATTCTAAAATCTACTTTGATAAATCAGAAAAAAATAATTAATAAATTAGGAGATAATGTGTCTAATGTACTTGATATAAATAAAACCTATATTATCAGTTCATTATTAATGTTTTATGATGAATGCAAAGTTGAGTATGAAAATGTATGTGTTAATACTAGAAATAGATCTATTCCCTTACCAAAGATAAATAAAAAAATTGCTAGCAAGAGTGCTAGATACACTGCCATTAAATACTTTAATAAACTGCCAAATAATTTAAAGAGTTTGAAAGGTGATAAGAAATCAAACAAAAACAATATACTGAAATGGATTATAAATATATGAAGGCTAGTAATTGTATTCTGGCACTAAACTTTAAAACTTTAACTAATAATGTTAAATATTTTAGTAACTTATAATTGTTATCTCGTTAGTTTATAAAAATTCGCTATCTTGAATTAATAAATATTATACCAGTCCTGTGCACAGATGCTTTTGCATCTCTATAGGACAGATTGTAATATACTTATGTACATGTAAATATATTGATCTGTATTTTTTCTACTGGTTGAATAAAAATAAAAAAAAAAAAAAAAAAAAAAAAAAAAAAAATTAACAATTTCTTGGTTCAAGAAACTCGTTGACGATCAAATATTCTATTATTATTAATTATTAATTTCTGAAGAGAAGAACATCAATATTTATCTTTGGATAATAGATAAACAAAAAAATAGCTTTATTTAAATTAAATAAAAATTATTTCAATCAATTTAACAATTTCTTGAGCTAAGAATATATATTCTTGAAAATTTTCAAGAACATAAATTCTTGTATCAAGAAAATTTCCTTAATAAAAGTATTTTTTTTCTTAGTATATAATAAATATATTTAATTTCGCATTCATATAATTTTCTCAACAGATACTCAAGAAGATAATTTAGGCGTAATTGAACAAGTAATCATGGCCATTTATTCAATTCTCCAGTTATTTGTTCATTCGTCTTACTTAGCAACAAACATTATCATGATGGTAAGTACCAAAAATATATTTAAATCAATTGAATACCTCCAATTTTAACCTTATCGTATTTAATTTTACTTTAAGACTTGGTCTATCATGTACCACAGCTGGACGACATTTGTTTTTCTTCTTTGGGCATTAATAATATGGATGGCACCTAACAAGCGTTCAGCAATGATGAAATGCTCACCCTTTGTCGTTATGTATGGAACAATTCTTCTTCTCATCTGTTATGTCTACAGTATGAATTTAACACCTGAAGAAAGGCCAGATCAAATAATCGGTGGGGTTCCAATGTCAGAAGTAGGTTTTCCAAATGCAAATGAATTGAAAAGCTGGCATTTAATGGTGAAATGTGGATTTATGGTAATGTTTTGGATAACAATGCGTCAGTATATGTCTGAACGACACCAAGCCCGACAGACATCGGCCCTCAGAGATATGATAGCGCCACTTCGAGTCTCAGTATCTGCAGCCACAGCAATGCATCAAGAAACGCCTGAAATAAAAAGTAAATTTATGAAAGACGTTGGTCTTGTTGTGAAAAAGTTATTGACTAAATTCTGGATTGTCGTCGTCGCAATAATGCTTTTTACCAGTGGAATAACCGGAGAACGGATGACAATGTTCCGTATCATGTATATGACACTATTTCTCTTTTTCGTGATTTCATTTCAAATTTCATGGGTCGCTTGGAGAAAAATGATGTATGGATTTTGGATAACTGTTATTGCATACTCAGTTATTATGTTAATTCTCGTATATACATATCAATTTCGTGATTTTACTTCCTACTGGGAACATTTGGGAATCAACGAACGTTTGCAAAATGACATAGGTCTTGAAGTATACAAAACAAAAGACTTATTCGTTCGTCTTTTGACACCCACGTTCTTCGTAATCATCACAGTGATTCAGATACACTATTTCCATGATGATTTCCTCGAAGCCACGGACATCGATAAGATACAAGTGCTACCAGAGTTACAGCGTGCTGATTCAGAAGCAACAACAGTACCACCAACGTCTACTTTGGACGTTTTATTGGGTTCAGATCAAGAAGCCTCGACAATATTTACTTTACGACAGCTAAAACACATGTCAAAATTGGAAAGAGCTGCATTTTTCCGTCGTACTGTTAAGCAATTGATAAATTTTTACAATTACCTCTGGTTAATACTTGAAATTCACATCCAAAAAATAGTATTTACGTCTCTAATATTACTCTGCATCAATGACGTATGCGCAATAAATTTAATTTTTGTAACAGCTATTGTTATAATTATAAATTTTAGACGTCCGATTCAAATAATGGGTATAAATAGTATGTCTGTAGTAATAGCATTGTTGATGGTTACGAAGATGCTATATCAAATTCAGTACATTGATCCTGACAAGTTCAACGTTAATTGCACACGAGAAAATCCAGATAATGGTAATCAAACACTTAAAATTTATAACATTGCCGAGTGGATCGGGTTGAAGAAAGCACCTGCTGCTTGGGGCGACACTTCCGATTCTAATGCAAATAAAATACCACCGACCAACGACAAACCTTCTGAGCAAGAAATGCTTGCATACTTACTAAAAGGTTACATTGGTATCGTTATTGTGACAACGCTTCGAGCTATCATTACTGTCCGTCAATCTTTCTATCGCCGTTGGCGTGGAGAGCCACTAGAAGTGCCAGAAGTTATGTTCCCAAAAATAAAACGAGCTGAAGCGGACAAAGGAATCGCAGAATGCCTTAAATTCTTCCTGAACTACGGTTTCTACAAATTTGGTCTTGAATTCTGCTTAATAGGCATTGTGATACTTATCAGAGCACGCATAGACTTTTATTCAGTCGTCTATGGTGTTTGGTTATTGGTTTTCTTCGCACAATCACGTCGTGTCACTGCTAAAATTTGGCCATTCTTCAGGGTCTTTGCCATTATTCTTTTACCTCTGCAATATTTCTTCGTTGTCGCACCACCTACGTGGTTGTGTATTAACTATCCGTGGGTAAATATATACCGAAGACTTCAAGAATGGATGTATCTGCCCGACCCAGACGATCCACCGAATCCAAGAAAATTGATATGCGATTTCTTCCTGCTATATATGATCGTCCGACAAAGTTTAGTCTTTAATATTGAAGCTAATTGTAGCGCTAATAACACTGAACATCCAGCGGGACATAATTACTCAGTATTTCGAGACATGGACAAGCCAAACTTTGTCAACCCAGTCAAAGATTATGTGTCATTTATCCACAACTGGCTGGATGTTATAAAAAGAGGAGTGATGATGAGTTTTATGTGGATAACACTTTCAATGATGTTCCTTGCTGGCACCAACAGAACAAATATCTTCTCGCTTGGTTACTTGATTGGATCGTTTATTTTCCTCTGGCAAGGAAGTGACTTTTATCTCAGACCACTGAGAGTTATTCTTAGATGGTGGAACTTTTTAATTGGCTACAACGTTGTCATTATATTTTTGAAAGTACTATTCCAAGGATTCGGATGTATTCTTATAACACAGTTCCAAAAATCAGCCTGCTGGCTAGTCCAATTATTGGGAATAGCTTGTTATCAAAATAGGAATTCCCAATTTAAAATAGACGTATCTGATGATATTAAGTGTCAAATGCCACAAGATGACAGCGGTTTAATGTGGGACGGATTTTGCTTCGCGTTTCTCATAATACAAAAACGTTTATTTAAAAGTTATTACTTCTTTCATATCGTCGACGAGACTAAAGCGATGAGTATTCTGGCGTCTCGTGGCGCTGAACTGCTTGAGAATCTTCATCGTAAACGTATTGAATTTCAAGAAAGCGTGGAGAATACTATCCTGCAAAATATTAAGCTGAAAATGGATAAAATAAAAGCTGACCAGCAAAAAATTCATGGACCAAGTTGGCAAGAACCAGCACATCACAAAGTTGGTAAGAAAATAAATAGATTTTTAATATTTATAATTAAGTGATTGAAAATAAAAATTTTTTATTCAAATTTTCATTCTATTTTTTCCAAATGTTGGTGGATAATAAAAGATTTTTTTTATCATACACTTACATTTAGAAAATAAAATTAAAAAAAAATTAAAAAATTTTTAGACTGTTTTAATTCATATACTTACAATTTTCAATCAACTCACACATTTTATTAGATCTAGGTTTAATACTTTATAATAATTTTAATTTTCACTTTAAATTAAATAAATCAATATCTCAATTTTTATCTTACACTAAAATAATGTTAAAACTATCAATGAACTTATAATTGTGCCAAAGGAATGGCACCACTGGCAAGAACTTGTAGCGCAAGTTCTTATGTCTCTTCAGGACACACGCCACCGCAGGGTTATCAGACGCCAATAGATGACAGCGACACTGACAACAGTAGCGAAGATCTGCAAGATGATAAGCAGCAATATGACCCACCACCTCTGACTCCACGCGCTTCTTCATTATTGCAAGCGCCGTCACCAAACTCAGCTATTGTATCAGTGAGTCTCGAGGGTTATCTAGAGCCCACACGAATATCTTTTGGCTCGCCACCGAGTAGTGAATTGAATCCACGTGGCGTGTCACCTGATGAGACTTTTCCAGTATTTTCGCCACCACCTTACGATCAACCAGCAAACAGCGATCGATCTTGCCAGTCTCTTTTAAAAATCATCCATCGACGACGTCAATCCAGTCTTGCCGGGACTAATTGGAATCCAGAAGCACCAACAATTTCTGGGCATTCTGTCATTTCAATCACTTCACGGTCACAACGATCTCATCATACATGTAACCGATCATATCAAGAAACATCCAGCCTAGGTCATCGTACTATGTACATAAGCTTCCACAGCAATGATTTTGAATGCGACTATTGCACATGCACATTTCATTATTTATTTTTTTTAATTTTTGTTTTATTTTATACATCATTTAGAGACAACTGTCACATTAATTTATTATTTACAAACAATTATTTGAAGGATGTTTTTTTTTTTTTTTTTTTTTTGTTAAATTATTTATCAAAAATTTTATGTTTCAGAAATAAAATTATAATTTAATTATTATTTATTTTTTAATCTATGTGTTCTCTATTAGATTCGCTCTATCCGAGAGATCGTCCATTGTACAAACATCGTGCTCCAAAAACTAACAGAGAGGGTAATTGAGAAACTTCTTTCTTGTTTATAATTACTAAAACTTATCCTGTATAAATATTTTACTCCATCCAATTAATTAATCCTTACTTAAATTTTTTCAGACATTTGTAAATTTCCTTGTACAATAATCACCATAATTCATTGTAAAAAAATCAATCCTGTTCCTCTGTAAAATATCCTGTAAATAATTTTGATGTTTTAATTTTAAGTAGACGTTTGTGTGCATGGTGTCCTTGTGATGTCTAAATTATATTACTAAAACAGTGCAGGATATATTAATAATAATTTTTTTTTATGTAGCTGTGAGATCTGGAGATTACTACATGTTTGACGACGTGGACGATGAAGATGTTACCGAAGCATTGCCTGATTCAGAAATGGAAATTGATGAAGAAGAGCAACGTCGTTTGCAACGACACAAAGGTCGTAGAATGACTGTTTCTGAGGTCAGTATTTTTCGTTTTATCATATATTTAACGTTTATTTTTATTTTTTTAAAATCATTTTTATTATTTATGATTAAAATTTAAAGCGATGAAACTATCTTTTTTTTTTTTTCCATTCATTAGAATGATAATTTAGTTTTAATTCATTAAAATGCATACTTTTAAAATTACAATCCAATCATAAATATTAGAAGAAAATATATAAATTTTTTGTCTTAATTGAAAAATTCATATCGATTAATATAAATGGTATACTTGTTTTATTTTTAATTATAAATAATAATATATTTTTTTATTTTTCCAATGATTGTCAAGCTGGACAACAATGAACTAATATTATTTTCTGTTTTGCACAATTTTATTTCTACCACAGCACAAATTAACTTTTTATTATTAATCGCACAAAATCCCAGTGATTGAATAATCATTTTTATTTTTCTTTTTTTAAACTGTCTATATATCATTTGAATAAGTACTGTAAAATGGATTTTGATTCGCTGAGTGATGGTTGCAGCTGATGTCAACGCTGTTTAAGACAGACATTGAGATTGCGACACACGTAGCCATGTACGGAGGAACATCAAAGGATGCACTTCGATTGAGACGTCAGAGTATGCCGCTATCCCGCAAGAAATCATCCATGTCCTATCTGAGCGCGCGTTCAGAAACCGAGACTGCCGCGACGACCGATGTGAGCCTTTCCCTTGATCCTTAAAAAAATCTAACAATTTAGCGTACTCTAACAACATATTTATTAACTTTTACCTGTTAATTATTTTGAATCCTCTCGTCTCGCTGCTGTAGCCTCTTACTTTTTCTCAATTAAATAATTACCAATTATTCATTAGTCATTGTTCATGATTAAACTAAAAAATCTTTTGCTTAATATTTGTATTTTTGTGTCCAAGGTAATACGCCAATCATTTATCATAAATCATAAGCATAAGTCATAACTTTTTGTCTTATGGCATTGTTAAAGGTATTAGAACATTGGTCATTTATTTTTGTGTTTATATTTACTCATAATAATACACACGAACGATTATTTAAATATTAAAATTTGTTTTAGCTTGGACTACTGTAACATACAACTTTAAACTCTTCAGCTAAATTTGAACCGCATTGTTTATTTGTTATTAATTACACATATCAATTTGAATATTTATTTTATTTTATAAAATACTTGTTTACTAGGAAGTGGATCGTAGTAGCGAGATCTCTGGAGAAGCACAAGCGAGAAGAAAATCAAGGAAAAACTCACAGAAAAGTCCATCTCGTTCTGGTGAAAATGCGGATGACAAAGACAGCAGTGCTACTTCCTTGGAAGATGATGAAGCTAAAAAAAGAGTATCTTTCTTGACTTACTTCAAGTTTTTATTTGAGCTGATCAACAGTTTTATGATTTCTGCTACGAGACATTTAAACAAGTTTTCTAGGGACTATCGGTATATTCGTAAAGTTTTGAGCAAAGAAAAATTAATTTTAAAGGTCAGTTAATTAATATTAATTTTAAATACTTCAATGACTAATTGAAATTAACTTTCAGGCTAAACCTGATTTCCGAATGGGAATGAGATTGGGTATCAATCAAATCTGGCAACCAATACCTTTAATGAAAGACAGGTAAATTAATCATTTTTTCAACTAATAATTATTATTTACTATTTATCAATTGTAGAGTAAAATACATGGGCTAGATAAGAATATTTTACAGTAGTTTTAGATAAAATTGTAAGCTTTATCCAACAAGTTACAAGCCAATGGAAGAAAAATTCAATACTTTCAAGTGCTTTAAAATTTTTTGTTTATATAAATGATTTTATAAAGTTACGCGCTCAGCTTTTAAATATTATTTTATTATTTAACGGATTGCTCGATAAAAGTATTGCTAGAAAATTAGTTTGTAAATTTGCTCGCCCTGACAGATCAGAGACGGAAGCAAGCTCAAAAGAAACTGTCGCTATTGAGGATCCAGATCAACTTGAAGCAAAGAGCGAAAGGTAGGGCTTGTTATTGAAGAACGAATATCATTAATAATTTATAACGCCATTAGAGGTTCTGGTGTGCGATCTTGGTATTGGTAGCTTGGTTTCCTCAAAAAATCTTCCGCACTTCATTTATATCTCAAATTTCTCTCACATCATCAGCATTTAACTATAACAATATTTCATTCAACTAATTAATTCTCCTAGTTATTAGTTATTAGACTAAATTAAAAAATTTTTTTTTTATATCATATTACTCGCACTAAATAAATTTGATTTTAATACACTTATAAATAAACGCATGATAACATCCCAATTTTTTTTTAAACAAGGCATCAAATCCCTTCCTGGTTGCAAGAATGTCTGCAGCGCTCCTTCAAAATCCCAATGAAAATCCTTCAGTAAGTTTCAATCCATCCAATTGTCATCAAGATTTGATTGTTAATAAGTATTTAAATCATTCAATTTTTTTTTAAATCCTAAATTAATCAAAGGTAATTTTTATAAATTATTTTTTATTTTTATACTTTTGAATAAAAGATAATAAAAAAAAAATTGAATTAAAATTAAGAAATAAATAACTAAGTAAAAAACAGTTTATAAAAATGTCAAAAAAATAAGCAAAATTCGAAAAGATGTGAATTTTAGTTTCTTATTTTTTTATCATCTCAAAAATAATTAGTTGTAGTATAAATTAGCAATTACTATTAGAGAAACGGTGATTATTTTTATTAGGAAGGAGAGCTTGCTGACTGTGCCACACATCCGAATCCTGGCGCCGAGTTTGGAGCGAGGATTGGACGGGTCCTCCTCCAGGTATCGGTTTCATGACACATAAAAAATAATAATTATTCCACAAATTACATTTTTGCATGTTATCGCATTCTTTTATTACAGTACTATCCTTTGCATGTTTTCCATTTTTTTTTTACTAATTAAAATTCAGCCTCAATACATTTAGTAAAAAAATTTATTATGTTATGATAAAAAGGTTCTTTCAACTTTCATTAAATTAAAATGATTTTAATTTATTTCAAAAGTCATTAATGGAAGAACTTGTTTATCAAAACAATAAAATGCTTATCACTGTACATTTAAAAAAGGATGATGCAAAAAATCCTGCATCCTTGATATTTGTGGGTTTGAAGACAAATTAACAAATATAATTAAATAAAAAAATTATATTTCACAGCTCAATGTTGACAAGAACACAGCCAATATCACAAATGGAAGAAGAAGAACCCCAGTTATCAGAAGTGGACCAGCCTACAATTATTCAACTGCTAGCATCCATCTGGTTTGGAATTCTCGCCCACTCAACATTCATGTGCTATTTTATGATATTTTTACACCAAATTAACAACGCTTCGGTATTGTCAGTCCCCCTGCCACTGATGGTATTCTTCTGGGGCTCACTAACAATTCCACGGCCCTCCAAAACATTTTGGGTGACAATAATAGCGTACACCGAAGCAATCGTGATAATAAAGTGTATCTTCCAGTGGGACTTGATAGCATGGAACCAGGTATCCGGAAGAAATCCCTTGGCAACGACAACAATAATAGGAGTCGACCGCAAAACTAATTATGCACTTTGGGATCTGCTGCTTCTTCTGATGGTATTCTTCCACCGATTTATGCTTAAGTCTATAGGCCAGTGGACGACTCCTTATGCGACTAGAAAGATAATTCCGTCAAAATTAGTAATAGGTCCAGATGGTCCATCTCCTGCTAGCGGTCCTAGTCAAGCAGGCTCGACTCGTCTACAATGGCAAAATGAAAAACAAACTCATCAATCAAACCAAGAACTTAACTCAGTATCAACTTCAAAAGACCTACCGAAAGCTGCTGGTACGTCCGACGAAACCAACTCGGATTATCACAATAATACCGACAGTGACGAAGAGCGGCTTGTAGAAATAAGAAACGAAGAAACAAATGTCTGTGATGCGAAACTTACCACAGCAGTAAGTATGACGTTTAAAAAATACCTCGAGCCAACGAAAGGTTTTTTCGCAAACATTTTAAACCCCGATGGTAAAGAAAAAACAAATGTCTACGCTTACATGTTTCTGTGTGACTTTTTCAATTTCCTCTTGATAATCTTCAGATTCTCTTCGTTTGGAAACCAGCAGGGGGATGGTGGTGTAACTGCTTACCTCCAAGAAAACCGCGTGCCGATGCCATTCTTGATAATGATGTTGATCCAGTTTGCTTTAATAGTAATTGACCGTGCGCTGTACTTGCGAAAATCAATCTTAGGAAAGCTAGCATTCCAATACGCTTTAATTGTCGGCATTCATATCTGGATGTTTTTCTTTTTACCCGGTATAACAGGACGTGCATTCAACGACAGTTTGCCACCACAAATTTGGTATATCATCAAATGCTTTTACTTATTGTTAGCAGCTTACCAATTACGACTCGGCTACCCAACTCGAATCCTCGGTAATTTCCTCTGCAAAAAATACAATATTGTAAACTACTGTTTGTTCAAAGGATTTATGCTGATACCATTTTTGTTTGAACTCCGTGCGGTGATGGACTGGATTTGGACAGACACTTCAATGACCGTGATGGACTGGTTCAAAATGGAGGACATATTTGCTAGCATATACCAAATAAAATGTATGCGTGGATTGGAGTCTGATTTTCCGCAGCCGCGTGGAGAAAAGAAGAAACAAATGAGCAAATATTTAGTCGGCGGTGGATTACTTTTAGTAATAATAGGTCTCATTTGGTTCCCATTGTTACTATTCGCGCTGAGTAGCACTGTTGGTGTGTCAAATATACCTTCAGAGGTCTCACTGAGGATCCAAATTAGCTCACACGAGCCTATTTACACAGCAATTGCTCAAGATGCTTCAATATTTTCTTACACTGACGAAGAGTTCAAGGCTTTAAAAGGAATTTACACATCTGACAGACCGGCGTATACTTTCTTGGATAATTATGGCTCCGGTGATGTCGCGACTGTCAAATTGAGCAAATCAACTCAAAGAATTTGGGGCATCACGCCCTTAGAAAAGGAGCAGCTAAAAAATGAATTGAAATCAAACATTACGATGAATATTCATGTCGAATGGGCGGTTTCAAGAAAAACGGATGCTAAAGATTTTCCAGGAATATCCACAACGCCAAATATCATTCCACTGCCAGCTTACGTCAACGGCGAGTTTAATCCAATAAGAACTAATTTATCATTATTATTATCCTCGGACAGTGATAATCCAAACGTAACTCTATCGTTACCACATGTATTTCCGAAGTTTCTTAAAATAACAAGTCGTAATACTAGTGTGGTAGAGCAATTGATGCACGCGCCAACGCAAATTTATATGCAAGACGAAATAATAACTAACAGTCCTGATAATTTGTATCGTAATGTAACTTTGCAATTAGTGTCAGAACTCGGACAGCAGTGGTGGATGATCCAAGAGCAATGCAATGATAACTTGTACAATAAAGTACTCAAAAATGTTCCACTGAACGACTGCAGCAATAATATAGTTATGTTTATGTTTAATGAGAAAGCTTTTCCCGAAGGACTCAGTTTCTTTAGCGGCATGGGGATCCTCGGTTTGTACACAACTGCTGTTATTGTCGTCAGTCAACTAATGAGGCGCATCGTCAGTGACATGGCACCCAAGATTATGTTCGACGACATGCCGTACGTTGATAGAATATTGAAACTCTGTTTGGACATTTACTTGGTACGAGAAAGTAAAGAGCTGAGTTTAGAAGAAGACTTGTTTGCCAAACTTATTTTCTTGTATCGATCACCGGAGACCCTGATTAGGTGGACGAGGCCGCCTGAGTCAAACCAAGATGATGACAGAGATGACAATGAAGACTTTGACGAGCCGGATGATAATAATCGTCGTAATAATAATGATGATGATGATGATGATGATGTTAATGTAGATGTAGATGTGAATGATGATGTAAATGATAATGGTCCTCAGGTAAGACAACGAACTAATGAACGAAGGAGCGACGAAATTTAGGATTTTATTAGTGGACAGCTTGTAATTTTAAATATTTTTTACTATAATTAATTAAATATCAAATGATAGGTAATAAAATAGAATAAGTTTTACGAATTTAGTCAATAATAATATCAGTTTGAGATTCAAAGACTCTAAATGCATTTCTTTATACATGGCCAAAGAGAAAGTATGACAATTATAGTTCTTTTTTTAATCATGATTACTAAACTTTTGAACAAAAGTCGGCTAAATTAATTTTTTTATTTCAATTATATTTTATCATGATATTATGTTTGTGATTAAGATAAATAATATTTAATATTTATATCTTAATACGTAATTACCAACAGTTAGAGTGCGTAGATTATTACTCTGCATATTATAATTATTGCAATAGTTATTTATTTACTGATTTGTAAAATGGTATTGCGTTATAACTGCCAAAATAATTTCTTTTATACAAAATATATTTATATTAATTATCGTATGTATGCGTGAGGCTTTTTCATTAAATCGATTATTATTATTATTATATAATATTACACATTTATATTTATCAATAGATGTTTCGTTGTTTCATAAATATTTGTATATATACATACACATTATACTTACGAATGCTGGCGTTTTTACATTTACTAATATAACGATAAATTCAAATTTAAAAATAATTATATTAAATGTTAAATAAATAAAAATTTTTAAATTTAAACATTTTTTTTTATTTCAAACTTACAAATAAATTCTTATACAAAACAATATTATTATTAGTAAAAAAACAGAATTCATTATATCACATTATTTTTTTTTACATACTTTAAAATTAAATACTTTCATAATAATAATTGTTCGTATGTACGAGTACTAAAAACCCAAAAAAGGGTATTGTATGTTAAAAAAAAAAAAAAGATTTACTTGGTAAGCTCTTTTATTTTTGATTTGAGTATTTTGTTTTCTTTACGAAGATCATTAACAGTATCAGCGATTTTCTGCAATTCTTCGATGCGGTTATTCAAAAGGGTAATATTATCAAGAAGCCGTTTATTTTCTTGAGTTAGATATTGAATACGCGAATTATCACTAATCGGCCGACTGTCACACAAGTCATCCGACATGAGCAAAAATTGTTGAATGATATTAGCCTGAGAGTTGATGTAAAAGTCTTGCATCATTTTCATTATTTTCGAGCTCTCGACTTGCATTGCCGTCATAACTTTATTGCTTTCGACCTTGGTATAATGACTGACAATATCTTTAACGGCTAGCAGCATCGCAAGTGACTCGCAATCATCGGAAAACTCTTTATTTTTAATAATATCCGTAGTTATACGTCGCCACTCCTTAGTACCGTCTGAAGTGCTTATGTCTTCAGAAGAGTCTGAAGGTTTACTGTTTTCTTTGAAGGATCCATCGGACAATCTGCTGCTTTCTTTAGATCCCGCTGCTTTGGACACTGAGCGACTTTTCGATACCGAACTTCCTTTTGATGTGTCTACAGAGCGATCAATATTTTCCACGGGCTTCAATTTCTCTTCATTTTTTAATTTCTTGTCAGACTTTATCTTCAATGACGACCCGTGTTTTGTGTCTTTAGGTTGTTTTCTAGTGCCAGGAGACATTTTATCCTTCAAATCTTCTTTGCGTTTTAAATGTGGATCTGAAACATGCAGAATCGGCGAGAGTGTTTCGATAGATCTTCTACTGGTTGTTTTCAACATAACTGACGGAGAAACTGTAGACTGTCTTTGCTGTCGGAGAACAGATTCAAGATCCTCTCTTTCAAAAGTTGGAGTACCGATTGGTGATTGTAATTGACGTGTTGTTACGTTATTATATTTTTCTTCACGATGAACAGAATTTCTTCCCCTACGGTCTTTCGGCAGTACCAAGTTCATTTCTTCTAAAAATGAATCGTCTTGCATCTTGGTTTTTATAAATATCCTGAAAATAATATTTTTGTATAAATTATTTGATATTCTTTAAATATTGAAACTAAATTATATACAAGAAATAATTATTTTAGAAATGTAAAAGTTTTAAAAAAAATTACTGGCAGACGTAACATGTTATTTTTTTTTAATAAATTAATTGGGTATAATTACAATAAAATTTTAGAATTATATATCAAAATATTTTTTAAATTTCAATGCGTATAATTGTAATCTTTTTTCCTTAATTTCATGTTGTGTATTTAGAAATATTCAAATACTGTCAAATACCGGCTACGTAAGATTATTTTTTTTATTTATTTATACACTTTTTTCCCTGAAATATTTAATTTATTGACAAAAAAATAAAAAAACTGTCAGAAGTCTGTATTTTTTTTTTATCATTTTATTTTTTAGCTTGAAAAAAAAAAAAATATTTCCTGTAATAGAAGAAACAAGTAATTGATAAATATATTATCTTTAATTTATAATCAAATGAATAAATATTTATGTATATTTTGACATGTGATAACCAAACTCACCTCTTTGAGGGTTATAAAATAGGAAAAAATTAATAAAAGAAAATGATTTATTTTTTCTTGAATGGTTTAATTGCAATCATCGATTAATCATTTAATCTAAGACTATTTTGATCAAAGTTATTAAATAATATGTAAAAAAAATGTTAAGGAAGGATAGAAGTAATTAGGCTATTTTTAACTGACAACTCGGAAAAATAATTTAATTTAATAGAGTGCGCTGTTATAAATTTAAATTTTTACCGGGAAAAATTCAATTTTTTTAATCGTAGTATTTTATTTTCGAGTTTACGTTTTAGACTAGAAGAAAAAAATGTTAAATTTCATAAATAATAAAAAAATGATTTTCTTAGAAAGCTGATTATTAATACAAGCCAAGAGCTCGCTAAAAAATGCACTGAAAAAATAGCGATAGCTTATATGAACAAAAATGAACATAACGAAGCAGTTAAAATGTTTAATCAAATTTTCATTGATCTTCTATCTTTACTCACCAATTTAACTGGATTAAAAAATTATCATTTTAACTATTTACGTATAGGAAATCCAAATGATGATAATGCTCTGATTGTGAATACAGCGACCAGATGTGAGGCGTGCCATTCACGTTAGCGATAGCTCTTTTATATTAAAAAAAAAAAATAATAAGGATTTATTTGGAATTTCTGTATTACAAGATTTTTCTTTGCAGCAGACAACTTGCCATTTTGGTTCCTCACTTTTTTACACTCATTGTAATTCTTAATTTAACGAGTAGTCTGGCGTTGATGACTATGTAAAAAGTCAACGATACTGACATTAGGAGACATCTGACAATTTTTGAAATTGTTGTAACATCAATTATTGTAAAAAAAAAAAACATTTAAAAAAATTCGCTTTTTTAATTTTTTAAAACCTCTGATTAAAAAAAAGTATTGAGACAAAGAAAAAAGTATTAAAAAGAATTGATTTTCTAGTCAATCCAATTCTAGAATCGATTTACATATATAGGCCCGGGGTATGAAAATTATGGGGACCAAAATCGTACTAGAGAGTATAGCATGTCACACGAAATGCGTTATGCGCTATAGTCTGACCATTCCCCACCACACGGTATGCTCGGCTCCATGTACTTGTATATGTTTAGTATATATCTGTGTGTGTATAATAGCATACACATTATACATGTACAGTGTAGCGCCTGCATAACTATATCAATACATTTCTAAACATTTATTTATTCGATATTAACCTACAAACACTTTGAACTTGCGGAGATATTGTTTTAAATTTTATAATTTATTTATAATCGATATAAATATAAATTTGTGTCAGTTGAATACAGTAAAATATGGAAGTTACGTATTCTAGTGAGAATGATCCGGGAGTTGCGGAACACGTGGATGCGGTAATTAAGTAAGTCTATATAATTCACTTTTACAATTAATATATAAGTTGTCCATTCACTGATAGAAGGAATTGTTTATATTTAATAAGCTTTATTAATAAATAATTTTTTAACGTCAAAGAATTTAATAAGTATTTATTAACAGTTAATAAATTATTTATGAAATGCAATTTATCAAATGTATGAATAAATATTTGTTAGCTACTAAAAAAAGGTTTATTAAAAGTTAATCCATGTTTATTAAAAATAATTTATGAAGTACAAATCAAATACAAATCAACGTAATATTTATTAGTTGTTAAAAAATATTTATTAACTGTTAATAAGTATTTGTTAATTATTAATAAATACTTATTAAATGTTAATAAATATATTTTCCTTCTAAATAAATATTAATTAAATGTAGAAAAATATTTATTAAAATTAAACAATTGCTTTCAAATAATTTAAATTATTAAATAGTTAATGAATCTTTTTATCAGTGTATATCTATACTTTTTATGTTGTGCTTTTATATTTAATTACGTGCTATTAAAATAGCTATTTATTTTTTTTCTTATTAAATGTGCTTGAATTTGTTTATTCACAGTCCTGAAACCTGTCCATCAACAACAACCGGTCATAAAAAAACTCAGGCAATTCGACAACAAGAATACAGACTTCGGATGAAAGAAAAGTCTGGGCCTAAAAAACAGAAAGAGGACAGACCAGCCAAAAAGTCCGCAGCGGAGCGTCAACGGGAATGCAGGTTGAGAAAAAAACTCCGAGCGAATCAAAACATCAACGCAGAGTCAAACTCAGACGTTACTGAAATTTTACCGAGGCAAGATGCAGGACCTTCCAACTACTTGACATCGGTAACTACAGCACAGGTGGTACCTTCAAGTCCTGACGATGGACCTGTCATTACACACCACGAAGTAGTTATTGAGACTGCACCGGTATCAACAATAAAACGTCAAAACGTACAACAGCACGAAAGTGTTAGTGATGTGTACAAAAAAAGGAAACCAAATCAAACCAGAAACCTTAATTTTGATGAGATTTGTCAGCTTCCCAGCCAACCTATACTGACTCCCCGTTTGCTAACTAATGAAATGGAAATTTTACAACCAGCCGAGAATGAATTCATTGAAAATGAAGACAATATCAACATGTCTGAAGAGTCAACATCGGAGCCAAATTCTAGCCTGCCATACCGTAGCTATCAAACTCATAAATCAGCACATAAGCTATTTAAAAAAAAGATCCTAGAGAATTCCTTTGGTCACGCCTGTAATGTTTGTGATCGTTTATGGTTTTTAGAAGATCTTAAATGTGGATCAGCAGATGAAGAAATCTTACTTAAACGAATTACGGTAAAGTAGTCCCTTATAATTTACAATTATCTAATATCTTACCAACTCTAATTATATGATATTTTTCAGAATTTTACGGATGTCACTCAAGTCATGATGTGCAAAACTTGCAGAGCCAGTATCTTAAAAGGCAATATTCCCTTTTTAGCTACGTATAATGGTTTTAAATATCCACAAAGACCAGTGGATTTGCCGGAATTGGATATTATTGCTGAGAGATTTATTTCACCAAGGCTTCCGTTTATGCAAATACGTAGATTACGCCATTTCAATGGTCAATTTGCTATAACTGGCCAAATAATTAATGTGCCTGTCTCGGTTGATAATATGATAAAACTTTTACCAAGGCCGCTTGATGGAAATGAAGAAGACTATTGTATTAATGTTCATATTAAGAAGAAACTTATTCATAAAACAAGTTACCTTCACGGATTGGTTAAAGGTATTGTCATTAAAAAATGGTTGACGTATTTAATTGAAACACCTCTGTATAAGCACTTCCAAATTAAAGTGGATGATGCTTGGTTTACATCCAATGGTGAGAAAGTCATAATTGATTACACGGATACAGGAGGATCGAGTAGACAAGATGATGTGCAAGAGCTTCCATCCTCTGAAACAGCAAATCACACTCACTCTGTGGATTCTGACTCCATAGAAAAACGAATACACATCGATGATTTAAGTGAACATATTGTGATTGATGAAAGTCTGACTGCGCAACAGCAAACTCTCATGTGGAGTGAGGATAAATTTTTACAAATTGCTCCAGGTGAAAATAAAGTTCCAGAGAGTTTGTTATTTGACACATATGCAGAGGAATTATCATTTCCAGCCATTTACCTTGGGGAATTTCGTGTATTTCGAGAAGACGCCAATGTAACGCCATTCATGATGGCAACAAGTGAATTACGTCGTTCAGACAGGAGAGGAGTACTTCCTAATAAGCTTCTTTACACGGCAATGAAAATAATGCGCTTAAGAGTTTGCAGTGCTCTGAAGATTGGATTCAAACACATCGGTAAGGATACCAATATAAGTAAAGAACGCGTATTATCTGATGATTACATAAATGCCTGTTTGGAAACAAATTTAGCTTTTATGAAGTCAATCCCTAATTCTGCAACTTATTGGTCTGCGCGAAAGCGAGATCTTTTTGCAATGATGCGCCAGTTGGGTAGGCCAACTATGTTTTTGACCATAAGCGCGAATGAAATTGGATGGCCAAACCTTCTAAGGATTTTACACAAATTGAAAAATCAGGGAGAAGAGTTAACCGATGAGCAAATTGAAGTGTTGAATTATTTTCAAAAGACAACTCTGATTAATGATGATGCCGTCACCTGCGCAATATATTTCAATAAATTGATTAATGTAATCATGCTTATATTGCAGTCAAAGAACTTGAGTCCATTTGGTAAATATCGAGTGAGTCATTATTTCAAGCGGATTGAATTTCAACATAGAGGTAGCCCACACGCCCATATACTATTATGGTTAGATAATTCACCAAAAGATGCATTGGGGAACGACTACGAAGAAGCGATTGCATTAATTAATTCGCTCATTTCAGTGGATTCATCTGAAGCTTCCGGTCACATCAAACTTCAAACTCATAAACACACCTTCACGTGTTATAAAAACACTCGTACAAATAATCGGCAATGTCGTTTTGAAGCACCTTTTATGCCTATTCGCCAAACTACTATTCTCATCCCGCTAGACAAGGAGAATCCAGAGTTACAAAGACTTAAATCGCGGTATAAAAATATACGACAAAACTTAGAAAGTAATGACTACGAAAATATTGAACATTTTTATCAAGACAATTGCATAATATCAGATGATGACTACGTTAACATTTTACGAGCTGGGATAACTCGGCCTCGAGTATTTTTAAAACGGAGACCTTCAGAAAAATGGCATAATTGTTTTAATCCTTTTATTTTGAACGTGGTTGGGTCTAATATGGACTTCCAATTTATCACCGAAGAATATTCATGTGCTCAGTACGTTGTCGACTACATAAATAAGACTAACAGAGGAATCAGTAACTTACAACAAAAACTCGTCGAAATTATGAATGATAATCCTGACTTCGACATTATTGCTGCTACAAAGAAACTTAGCGTCAACGCGCTGAATACAATTGAAATGTCAAGCCAGGAAGCAGCGTGGTTTCTTTTGCGTGAACCCATGTCTAAAGCGTCAGTAGCTATTGAATATATTCCAACATACTGGCCACAACAGCGAGAAAGAATTCGAAAAACATTAAAAGAATTAGCGCAACTTGAAGGTGATGATACAAATGTATGGAAGGAAAATTGGTTCGACAAGTACGAGAAAAGACCTGCTATAATTAATGATATCACTCTAGCTCAGTTTGTTTCGCGATATACTGTCAATGCTGCCGGAAATGTTAAAGAACGAAAAGTCCCAAAAGTTATAAGATTCCGAAATTATGATATGGGGAAAGAGTTAACAGAATACAAGAGGGAAATGGTTACGCTACATATGCCTTTCAGAATTGAAGAAACTGATGTTTTGAGTGATATGAAGTTTTTGCGCATCTATGATGAAAATGAAGATCTCATAATGGAGAGACGAAAAGAATTTGAATCTAATTTAGATATCGCAAAAACAATGGAAATTTGTGCACAATTATGTCGGGAAGAGACGGAGCTCAACGATGTGCAGGCAAATAACGATGACCAGAACAGGGCTAATGTCCAAGAAATTCTAGATCCATACCAACAGTTTCTTCAAGATCCAAACTCGGCTATTAACGATGATTTAGTATCAGCTTCAATGAATAAACTCGGAGCGATATGGAAAAAAAAAGACAACCTCATGGAGACTCCAGAGTTTCTTGAGCTCATGAGAAGAACTAACGAGAAGCAATTCGAGCTGGCTCAACACATAATATGGTTATTGACTTCAAAAAACCCAATGCCGTTACAACTATTTTTGACTGGTCCTGCTGGATGTGGGAAAACTTTTCTCATCAAACTGATTATGGAAATTTGTAATAGATTCACAGATACAGATGGCTACTGCAATGCTTATCTTGTATGTGCATCCACTGGAAAAGCTGCGGTTGCTATTGGAGGCACAACTGTTCACACCGCTTTCAAAATTACTCTATCCAGTTTTCAAATACCTTTATCTAACGAAGTCAAGGGCTTGTACAGATGTTTATTCAAGTATGTAAAGATGATACTTATTGATGAAGTCAGTATGATAGGAGCAGAAATGTTAGAACGTATAGATTTGAGGTTGAAAGAAATAACCGGAAATTATGATACCTCTTTCGGTGGATTACATATTATTTTTATTGGTGATTTGAGACAATTGCCTCCAGTTAGAGCCACACCAATTTGGAAACAAAAAATTCAACGGATTGATGGTCAGCAGTTATGGAGAGGAATTAGTTTTTACGAGTTGACAGAAGTTATGCGCCAAGAAAATGCTCAATTTTCTTCATTATTGACAAAAATTGGTAATGGAAATCAATTAGATGAAGACCAGTTGCAACTAATTGAATCAAGATTTTGTTCAGAAGGGGAAGCGGAGCAACGTTGTCCTGGAGGAATTCGATTATTTAATGACAACCATTCAGTTGATGCGTACAACTTGAAAGTGTTGAGTTCATCTGATGAAATATCAAATTCAGTTGCTGATGATGAATTTTTGGGGTGTGAAAATGATCGCGAAAAGCAAAGAGTTGCTAGAGAAAAGTTGTACAAACTTAGTACAATTGACACGGGAGGATTACCTTATGAAATTATTTTTGCTCCAGATAAACCCTACATGATAACGACCAATATTGATGTTGCTGACGGATTAGCCAATGGAGCGGTAGGCAAATTGATCCATGTTGAATTAGGTGTTGATGATAGAATTTTAAGAGTTTGGCTTCATTTTCCTAACGGCGTCGGTGTTAAAGCTCGAGCAAAAACAGCTGGATATGCGAATTCAAAAGGAATTGATAATACAGCGGTTCCTATCAATCGTAGAACTGCAACAATTCCTCTCAACCGGAACAAATCAATTCATGTCAAAAGAAATCATTTTCCGTTAAAACCAGCTTGCTCCTTAACCATTCATAAATCTCAAGGTGGAACTTTTGATGAAATAGTTTACAAGTACAGCAAAGCTCACTCACAGTCTTTAGTTTACGTAGCTTTATCTAGGGTTACGAGTCAAGAAGGACTTTACATTGTATCTAGTGAAGATCAACGTTTTCACCATGGCAGACGTGAAAATCAAGCGATGCTTTTGTTACGAAACGAGTTTACTCGGCTTTCTACTGTCCATCTTAATACAATCGATCGAGTTATACTCGAAAAGATTAATGAAGGGAATATCATTGTTTTTTCTCTAAACTGCCAAAGTCTCCGGGCACATGCATGTGATCTTCGTGGCAACATAATACGAAAATCACATGTTTTAATGTTATCAGAAACTTGGCTTTCTAACAACGAACAGGTTGAAGTTGAAAATTTTAATCTCATCACACAATATAGGCGACCAAACATAAAGCGTGGAGGAGGGGTCTGCATTTATCACAATACTGACGATTCACAGCGGGAGTGTGCGGTCAATGGTGATACTCAATTGAGAAGAGGTCCCCAGCACACAAGTCTAACTAAATCTGCTGTAGGAGATATATGCGCCGCAAGATACACTACATCTAGCGGTAGAGAAATTGTTATAGTGACTGTTTATATTTCGGTCAATACGAATGTTACTGATATAATAGATTTTCTCCACGAAGCATTGCTAGTATACACAGAAGGGGGTTCGAAACTATTAACAAAACGCTATCATGAACTTCCGCTTATACTTGGTGGAGATTTTAATATTGACTTTAATAAAGAAGATGGTTTCCGGTTGATACAATTCCTTAAAGACGAATTAAACTTAGATTTAATTTCTGGAAGAACACTGGGAACAACTAGATATGATACCACTATTGATGCGATGTTTTCGCGATTTATTACACATATATCGTCCGACGTCCATGTATCGTATTTTAGTTACCACAAACCGATCGTCTCAGTATTCAATGATGTTGATATTGTTCCTGGAATAAATACACCGCAAGGTGATGTAAATAGTGAATAAAATCAATCTTGCTCAACATTCTATTATATTAAATTATTATTGTTTATATTTTTTCATGGCTTCCTTATGTATGTCAAAAAATTCATTGTATAATTAATAGAATAAAAATCTACCGTGCATAATCTAAGTATCATCAAAAATGCATTCATTTATACCCGTATTCCCTTATCTATTTATTTATTTTATAATCGTTCTTGAGGAGTAAACTCCAGTCGTGCGTCGGAGCGGACACACACACTTTTTTTTTGATCTTCATCGGGTTCAACTCCACCACCAGGTACTATCCAACTATCTGGCCTTCTACTTGATGTTACGAGCAGTACCTGGTAAAAAATAAAAAACAATGAGCTAAGAGTTAAAAGTCGACTAAAAATAATAATTATTATAAATGTCCGGGTAAACAGTGTTTAAACATATGGGTAAATTTAGAAGCATTTATTGACAACAATCAAGGTGTTGATTGACTTTATTTATATATAGCATGTACATAACAGATTGAGCAATAATAAGCTTGTAAATATATCTGTATATATGTATAGTAGTGATAAAATGCAAGAAAAATAAAAAAAGATGCCAGTGGACAGTGCCCTCTGTAAGACTTACCTCATCCTCGAGGTCGCTCTTGACGCAAATGCACGCTGCTCTACGTCTGTAGCCCTCAGAATCATAAATACGAATTGAATTGGGCTTTTCTTTAACCATTATAAATTAACAAAGACAAAAAAATATAAAAATTATAAGATTAAATTAATAAATGTCGTAATTATTTGTCAAACGGCCAAATTGGCCATTCTATCATGCCACACTATCCTAAGGATGGTTCGAGCCGACATTATCGACCTGTTTTTTTTTTATTTTTTTTTTTATTTATTACACTTTAGTAAATTGTTTAAAGTTTTTAACTATCTGCCTGTATTTGGCTACTTTTAGTTATTGTTTTTTACAATTCTATTGTGTAAGGATATTTATCAGCACTGACTAATAAGATAACACTATTTAAGACACAGTATTGTACTACTTGATCTAATATAACCTTAAAAGTTTCAAAGTCACCATTAAAGATGAAAAACAGCGACACCAGAGCTTTTTGTGTTACCATCAAATGCGCATGATTGCTCTTTTAATTACTGTGACGTTATAATAATTTGGTTCTTGCGACCTCTATTTAATACCGCGATTTTTTAATTATAAAAAATTACATTCTTTTAAATTTATAATTTTATAACAATAAAATATGACACTGAAGTTAGCAGACGCCTAAAAATTTATAATTTTTTTTGTTAATTAAATTACAATTAAAAATAATACTGAAGTCAGCTGACATCTGATGGTTCTTAAGATTTTTTTTAAGAAAATAAATTATTAAAATAAGACTTTTCTAAAAAATTCCACTTGTAGATGTCAAAAAAATTTATTGTTGCCTTTTTTTTAAATATTTTTTTTTAATAGTAATTTATTATTTGTTGTAAAAATCCAAAAAATTGACAGTTGTCAGCTAACTTCAGCTCCATAATTAAAAAGATATTTTTAAAAAATTGCACTTATAGCTTTTTAAGTTTTTTACTTAAAATTCTAAAAATTTTGAAATGTCAGCTAACTTTATTTTCATCAATAAAATTATAATAATTCGGGCTAAAGAAATTTAACTATAACAACAATTAGCACTTATAAAAATTTAGTGAAGATATTCTACATGTAGAAAATAAATGAAACTGTAAGTGTAAATTTTTAAGAATTTTGTTTTTATCATAATCAATTTGTAATAAAAATTCCAAAAATTATCAGATGTCTGCTGATTTTACTTTTAGGAGATAGAAACTTTAAAAAATCCAAAACTTATTTTATAACAATAAATCCATAAATTAATTTCAGTTAATTAATTATTGTGATTAAATGGAAATTGATAAATATTTATCCACACATATAAGTAAAATTTTGAAAAGAAAATAAAAATTTCTCATTATTGATTATTGTTAGAGTAATAATCTCTTTAATGTCTGTGAACTACTATCGATAAATAAGAAATTACTATTTTGGATTGTCACAAAAAACATTTTCTATTTTTTTTTTTTATAAATTTTCTTTTATAAACAGAAAGGAGCAGCTGAAGGTTATGCATTTTATAACTCATAAACAAACTTCTTTGTCATTCTCATGGTTAAAAATAACAATAGATGTAGATGGTTCGTAGAGTAAGCAATTTGTTTCATTAAAGTTAGTTCAAACATTCAAATAATTATGAGAGAAATCAAGTGTACATCTTTATATTATTTATTAATTATTTTTCTATTAGTTAATTCAATAAAATGTAAATCTTATTACCCTGTTGTAATTATTCATGGTGTTCTTACTGGAAGTGACAGTATGGAGCAAATAAGTAGTCGCATTCAAGAGGTAATTTAAATACATTCACTTATCAATCCACTGAGATATTTACCAAGTTTTTTTCATTTACTTAGTATGTACATTTTCAGTGTTAATTATTTATAATACTGAAGTTAGCCGTCAGCTGTTAATTTAAAAAATTTTTTTTAACAAATCAACAACAATAAAAAAATTACTCTAAAAATTTTCACTTGTAATTTTTAATAATTTATACATGTGGAATTTTTCAATTAAATTTATTTTATAATAATTTAATTGTTATAAAGTTCTAAAAAAATTTCTTATGTCTGTCCACTTCAGTGTCATAATTATTTACGCAGTAGAAAATTAACTAGCTGACGTTGAAATGATTTTTTTAATTTATTCACTTATTTGTGTGTATACTGTTTGTAAAATCAATTTTTTTGATGAGAATTGTTTTTTAGGAACATCCAGGTACGCAAATATTCAATACACCACGTTATGCTGGATGGAGCAGTTTAGAACCAATGTGGCATCAAGTGGAAGAAATTGGAGAAGATTTAATGGCTATTTCAGCAGCGTTTCCCGAAGGAATTAATTTATTAGGATATAGTCAAGGTGGATTATTAGCTAGAGCTATTCTTCAAAGATTTCCGCAGCATAACGTCAGAACTTTTATATCCTTAAGCTCACCTCAAGCTGGGCAGTATGGAAGTAAGATTAATACTGATTGATGATTGTTGAAACAGTACATGATTTAATTTACAATAATCAACGATTTTGATTTGTTGAGAACCCTAATAATATTTAGATATCTTTTTACAGAATGATATATTTATATTTTTAGAAAACATTCATTGACATTTTGACCTTAGATCAATGGCTCATCTTATTCACAAAACAGAAAAAATTCAATCATTTATAGGGGAGATAATCAAGCTTTTATTCGTCCAATTGTATGTTTTACATTTATTCGTAGCTCGAAACATAAACATAAATTTATTTATTTATCTATTTCACAATTTCAAAATATAAATATTGAAAAGTTATCACTATATAAGGTTTAATATAAATTCATTATGAGTATATATACAAATTTCTTTCTATTGAAATAAAATTAATCTATAAAGAGAAAAATTTCGAACAAAATTTAAATACAAAAATTTATTTTTGTCACAAAAATATTTACTGAAACAATATATTTTTCTAATTACAATTAAATTTTTTTCGCTACTTTATGATTAATTTTTTTTTTTTTCAGCAAAATTTTTACACTTATTTTTCCCGGATTTAGTTTGTGAAACCGCGTACGAATTGTTTTATTCAAAAGTCGGTCAACATACAAGTGTCGGAAATTATTGGAATGATCCTTATCATCAAGTAAGAAGTTATAATCTATGTAACAAGTATTTAATCAATACCATTGTTTTTTTTGAAAGTATTACAATTACATTTTTCAGGAATTATACTTCAAATACAGCAAGTTCTTACCACTTGTTAACAATGAAGAGCAAACTGTCAATACTACGGATTATAAATTAGGGCTGACAAAATTAAAAAAATTGGTTCTAATTGGTGGTCCGGATGACGGTGTAATTACACCTTGGCAGAGTAGTCAATTCGGGTTTTATCAATTCAATGAGACTGTGGTCGAAATGAGAGATCGTGAAATATATCAAACCGATGCAATCGGATTGAAGACTTTGGACAAAGCAAAAAAACTAACCACCCATACGATTCCTGGAATTCCACATGATCAGTGGCATAAAAATATGACATTAGTAGATTTATACATTTTACCTTACCTTGATTGATTGATTGTTTAGTAAACAATTAATAAGTAATAATTAATTTTAAAAGCTTTATGCATTAAATTAACAACATTATGTTATTAATAAAATAAAATTTTATTATTGCATAAAGTTGTTAATTAAATAGATCAATTTAATCATCATTTAGCAAATTTTTGTAAAGTTAAATTTTAACTTAATGAAGACTGAAGTATGTTTTACAACAAATTACTCATGCATATCTTTAAAATATCTAAATACTTGTACTATTGTTGAAAAGGTCAATTATTTATAAAATAATCAAGATCTTGTTTTTAAATTTTAAGAGTATTTTGTAAATTAATAACCAGTGAATTATTTTGAGAAAAATATTTTGTAATTACAAACTTAAAGGTTGTTTTTTTTTTTTTTTTTTTTTACATTTATAGTATGTACAAAAAATATTAAAATTGTGTACATAAATTTAAGTAAACTTTGTTTCATCATTTATTTTGTTACGAGTAAGAAATTAAAAAATTTTTCATTGCAAGAATTTTTTTCAATTATTATCTTTCATCTTATAGCATAAAGACACTAATCCAATCACATTGCAATTAAATTAAGAATCGTAATTAAAAATATTAAAATAACTAACCTTGATAAATATTTGATTATTATTAACACTTATTAATATTTAATCTGTTTAATTAATCATCGATAACCTGAGCATTAATAAGAATAGTTAATTCAAGTAAACATATATAATAAAAAATCAATTATACATATTACTTAAATTTCATAATTACAGTATCGTCAGTGTCTTTATCTATATTTTTAGTTATTAAAATAAATTTGTTGGATTAAAAAGTCTTGACGTTAGTAAATCGACTAATTAAATCAAATGCCCACTTCGGCTGATCTGCAGGTACCATGTGTCCAGCATTGCGTACAAGAATTTCAATTAAATTGTGAGCATGTTTGACGTATCCAGCAATTTCATTGCCAACTTTCCAGATTCTGCGTTCAGCTTTTTTGTAAGTGTCCGCGCCAAACCATTTTAAGTTCATCAGATAGTTTTCTGTCAGCGGATAAGCAACGATAATGTCAAGTTGTCCATTGTAAATCAGTACTTTGTAGTATTGAAGCAGAGCAGCGACTTTATCAGCCTGCGACCGAGTGATGTCGTTTTTCAAATGCTCTTCCACTTTTGAATTTTCAACATTGAAAGAACAGTTTCCGACGTGAATAGCACGCCTTGCACCAACACCCTGCACCCATTGACTCATCCAATCCGACTCATTAGAATCGCTTGTGTGTAAATAATTAAAATAGAAATTGAATCCAGTTAGATTTTGAAAAAGAGTTGGTGGAGAACTCAAATCACCATCAAGAAGTTTGTTGAATATTTCAAAAGCTTCGTCATATTTACTCTGATTAATAAACGCCCTTCCTTGATCTTCATAAGCATGAAACTTTTCCCTACCATTGAAATCAATCAAACCCAACTGGTAAAGATAGTCCCCGTAATTCAACTGATTTATTGGATCAGTGAGACCGTTACCAATGGCTATACCTTTTAAGTTTATTTTTGTTTTTGATGTTAAGTTGTTTTGATGAATTGTGTACGCCACTGCTGGGACATACTTGCCGGCATATGATTCACCAGTTACATAGAAATCATTGTTTTGGAGCTCTGAGAATAACTGGAAAAATTGTACTAGCGCTGAATATAAATCTTCACCTACTTGGGTTTCATTTTTCGCATATCCGTCATCATGATCTGTGAAACTGTAACCCGTACCAACTGGATTGTCTATGTAGATTAAATTGTGCGATACACTCCAACTATATTTGCGCATTTGAAGAGTTATGTTTTTGTCAACTCTAAAAGGTCCATTTTCGGTGAAGAGACCAAAGAGAGAGCTTGCTCCCGGGCCACCTTGAAGCCACAAAACTACTGGCGCTGTTCGAGGTTTAACCTGAAGAAAAAACAATTAATTATAAACAAATGTTTTTTTTTTAATATTATCAGTTTTGTTTGAATCAAGCTCACAGAAAATTAGATCTTTAGTTAACTTAATATGATGGTATTAAATTTTTATTTTAGACTTTTCTACAAAACAAAATCGGTGAATCAAAACAGATAAGTTCTGAATAATTTGGTTTTTAATTACAGTTATGAATAAAAGTTTTAAATAAATAAATAAATAAATAAATATGATTTTTACTTGTATACAACCTTAGTGTGTTTTTACAAGGAGAGGGTGGGGATTTTATTTATTCTTCCACTTTTTAGTCCTCACTTTTTTCACTCTTGGTTATACCTTTGTAACTATCACATTTATTTTTCCCCTTGTTTTGCACCCCCCACCCCCTCAGTGTGGTAGATTTTTTCTACCACACTTTAGTGCGTTCGAGGTGGCGGCTGTGACCGACTTACAAGTGCTGTACGCATTGGCCTGTGCCTGCCCATTTAAGCTTTAGCACAGTGACCAAGGAAAACCACAGAAAACCTGGTCAGTACAGTTCGGCTACGAGAGCGACCCTCAGCGGTTGTTGTTGAAATCAATTTTCTAACAACCGCTGGGGCTCGAACCCGCGCCTCTCGGCACGATATCTGTACAGACTAACGCATTAATCCGCACGGCTATCGCGGCCGATTTAAATAAATAAATAATTAACTTTAACAAATTATTTGTGTAAGTCCACAGATGTAGTAGCTATAAAAGTAGATGATGATGATGGTGAAGTACTGCTTTGTAACGGTGATGAAGAAGGTGAAATAAAAAACTTTGTGACTGGTGTTTCAAAGGCTGGCTGAATATTCATTATTTGATTCATTTCTAACTCCTGTACTACGTTAAATATTTTAGATTTAGCAATATTTAAGTGATACGGATTTAAAGATTTTAAAGTAGGCGCTAATCCAGCAAGGAATGCGTCTACTGGATGAGTTGACTGCTGGTTCGTTTTCTCATTTTGCTCTAAAATGTATTTCACCAGATTGATCGATGTTGTCTCGGAGTTGTCGTACTTTAATAAATCTTCATCGTCAGCTTTTCGTTTTTTATTTATCTCCAACGATACAGGTTCTTTTGATACGTTATTAATTAAACCATTTTCTTCATGATAGTTCGTACTTATTGAAATTTTTCCAAACTGGGAACATTGTTTTGACTTTGTTACTGAAACTCCATCTTGAGCTTGGTCCTCTTGGTCAGTACCTTCACTATCTTCGATGTCACTGTCATCAGACTCCTCAGGATCGTGTTTAATGCCAACATTGGCTAAAGGGTCCATCGCGGCGGAAGTATTAACTCCGACAAAACTATCTAAAATGTCATCAGTGTCTCTTATTTTGATAAAAGGCATTAAAAATTCTAATTGATCTTCATATTTATATTTCTTCGATTGTGTTAATTTTTCTTCATCTTGAGCTATTCTTTTTTTCAACGATTTACGGAAATTGTCTCTGATATTATTCCAACGGGCTTTACATACTGGAACTACAAACAAAAGGTATTTTTTACTTCTATTTTTTTTTCCACAAATTTTTAGCAAAACGACTTTTTTTCTTATCTGAACTCGCATGTGAGTCTTAAATAATCTTTGTGCTTGGATAATATTTTAATTATTATACTGCAGATCAAACTTCTTTCAATTAGATAAAGTATTTACAATGAAATATATTTAATATCTTCAGATTCTACTTCTTATTGACAATAAAAAGATGTAAGACTGATAATATACTTAGATTATTAATTATCTCCATCGAGTATTATATCTCAAAAAGTTATTTCTAAAATTTATAATGGAAAAAAATGATTATAATAAATACCTGGTTGATTTAATTTTAGTCCGATTTTTTCCCATTTTTTTTCTTTATAATTGCCATTTAAATATTGCGAATGTGAAAAGTCATATAATCCTCTGTAACTTTTTACGCAATTTATCAATTTTTCATCGTCCATTTTCTAAAAACTTATTATTCGTTTTCAAATAAATAAGCTATCTGGTAAGTTTTGAAGGTTTGATTCTATTGATGGTTAACTATTGTAGCATGTATCAGTGTTTTGTCTAAAGTAAGATTCTTTACAATAAGACTTTCAGGTTTGTATTTTATTTATTAAACATCATTGTTGAGAAAATTTTGTTGTTGAAACATAAGAATTAATACTGATGATTATCAGAAGAATCTGATACTGATACTGAAGTAAAAAAGATATGAAGTAATAAATATAAATCAATAAGTCGTTGTTTACTTCAGTTCACTGCCCACGGACGACGTGATTTTAACGGATACGGAACCGAGCCGTAAATTTTGAATCAGTAAAAAACTGAAATATTTAAAAATTTCATTCTTTCAAATTTATAATACTAAATTTAGCTGACATTTTTAATTTTTTTATTTTTTTTCATTAATTAATTTTTAACTAAAAAATATTTTTGAAAAATTGCACTTATAGTTTTTCAAGTTTTTTACAAATGAAATTTTTTTTTTTTTTTTTTTATTTTTTTGTACTAATTTTTTAAATAAAAAAAAATATGAAAATAAAGTTAGCCGACATCTAAAAATTTATATAATTTTTTTTTATTAAAGAATTATTACAAATTGAAAAAAAAATTTTTCATTTGTTAAAAACTTGAAAAACTATAAGTGCAATTTTTTAAAAATATTTCTTAGTTATAAATTAATAAATTAAGCGAAGTTAAAAAATCAAAAATGTCGGCTAACTTAATTTTCATTTGAATTTTTCGTTGCTGAAAAATAAAATTTAAATTTATAATTCAATAATCAGTTACCGGTTATCAGGCAGTGTAAATTAATTAAATCCTTTCAATTTTCTGTGAGCTTTTGATCCAAATGTTTATAAAATTATTATGACTATCTAAATCTAAATTTAAAAAAGTATGAATAATAAAAATGAGAAAAAAATATTTTTACCTGTGCAGGGAAAAACCAGAAGAACATATTAGAATTATATTTTTTGTTGACTGTTAAATATCCGGCGTAACTTCCAACATCCAGCATTTCTTTATGTTGAACGGTAGCTAATTTTCTAGCAACATCAAATTTTTCTTTCTCGATGTAGGGTGTCAAAAACAAAGGTTGTCCAGCATCTTCGCCATTCTTCAGAGGATAATTTTTTAATTTCGGATAAACGTTTGTAAATCCTTGAGTGTCACCAAACAGATTGATAACAATAAATATTATTACTATCAGCGAGCTATTAAATATTTTGTTACTGGACATGACTGATAAACAAAAGTTCTGCCTTTATTTAAAACTAAAAAAATAATCTGAATAGTTTTTATTATGCAATACTATTGTTCACTATTTGATTGCTGATTATAAAATAATAATATACTTAATAGTCTAGAGTGTTGCAGAGTATTATTAGGCTTTATACTATTAACGTGGAATTATATATGAGAATGACAATTAGGATTGAAAATCAAGAATTACTGCGCACAACAAGACACGCAATGCATATCGGATATTGAATAGACACACTGCTGCCAAACGGACCGTAACCGCTACTTTTATTCATTTTCAAAAATTTATCTAATGATAATATAATTTGTTTTATCGGTTGGTAATTACTTTGATGATTATAAGGTAATAAATATTTTATTTACAATTTTTGATATTATGATATTAAAATAGTTGTTAAGATTATTAAGATTTATTAATTAACTTTTTTTTTTAATTTTTAGAGGTAAAAATAATACAATATAATGACATGAGGATAAAAAACTAAAAAATAATACATAAAATTGGCATTATAAAATTATATTAAAGACTGAAGTGTTTGATCAAGTGAATAATAATTATATTTCATTGAATGTCGTAATTTCGAGTAAATCGCGTAATTAATTCCAAAGCCCATTTCGACTGATCTACTGTGACATAGTTAATGAAAATAAATTTGGCAGATATTAAATAATTTTTAGAATTTTTTTTAACAAATAAATAATGGCAAAAAAAATAAGAAAAAAAATCGGCATGTAGAAATTTTAAAAAATGAAAAATCCAATTTTTTAAAAATTATTTTTTAGAACAAATTAATTTTAAAAAAAATTAAAAAATTTTCTAATGGCTGCTAACTTTACTGTCATACATAGTTAACACTATCAGCCACTGTCCCATTAATTTGCCAAATATTATGTTTTGTTGAATTTTTATGGCTCTGAATTTAACAGGCATCTAACAATTTTTACAGCTGTCACCGCTTTACGCGAAGTCAGAGAAGAAGCTGGTGTCCTCGGACATTTAGGACGATGTCTTGGTGTCTTTGAGGTTCATAAAGTACTCTAACTTTTATTTACCTTATTATTTTTATATAGAGCTTCATCTTTATCTGATAGTTCTGAAAAACATTGGATTTTAATTATTTGCATGATAGTTCTTAAATTTTCATGATCTTTAAATTAGCGATTTCAAATTTAGAGAATAAAAAATTCTCTCTTCAATTTTGGAGTACATTTGAAAGTTTTTCAATATTTATTAAATGAAAATGCTATTTAAAAATTAAAAAATTTTTTTTTCTTTACTGAAAAATATTTCATATTAAAGAAATGACGCTAAATTCCGAATTAAATTTTCTTTGAAAAAAAAAAAAAAAAAAAATTCAAGCATTAAAATCAATTTACGGATTTTCGCTAATTTTAATAACATGAGTAAAAATGGTTGTGTTTTTATGTACCGCACGTGTATTAAGGTAAAAGACCCCATTAGTGGTACTTTTTCTTTCAATGAAAAAATATTCTACTTGGAATAAAAATTAAAAATTTTTTTGATCAAAAGGTCTTAAAAATTATAAATAATATATTTATTATTGAAATTAATGATTTAATTAATTGAATAAGTATCAAAATCAAAGAAAGTGTCAGTAATGGGGTCCCCGCCACTAATGGGATCTTTTACCCTACTTAAAAATATGTGCATTTTATATTTCTTCTAAGAAAATTTATTTCATTAATTTAAAACTCCAAATTTAATGTTTGTTCTTTTCATCAGCATAAAATATATTATATATTGAGTTGTAGAGTATTTAATTATCTTTAGAAACAATAACAATGCCAATGCCGTTTATTATAATTTGAAAATTATAGTCTGCCAAAATTTAAATAATACTAATTAACCAGCTATGTTGTCTGTAATGTATTTAAAAATAATATGTATTTTTTTTTTTTTCTTTAGAATATTGAACATAAACACCGAACTCAAGTTTGGGTGATGCGAGTTACTGAAGAATTGCCAGAGTGGGAAGATTCACGCAACATTGGGCGTAAAAGAAAATGGTTTACAATATCAGACGCATTAATACAATTGGCACAGCACAAACCCATCCAGCGTTCATACATTCACAGCCTCCGTAACTCGAATCCACGACGTGGTGCGTCAACAAATCCCACACCACTTCACCCTCATTCTCTGCCCACTCCAATTCAGCTTGTAACTAATTCAACTAGCGATCCTCACCTCAGTAAACACAGCTAATGTTGATCAATAATTGAACGTTGGTTAGATTTTATAATATTGATATACTGAGTATTTCGTATCACATTATCATCTACATCTACATCTGCATTTTCATCTGCATCATCAAATATTGTCATCACTAAAACTACTCTTTTATACTGCAGTTGTACGGCAGTGACAACGACAACTCTATCACTTGTATTTTATATATTGAAACAAAATTAAAAAAAAAAAAAAAAAAAAAAAAAAAAAAAAGATCAACTAAATTATATTCATTTATGCAGAACGCTAGAAACAAATAAATAATGATGAAAAAATTGAATAAAATGTTGTATTGGGCTCCCACCTAGAAGATTGATTATTATACATTAATAAAGAGAAATTTATATGCTAATCAACTATCTATTTTATTATTTTTTATAATTCCAAGTGTGAGGAAATTTTTCGTACTTTCCTAAATTTCCTATCACATTTTGTGCATTTTGCTGTGCTGCAGCTGCTTGTAGCGTATTTGAGAATGTACGCTTTAAAATAGGTGTCAGCACTTTTAATAAACTACAAACTAAATACTGGTTGGTGATTTCATTTCAATCATATACTCGAAACACGTGTAATTTACATTTGTGTATTTTTTAAGACACGTGACAATTAACTATTTTATTACTTAAGTGCTTAAACATTATTAATTAACGGTGTTTAGTAATAAATAATCTCATATATAATTTTGAATTTAACTAAAATCATTCCAACCTTTTTTAAATTATAAAATAATATTATTAATTTGGAGGTTAGGTAAGTAAAATGACATTTTTAAAAATTTTAATTATTTTTTATGTAAAATGTAATGATTAATTTATACAATTAATCGTGTGTATAATTAATAAATAAATAATTAATTAATTGTAGATAACTATGGAAGACAAAGTTGAAAAAATGGAGCAAAGTGAGGAGAGTGAAGATTCAATGGACGAGGATGTTGATGCTGTAGAAGAGGAGGAAGAGGAAGACGAAGGAATCGAAACTGAAGAAAATAAAGAGAGTGAAGTTTATTTACCAGGGAAACCTTTAGATAATGATGAACATTTAGTTGTTGATGAATCGGCTTATAGAATGCTACATAGTGCTCAAACTGGAGCTCCCTGTTTGAGTTTCGACGTTATTCAGGATGATCTTGGATCAGGACGTGAAGTTTATCCTTTGTCAATGTATTTGTTAGCAGGAACTCAGGCTGCTAAAACACATTTGAATAGTTTGCTGGTATTGAAAATAACAAATTTAACTGGAACAAATGAAAATAAAGACGATGATGAGAGTGAATCCGAGGATGAGGACGAGGATGCTGAGAATGGCCCTAAGATGAGTGTGGCCTCGATAAAACACCAGGGATGTGTCAACAGAGTCAGATGTACCCAGTTTTCAGGCGCGACGTTTGCTGCGAGTTGGAGTGAGCTTGGAAGAGTTAATTTGTGGAATTTAGACGAACAGCTGAAAGCATTAGAGAGTCCAGCCACATTGTCGGCTTACAATAAAAGAGCTGAGAAATTAACTGAAAGCCCGAAGCCTTTTTTCACATTTAAAGGACATTTATCTGAAGGGTACGGGCTTGACTGGTGTTCTACGGAACCTGGTGTTCTAGCTTCCGGAGACTGCAAAGGGAATATTCATCTCTGGAAGCCAGGAAACGCCACTTGGAATGTTGACCAGAGACCTTATAATTCTCATGCTCCTCACAGTGTTGAAGATATTCAATGGTCGCCAAGTGAGAAAAATGTTTTAGCTTCTTGTTCTGTAGATAAAAGGTACTTATTACTTACTATTATTGAAATTATTATTACTTATATGTTAAAATAATACTATTTTTATTTTTTAATCTAGCATCAAAATTTGGGACACAAGAGTAAATCCACAATCAGCATGTATGTTAACGGCATCAGATGCTCACACAGCTGATGTAAACGTCATTTCATGGAATAAAAAAGAAAGCTGTTTCATTGTATCTGGAGGAGATGATGGTGCGGTAAAAATTTGGGATTTACGACAATTTTCAAATAAATCCGAGGCCGCTACTCCTGTGGCGACATTTAAACAACACTTGACAGCAGTCACAACTGTCGAGTGGCATCCAGACGAATCTGCAGTCTTTGCATCCGGTGGTGCAGATGACCAAATTGATCAATGGGATCTATCGGTGGAATCAGACTCAGCCGCTGGTGAGAGCGAATTGCCGAATTTACCACCACAGTTAATGTTTATCCATCAAGGTCAATCGGATGTCAAAGAATTGCACTGGCACCCTCAGTGTCCCGGCACTCTGATATCGACAGCCGCTTCCGGCTTCAACATTTTCCGGACGATTAGTGTTTAAAATAAATTATTTTTAAAATTTTTTATATTAACTATTAATATTGATACTGAATTAATTATGAATTATGTAAGAGATTCAGAGATAATAAATGCCTTATGGTGGGTCTACCATGAGGACAATTCCATGGGTTTTGCATTTGACTCATTTGTGTCAGCAGACGTTGCATTTCTGAAGTATTTAAAGCTGTACCAATCATCACAGCACTTCGACAAGCTCTTGAAGCAAGCATCTGACGTATTCGACTTGGGCGTAGAATTTTTCCCTCCAAAAGATTACTGTTAACACCCTCGGGATCGCCTTCTTTTATTAAAAATATTAATTCTTCTATGTCTGTTTGACCGAATTGCCAATATCCACTCACAGGCATTCCAATTAATTTTATTCGTTTACCCACTTGGTCTAGAAAAAAATAATCAATTAATCATTATAAAATCGAGTGAATAAAATAGTAAAAAAAATATTTACCATCTTCATTGACGTCAAAACTAAAACCGTTGGCATGAAAAAATTCTTGATGTTCAAGTAATATTGTCTCGTTGACAGCTGTTAGATTTAAAGGCTTTGGTATTACTAACTTTTGCGTTTTTAATTTAGTTTCGCTGTTTAATTTCTCAAATCTAAATTTTTCATCACTTGCATGCTGATCTATTAAAAAAAGATCCCCGTCTAATTGCGTAATTATAAATCCCAAGTTAAACTGCCCAATTATTTTCATCTGAAAAATTATCAATAATATATTTAGTATTCTAGGAATGAAAAATAATTTATAAAAAAAAAAAACCAATTAAAACTACCTCCATAAAATTTTCTTTAGTCAATTGTTTTTTTAATTCTTCCTCTGCATCATTATTTTTAGCTACATCGATCTCAGCTCGGAATTTTATTTTATATTCTAAATCTTTATTTTCTTGCCGTTTAGTTTTTAATTCAGCAGCCGCCACTACTGATTCAATATCTATTTTTATTTCTCTGTCCGGTAGTTTTTTTAATTTAGTAACATCTATTTCTTGTCTCACGAATTCATTCTCAATACGATTATATTCTTCATTATTATTATTTTTATTTTCATTTAAATCGTTTAAAGATAATTGTAGTTTTTTTGAAGGTGGAGATGTTGAACTATTTCGTACAAGATTACGTTTAAATGATACCTGTAGTTGAGTTAAAGCCTGCTCAGTAAAATTACCTTGCATTTTGTCCCATTTAGTCTGCAAACTCATTTTAATAGTACCGAATATTAATTTTTCTTGCAATAAAAATATTGTTCGCTTATCTGGTGTGACATTGACATCAGCAGACTGTTGATTTAATTTTAAATTTAAATACACAAACGGGTATTGCTTATTATTATATTTATGATACAAATTATTAATTAATTTTGATATTTTAGTTAAATTACAGGGACGTCCGTTGACAAAAAAAAATTGCCGATCTGGTGATCCTCGTCCCATTGAGTGTTCGCAACTACTCACGTAAAATTCCCACGAAAAATCAACACTCAAATCTTCCGGTAAATGAAATTCTTCTCTAATACTTTGATCTGGTGTAATTATATCAACAATACTGATACCATTGAGATTTTTTTTACCGAAAATACAGTAAGCATTATCTAAAACATTATCAGCTCCATTTGTTGCAACAATACTAGCCTCTGATTTTTTATCCACTTTATTGGTACATGTTATTTTTATTCCAGTTGACACTAAACAGTAACCATACAAAATTTGTATTGCTTTTGAAAATTCCCGTTTAAGATTTTTTTCAAACTCTTTTATTCTCACTGGAAGGCTTTTGAATATATTTTTAACACATACGGTTGTTCCTCTTTCACGTGCACATATTTCTTTATTTTCCAAACGTCCATTTCGGTCAAACTGCAACTTATATGCATGTTCATTTTCTAGATGCTTTGTTGTTATTGTTACATCTGATAATGAACAAAGTGAACTCAATGCTTCTCCACGAAAGCCAAATGTTGATACTTCTAAGAGATCACTAAAATCACGAAGTTTTGATGTATGATGCTTCAAACCTAGAATATAATTTTCAATTTATTTAAAAACTAATTGATTTCTATATGAAAATTAAGTTAGCCGACATTTTCAATTTTTTAATTATTTTTTATTTATTAAATAAAAACTAAAAAATATTTTTAAAAAATTTCACTGATAGTTTTTCAAGTTTTTTTACAAGTGAAATTTTTTATTTTCTTCTTATTGTAATAATTTTTCAATAAAAAAATTTCTGAAAGTTTTTAGATGTCGGCTAACTTAATTTTCAAGATTTCTATACAATATCATAATTAACTAGATTTGCAAAACAAATGACTTAGAAAAATAATTTTACCTAGTCCTTCAAAGTCATGCTCCAAAACACCGCTACCGTTATCACTGACGGTGATGGATGTTTTTCCATAATCTACTAGCTTTACATCAATACAGTTAGCTCCACTATCAGCGCTATTTTCCACAAGTTCTTTAATTGCTACAGCAAGATCCAGCACCACCTGACATTTATGATTAAATCTATTAATTATTATTTCTTGAAAATATAAAATAAAAATGATGGATGCTTATCCTTAACCTTACCTGACCTGAACAAATATGATGAACAGTTTCTTTGCTAATAACATTTATTTTTTTTGATTTCGCAGTCGTAGCAACAATTTCTACGTTTTCTTCCATCATATTTCTTATTATAAATTGAAAAAAAATAACAGTTAAAAAATTACCGGCATGTTGAAAAAAATAAATGTAAACAATTTTTCAAATAAAATGCAGCGAATCAAATCTGCGCATATTTTTTTTTTTTGAATCGCATGCGCATTATCAATGTAAACTTTTATACTTTCTTTTAAGATAACCTTATAATTCTTTATTTCGATTGTTATTCTAATATTATTATTATTATTATTGAGGTAAGGTATGTAACAAATATTATTTGTATTGATTTGATAATTTTTATCAAATACTAAAAAAATAATTATAATTGGTTTTAAATTTACGTTAATATTAATAAAAATTAATTTAGCAGACATTTTATAATTTTTTAAATAAATAAATTATGCCAAAGAAAATGAGGAAAGAAATTGACATTTAGAAAATTAAAAAAATAAAAAATCCAATTTTTTAGAAATAATTTTTCGGAGCAAATTTATTTATTAAAAAAATTATCAAGCAACTGCTAACTTTAATGTCATTAATATTAATGTGTAAAATAATAACAATGGCAGTATTTAAAAATTAACTAATAATAATATTGCTATTAATTTTTAGACAATTAACAAAAACAATGGCATTACGTGGATTGGTTATCGCACGTAATATTCATACGACAAATATAAATAATGAAATTCGTAAAATGGCACGATTAAGAGTTGTTGATAATAGTGACATAGGTAAGAGAGCTATGTTGGAAGGTAAACCACCAAAGTGTATTCACGTTTACAATAAAAGTTTGGTTGGCTATATAGGTAATTAATTATTTTACTTATTCATTTTTCAATTAAAAAAATAAAACAAATACTAAAACTAATTGTTATCCAGGTGATCGTGTTTTGGTAGCAATAAGAGGTGAAATGAAAAAAGGAATTTTAGTAGGCTTGAGGCAAACACAAAACCCCAAAGTACCAAGATTTGATAGTAATAATGTTGTATTGATTGATGATAATGGTACCCCACTTGGCACACGTATCCATGTACCAATACCACTTATTTTAAGGACAATACTCAAACAAAAAACACATTCTAAGGGTGCTGACTATACAAAACTATTGGCCATTGCTCCAAAATTTGTATAAAATAGACTTGAGTATCAATAAATTATTTAAAACACAAGTTGTATTGTTTGTAAGTAATAAAGTAAAATTTTGCATTCAATCAGAATACTATACATTAATTTTAAACAAAAAAGATCCATTAATTACATCTTTCATCTCTCATGCAAATTAATCAAAAATACAGAGGGTAAATTTTAATTTGAATTTCTTTATTAGAAATATAAAAGTAAGTATCTTGAAATGGGATATAAAAAGATATGAAATAAAAAAAAGTAGGTAAAAATTTTCAAAATTGTCTTTCCATTTCTATTCTAAAGTTTCCACTCAAATTCAGATATAATTTTATGTAATTCATGAAAATAGATCAATTAAATATATGGAACTCAGTCCAATAAATAAAAGTAGCTAAGATGTACAATCATAATTTACAAGCTTTTTTTTATTCTATTAATTTTGATAATTAAATTAATTTTACTTCATAAACACTCGAATGAAAGATAGGCAATTTTGTTTTATTCAATACACCATACTCTACAAAGTACGTAAAAAAACAAGTTTCTTCATATTTATCATTAATAAATTGATGTTACAAATTCACATCCTCCCATAATTTTTATTTCAATTTATAAAATAAGTTCTACATCATCATAAACATTACTAAGAGTTATTATTATTATTATTAAATTTATAGCTTTTTAATTATTAATTATTATTATGTATATCCATAGGAAGTGGGATTAATATCAAAGACCATCATCATTATATCAGTAAATAACGAAATACAATTTTATCTTTTACTTCTTATTAATTTTTTTTGATCCTCCAAATCTTATCAGATGCACTAGCGTACTAACTCTACAAGATATACCACGTTGTAACGCGTGAGATCTGATTCAGTCCTGAAGAGTTAAGTACATATAAAAAATTAATTGTTTATCATGTCAGGACATCTGAACTACTATTTAATAATAAAAACGCTCAGTTCCACAAACTCAGGCACGCCTGGCTGTTGATAATAAATACACACAATGTCGCTGCTGGTGCAACTAGTCTTATTTTTTTTGTATTTTTTGAAATTTCTATTTAGTATTTATAGTTTTTTTTAGCCTCTGTAAATCGTGTATCAATAAAAAGACACCTCTATAAAACTTCAAATAAATGCATAATATCATACTTTTATGTCGACTAACGATACATGTTGCTATAACTATTTTTAAAATGATATACAAAAACAGTTTATTGATTAAATAAACATACAGTACACGATTTACACACTAATTATTAATTTAATATTTTTAAGTCTCTTGACTAATAATCTCAATCAACAATTATGTTATTTCTTTGTCGTGTGTATTTATTTTTTCTAATTTATTATCACGTATTTCTAGACCGATCTGTTTACCCCACATGTTAATACTAACCATTGTTTATATAATTATAAAATATTACTGGACAAAAGTTTTCATTATCACTCATAATTGGTGTTAATAAAAATATTTGATAGTTATATAAACATGTCTTCTTTCTATTTTATAAATTTAAAATTTTTTCATACACTCAAAAAATAGTGCTCTCATGACTCTATTTCAGTCTAAGTAAGTGAATACCTTTTGCAACATTACAATCTCGCAATTTATAAAACAGAAAAATCATTCTAATTATTATAAATCAGATACATAATTTTTTCTTATTTTTGTGTGCAATTAATAAGTTCAAGATGTACAATAATATCACGATTAGAAATTAGCCACCAGCAACGACCAGAGTATACTTAGCTTTTTACAGTAAAAAATACAGCTTCTGTTGACATGCATGTATACATGTAGTATATACACGTACACGGTATTATATACATGTATCTAGTAACGCATTAATTTAATGTATGAGGACATATTTATAAATATTTTTTTTTCTTCTAATAGTGTAAGAATTATAAATTTAATGAGTAGAAATACAAATGATACTGATTTATGTACCGTTAACATTCTTATCGTTAAAAAATATTTATAAAATCGTTAAAATTATAAATGTATCATTTAATTGTGAAAATTGATTAAAAAAAAAAAATATATCCTCACGCATTTTGCGTACAATCGCTATTAAATTCTTTTTGTATGCACTCAGCAAAAAGCCAAAATTTTTTCGACTTTGGTTTAGATAAAATTAAAATTTTTTCTTGGTATAGTAATTGAATGAGTTATCAATATTAGTCCCATACAATTAAACTTTAAACAGCTAGGGAGAGTTAGAGAGGGAGGATCAGATACAAGATGTGTGGATATCGGAAAGAGAAACACAAATTAACAATAACAACAACTATTTACCCATTTGTAACTCTCATTTACTTAAGAAAATCAAAATTAAAAGCCTGTTCAATTCAGTCTTCATTTTATACAAGAAAAAATTTTTGTTCCAACCATATAATCACCATTAAATTAAAACAAAATATTCATGATCGACCGTGAATAAATATTTACGGTTTACAATAAAAAAAAGCCATTTTGTGTTATTACAATAATAATAATAATAATAATAATAATAATAGTTAATGTACAATACAATTATCAGTAATTTTTTTTGTTATCTCATCAATTTTTTATAAGTTTCCTTTATCTTTACTTTCACATCAATTGTGATTATGGTCAACACGAAAAAAAATCCAGACACCTTGCATCGCAACATGCCATTACGAGACAAGCAGAAGGTAAAAATAGGAGCTGAGGATTCATACCTACACGCTAGCTAGATCAATCAAATGTACTTAATCTTTCATTCGTTTTTTTTTTTTTTGTTATAATTATTATTACATCTTATTAATAATGTACTGTGTGTCTGTAAGTTTTTTTGTTTTCGATAAATATTTAAATCTTCCTCATCTCGTGTACCATCTTCATTATCACGACCATCATCATTATCATCATCATCATCGCCATCAAGCTTTCTTCATCCTCACAGGTATAATTATAATATTAATAATAATAGTGTCCATGTCGTTGCGCGCACGCGCACGTGATCGGTGTAACAATTAAAAAACTTAAAGGCATTATTATAATTATAATTAAAAAAGAAAAAAATGTTAAGCCTTTTTTATTTACGAAGAGAACAACTTCGGGTATACTTTATAAAAGGGAAATCGAATTTAATAAACAGGGAAATAGAGAGGAATATTTATTCAGGATTTTAGGACCGGGATTATAATAGGAGATTATTGTGGTGTATTGGGCAACCGAGATATGACGCGTCAGTAGAGATTAATTACTACGAAACAATGTTTAAGATATATAAAAAGACTTATTATTTACGCACATCAAACCGCGTTAACTTTAGCTGACAATATAAAATTGTTTCAATATAATTATCCTCTACCTAGATACAATTCTCGATGTAGGCGTTGTGCACCACGCTAAACGGCTAATCGCAATCGTTAAGCGAGCGCCTCAGATTATTGTTGTCTCCTACTTCCTGTCATCTTGGTCACATTCACGGCTTATGTGACCGCTTTTGCCACAAATGTAGCAAATTTTGCCGCCTCCTTCGGTGCAATTACGTGCAATGTGTCCTTGTTTATTGCAGTTGTAGCAATTCTGAGTAAAACGTCCGGAATCATTGCCACCGTCTGGGCAACTACGGGCCATGTGACCTTGTTTGTTGCAGATGTAACAATTTAAGTCGGGTCCCTGTATTTAAAAAAAAAAAATAAAAAAAAAAAAAAAATTAATAATCACGTTTAATAGCTGATATTGTTTCCACCATTAAATAACAAAAGGAAGAATTTCAAAGATAAGAAAAGAGTTAATAAAAATTAAAAACTATGTTGAATGTTTTTGTTACCTGTTGGCAATCTTTTGCGATGTGTCCTACACCACTGCAGCGGTAGCAAAGTTCTTGATCCTCTTTACAGTCACGAGCAAAATGTCCAAATTGGTTACACTTGAAGCACTTCTCGCGGCCTCGTACGAAACCACCGCCGTCTCTGTCACCGCGTCCTCCACGGTCTCCTCCTCTTGGTCCGCCGGTATTACCCTGGGGGCATTCCCGCGCGAAGTGACCCATTCGGTGGCATTTATAACAAGTACTCGAACTCATTTTTCGTCGATTGTTAATCTCTACAAATAAATAAAACAAAAATATGTTTATAACAAATCAACATTACTTACTCACTAAAAACAAATAAATTATCAAATCACATATAACCAATACAACTGATAACAAAAAAAAATTAAAAAAAAAAATAGAGATATATTATTGAGAATACTATTACAATAAATAAAATGAATGGTGGGTTGGATAATTTACTTAATTGATAAGGATGCCAGGACTGCGATGAACGAATTGACGGTTGATTATACATATTTTTTTTTTCTTTCATGGCATTTAAAAAGTCTACTCCATTCTTAAAATATATCACTCGCGAGGGGAAAGCTCCGGGAGTGCAAGACGAAGGGAGAGTGTTCTCGTCGGCACCACCAACACCGCCATCGCTGCTACACAAATGGGGAGGTCCGACTCTCTTCTTCTCTCTTGTTAGTTTTTTTTTTTTTAATTTTTTTTCGTTAACATTTATTTCTTTACTCGTAGCTTATTCTTTCTTCCTCTCAATCCCGTTGCGCCACCGTCGTACTAAAGTGAGAACACGTAAAAAAATTTTTCAACTTTCTCTTTCTCTCTCTTAATACTAGTTTTATTTTATTATCTTTCTCTTATAAAGCCAAAATCGTGAGTCGGCAACGTTCGCGAGGTAAATAAAATGGCATCTTGACTAGCAAGGATACACCGGGGGTATGAAGGGTACACGTGTTTAGTAGGGCGTCTTATTGTAAACTGCGCATCATTCTACACACTGGAATAGAACATGGTGTCGCATTTGCGATGTAATAAAAAAATAACTAGAAAAAAAAAATTAAAATAAATTCAAGTTGACAAAACTCGAAAAAAAAATTTGTAAAAATAAAAAAAAATCTATTAAATATTTTAATGTTAATTAAGTGATTATTTTAAACAGAAAATGGAGTTGATTTAGCAATAAATACTATTTTTTCAACAAATATTAAACTTTTGAGCAACGTGGCTTGCGCCCCCACTTTGCGAATAACCACGCACATACGCCACGGCGCGAAAATGGCAACCGAGAGTGACGCCGTTGATAAATTTTTTTTTTCTTTACATGAACGGTTAATATTTAACGTCACTGCGCATGCTCTATTAATAATTATTTTATAAAATACACACCTAAAATAATAAACAATTACAAATTAATATCATAATAATATTATTTTGTCACTTATAAATATTACATACGCCTAGTAAGATGTTTCGAGGACCACGTGTGGAGTTACACAGAGCGGGCCATGATTATCCGGTAATAGTTAGACCGCCTCGATTAAACATATATAGATATATATGGATTTATATATATATATATATATGTGTGTGTATATATCGCGACAGATATGTATGAATATCTATATATATATATATACGTATATGTTGCCGCTGTATAATTGTTGAAACAATAAGTTAATAATAAAGTTATAAGTAGTTACCTGATTAAAAAGGTGAATAAATGTGGTATATCTCCTTACGAGTTGTTACAACAGACGACACAAGTTGAAGCAATGAGGTCGAGATTAATAATGTTTTCGAGTGCTTGTAAAAATATAACCGATGCTAGACCGAACGACTACGGCTACCATCGACTATGGGAACGAGACCGGCCAATCGGCGCGCTAGCTACCCGCCAAACCTCTTACTTGCGATACGAACGCCACCATTTTCCCTTCTCCAGTACTACGTAAGTCAAAATAACTTTTACAATTTCAAAGTTTTTCGTTCATTTTCTTGTTATTGTTTCCTGAAATTAATAATTAATTATAAGTTTTGTCCTAAGAATTTTATTTTTCAGATGCTGTTAAATTTTCACCGAGAGATTCATCTGTTTGAAATGTAACGATTTTCCTAACTTGACTCGCTGAATTTTTTAATTGGACCGTGTAAATGTCGGGTGAGTTGAAATAGTGTCGGCGTACCGGCGTCTTGGAGCACGAGGTTGCCAAAAACTTGCGCAGATGACGACACGCATGGTCAGTTATTTGGCAACGTCGCAAGTGGCTGTAGAGACTGATATATTTATTTAATTTATTGATGCATTTTATTGGTAAATAATGATATTATGATATTTATTCCTACTTTTTTTTATTGGATCTATTATTAAAACCTTACATCTAATTTTTAATAATTTTTCATTCAAGTGATAGTATTTATTTGGAATATACTTCCGTCGTTGAAGGGTTACATAGAAATTTAGCAAAACATTAGAATGGAAGTAGAGCGACATTTTTTTTTAGAATTTTACGGTGGCTTTTGAAAATTGTTCTTTCAAAATATCAGACGGGTGACAGCTACTTGCTACAAAAGTACTGTTGAATAAATATTTATTTTTGTTTATCATTGAAGGCTTTGATTTAAAAAAAAAAAAAAATTATGTCTGAGAAAAGAAATATTGAGGAGACTCATGATAGCGACGATGAGTGGGTTGGTCCAACACCCAGTGAAGCTGCTCCAGTAAAAAAACAAAAAGGTATTTTGTAACCTCTTTATTGATATTTATATTTATTATAATTATTTGCATCTATAATTTTAGTGGAAAATTTTAATCCTGAAAATAACAAATGTTTCACCATTTTATATAATTGTTTTCAGTTTTGGAGTATGAACAAGTTTATATTAACAATTTACCTTCGAGCGAGTGCTATGAAAAGTCTTACATGCATAAAGATGTTGTGACACACTTGTTGGTAACAAAGTAAGTATGTTGTATTTTTTTTTTTTTTTTTTTTTACATAAGATATGAAGTATATTTTGAATTGAATAAATTTTTTTTTTGTTTGATGATAGAACGAACTTCATAATGACTGCAAGTTCCGATGGTGCTGTTAAATTTTGGAAAAAGCAGGATGAATCAATAGAATTTGTAAAAAATTATAAAAGTCATACGAAGGCTATAAAAGGTCTAGCGGGAAGTTATGATGGAGTTTTTGCTGCTACTGTGGGTCTTGATCAAGTTTTAAAAGTTTACGATGTTACTAATTTTGGTAATTATAAGTTATAAATTTGTTGATCAAAAACATTGTGTTTAAGTCAATGTCTTGAATTTATTTAAAAATTTTTAACAGATATGAATAATATAATCGACTTATCATACGAACCATCGTGTGTCGAGTGGGTTTACTCAACTGGAGATGCAATACCAGCTATAGCTGTCGCTGATCAAAATTCATCAAAAATTTACGTATACAATGGACAAGAAACTAGCCAAATCCTCCATGTTTTTGAACATCTTCACCGTAAACCTGTTATTGTAATGAAGGTATTATAAACATACTCGTATGTGTTGAAAAATATTTATTTCAATAATTAAAAAATAAACAGTTCTAATATTTTTTAGTATTACAGTTTAATGTAGCTTACGATACTTGTATATCAATTGACCAAGCCGGAATACTGGAGTACTGGACGGGCCAAAAATCTCACTATCAGTTTCCAAAATCAGTGTCTTTCGAATCTAAATTAGACACTGACTTATTTGAATTTGCTAAGAATAAAACTTGTCCATGTGGATTAGCTGTTTCCCTTGATGGCAAACGTTTTGCGACGCTGAGTAGTGATCGTAAAATACGGATATTCACTTTTTTGACCGGTAAATTGTACCGAGTGTTTGACGAATCCTTACAAAAGTTCAGTGAACTTCAACAAATGACACAGCAGCTTCCAAATATGGAGTTCGGCCGAAGGTTGTATAATATTTATTATTCATTTATTAAATAACAAAAATTTTATAAAAATTAATTTTTTGAAATTACTAATAATTTAATTTTCATAGGCTAAAGAAAAAAATAACTTGATTCAAGAGAAAAAATCTTAACCCAAAAATATCATTTTGAAGAAAATTAATTTCTTGAGTCAAGAAGAAAAATTATTGAGATAAAAAATTATTCTTGGTTTAGGTAAATTTATCTTAGTTCAAGAATTTTCTATCTTGACGCAAGAAAGATATTTTCTTCAAAATGGTATTTTTCGGTCAAGATTTTTAGTAGATTTTATAAAAATCTAACTATTGCAGCCGTCCTCATGGCGCAACTTTTAAAAAATTTAGCCATTTTCTGACTCAGTTTGTCGAGCTGAGTCAGAATATGTAGTTCGTTCAACAATTTATATATTTATGTATTTATATATACATTAGGGTGGGTCAAAAAAATCGATTATTTTTTTTTTTTAACTTCTAAGATTGAAAAGTTGGTTCTCAGGCACCTCTAGAAAATGCTTACTAAATTTGAGCTCTTAATATTGATAGGAAGCTTATCCGCATCACAGTTTTATATTTTTTGTTAGTCTCTTATAAAAAAGATCATATCTCACTATTGATCAATTTTTTAATCAAATCTTTATACATGTTTTTGTAGAAAATTGAATGATCTACAAAAAAGATTTGATATGTGTAAGCGATTACATTAACCATTTACATTAATCGATTATAAAAATAACATATTTCAATGGCATCAAAATCGGAGCTGGAAACCTGGGAACCTTTCCTTGTAAATAATAAAAACGGACGTATCATTCTCTTTGTCCAAAAGTAAAGCTTCCTTACATTTATGAATAGGGTAAAAAATAGTTAAAAACTTTCATTCTAGCAATATGAGCTAAAATTTTTATGAAAATATCTACAATTCATGAATTTAATGGATATATTTGAAAAAGTTATTAGAAAATTATTGAAATCAGAAAGCATTGGGGTTCGGTTACGAATATCTTTTAAACGGTTGCAGTAATCAATTTAACATATCAGACCTTTTTTGTAGAGCGTTAAATTTCCTACAAAAATATGGCATATTCATTTGACAACTATTATTTTCCAATGTGGTAGGAAATTTAAAAAAAAAAACTTTTTTTTGATAAATTTTTTTAACTTTGACCTCGGATATCTTTGAAATGGTTAATGTAATCGCTTACACATATTAAATATTTTTTGTAGATCATTCAATTTTCTACAAAAACATGTACAAAGATTTGATTAAAAAATTGATCAATGGTGAGATATGATCTTTTTTATGAGACTAACAAAAAAATATAAAACTGTGATGCGGATAAGCTTCCTATCAATATTAAGAGCTCAAATTTGGTGAGCATTTTCTAGGGGTGTCTGAGAACCAACTTTTCAATCTTAGAAGTTAAAAAAAAATAATCGATTTTTTTAACCCACCGTAATATACATATATATTTACACATATATATTTATACGATATAACGCGGCTTGTCAGCACGATAGCGTTTTCAATTTATAACCGATTCTTCTCAAACTCAACATGCTTTATTGATCGATCAAGACCAAGGTTAAGTTCGTAGATGAGCTTAATCGGGCGAGTAATTTGAAAATTATAGAATTTTGAAATTTTGATAATCGTAAAAATTGCTGTTTTTACTACTTCAACTTGGTATAATTACTGAACTAGACAAGATATTAAAATTTGGTAGAATGCATCGTAAAGTTCTTTTAATAAGCTTCAATTTTCACTACTCAGAAGTGGTAATAGCCTCAATATTACGTCTTTTAGAGTTCAGTTAATGAAACAGTTTTACTGTTGCAGCTGTTTTAGAATTATTGTCTGCATCATAGCTTAATCATGATGTAAATTCAATAATTACGATATTGATCAGTCTTTTCTGTAATGTTTTCGGGTAGGTCGTCAGTAAATATGTTACAAATTAGTTCTAAATATTGTTTTCTTCAATTAAAATTTTATACGGTTTCAAAATTCTGATTAACTTGGAAACTGTTGTTCCTAAGCAGTTACTTAAAATTTGGACATTTATAATTCAAATCTTATAATCTTTGCAATTGTTTGATAAATATTTGAGAAACTTTTTCTTCACAAGATAATTTTTTTTCCGAAATTTGTTCTAAATAGTTTTAAATTTATTATTGAATTTTGTTTTTAATTCATGAATTAAATTATACATTATTAGTATTTATATTATTTCATTGAAAATCAATTTTCTTTATTTGAAAAATCTACTTTCATTTCGGCTGCCGAATGGCCTTTTTTTAATTAAATTAAATCAACTTTTTTTTCTCAGTATATAAAAATCTTATGTACAATAATAGAATAAATCATTAGTTTTAATTGTTAGTTGTAGTTATCAAATAGAGCCGTATAATTATTTACTCTGAATTAATATTTGCAATCAGTAATTGGCCATTTGAATGATTATTTTAGATCGTATGCATCCTTTGAGCTTCCTATTAATTTACCTTTATTATAAGCTTCAATCAACACACTGATTATTTAATAAGTTTATTGACTACTTAATTAATTTTTATAATATTCACTGACGATCCCAAGAGTAAAAGCATTAGAGTTTGACCAGTTATTAATATTCCACTTCTATTAAATTTCTAGTCACATGTTAATTATAAGAATATATTTTTTGTTGCAGAATGGCAGTTGAACGTGAATTAGATAAAACGAAAACTAATTTAGGCAATATAATTTTCGATGAATCTGGCTATATCATAATGTACAGTACCATGTTGGGAATAAAATTAGTAAATATATATACAAATCGTTGTATACGGATATTGGGAAAACCCGAAAATCTTCGGCCAATGCAGCTAGCATTATTTCAGGTAACTCATTTATGAATTTAAATAATTTAATACATTCATATCACTCGTTAATCATTAATATATTGATTTTTTTATTTACAGGGTAAAGCACGTCAAACAGGAGTAGCTGTGACAGTTGAAATGCAAGCCTCAGATAATCCAACGCTCGATCTAATAAAACCCGACCCGACACTTTTTTGTACAGCGCATAAAAAAAATCGATTCTACTTATTCTCACGGCGTGGACCTCAAGAAGTAGAAGGCCAAGAGAATGACAGAGATGTCTTCAACGAAAAACCGTCCAAAGAAGATATTATTTCCTCAACTGAAGCCAGTATTATGCAAAAGATTTACGATACAGCTATTATTCACACAGCTCTGGGTGATATTCACGTATCGTTATTTGGCAAAGATGTTCCCAAGACCGTTGAGAATTTCTGTGTACACTCGAAAAATGGGTACTATAACAGCCACATATTTCATCGTGTTATTAAGGGGTTTATGATCCAAACGGGTGATCCTACTGGAACTGGAACTGGTGGTGAATCTATTTGGGGTGGAGAATTCGAAGATGAGTTCAAGCCCCATTTGAAACACGATAGACCTTACACGTTAAGTATGGCTAACGCTGGAGCTAATACCAACGGCAGTCAATTTTTTGTAACTCTGACACCAACGGTATTTATTTATTTTATTTTTTTTTTTTTTTTATATCATAATTAACCATTATTAAAATTTATTTTTTTAATTTAATAATTTCATTTTTTTAATTTTTCCAGCCTTGGTTAGATAATAAACATACGGTATTTGGACGAGTTATTAAAGGAATGGAAGTTGTACAAAATATAAGTCAAGTTAAAACTAATCCGAAGACAGACAAGCCTTATGATGACATAAGAATAATTAGCATCACTGTTAAATAAATAAATTTTTATATGTTTGTATTCCAAGGTAAAATTTTGTTTCTAATTTAATAAACTTTTTGCTGTATAAATAACTAAGTTACTTTGTTTTATAAATTAAATCATTTCAGTTGAGGGTTTTCTTTAATTCATATTACACATAATAGGTTTAATTAAATTACTTGCAATCATACAGTACTTATAAATACATTAACGCTCAAGCAGTTAAAATTCTTTAGAATAAATTATAAAAATGCATTCCCCACAAAATTAAACCACATTATTGTTAATAGGAATTTAATTACATGCAGTTAATTTCTATTCTAAGACGTAGAATTTGAACACAAGAAGGTGAACCAGATGGTTTCTGTAATTACGAAATTTGTAATTTGATGTAAGCTTGATGTAAATCTCTGAACAATTAATAAAAGTGATTTTGGCAAGAGTCAGTCAAAGAATTAAATTTAAATTATATTCGGTTATATAGGGATAATTTTATTTTATTTTTTTTATACTGAATACGGATTTATAGATTGAATGTAGTTGCGATAAATTTTGTTAAAAATTAATATTCTTTTGTCATTTATAATTTTAAATTAATATGATAAAATTACTTATTATGAATTAAAGTTGACTATAATTAATTTAATTATGTTCAAATTAAAAAATTACCAAGACGCTGAAGATAAGAAAAAAAAATAATAATAGAAATTTAATTAAACGAAAATAATGTACTTAATTAATTCGTATTTCATGCAACGAACCGAAGAATAAATAAAAATAAAAATAAGCGGAAATGTGTCACGTTAATAAATGTGATAAAATAAAAAAAAAAAGCAACTCCTGTTGGAACAATATGGAAGAATTAAAATACCTAATCAACTCTATTGATTGCGCGTGTGTATTATATTGATTAAATGATTAGCAATAATTTAAACTGAAAGTAATTTTTTTTTAACACTCAACTTATTTTTAGCAAGTGTCCTTATGTAGCAAGATCATCATCAACGCGTTCTATCATGTTACCTCCTCGAATCAAAGAGCTTCCAATACCACAAACACCACCGACATTTCAATATCATCCAACATCTCCACGACGAACTTGTTTAACAAGTATACCAAGACCATGTTGTCCTCGTGATCATCAATATCCCCAGCGATAAATGAAATTTAGGTACCGAAAAACATTTATGCAATCAATTTACCCGGAGCATCGATTCCTGGTGTTACTAATTGATTAGTAAATTATCATTTTCGCTATCACTAGTTTAAATTATTAGTGTAAAAATAAATAATAAAGTTAAATCATTAAATGGATACAATATTTTATTTCTTTCTTCTCTTGGTATTCAAAAATATTCTCTAAAATTACATACAATAATATAATATATTTATTATATATAGCAGTCAATTTAAATCATGTTCATTTTTTTATAGTAATCTGACAAGTTAAGGATACGTCAAAATATTATTAAGGAAATTAGGCAGATACTTAGTTCATTTGGATGATCTTTATTACAGAAGTTTTTTTATTTTTTCGTCTTTCTTAAATACCTACTCAAAAATTAGAACATATTCGAAATAAAGACCATCCTATAGCTCATAATTGGATAAGTAAGTCTTTTTATAAGAAGAAATGATGACGATGGTTTATTTTAAAATGTGGTCCACAGATTAAAGATTCTATGCCACGTAGTAGCAGTGTGTGTATTTAAAAGGGAAGTGTAGTAGCCTTAAGGGCAAAAAGAAGCAAAGGGATAAAAAAAAGATGGAAAACTGAGAGGTCAAGTGGGCCGTAGACAAAAGCCTCTTCGGAAGCGATGACGCGGTTCACCGACCACACACAATAGGAATAACATTTTAAGACAATGTTTAACAATAGTTTTTTAACTTTGGCATGTACGCTTGTTTCTTATTATTTAAATATTCCAGACCTTATTACTCATTTATGTACTTCCATTTTTTTTCTGTACTAGAAACAAAATTCTATGCCGCTAATTGCCTATTTTATGTGGAAAATGAACTTACAAGAATATCCTTATTCTTATAAACTAATTAAGTTTTTAAGAATAAACTTATTAACTGTTAGATATAAAATTTATACTTTTTGATGAAACATTTAGATACAATTTTAGGCTACTTGTTACATGAGAGTTATACACATTTTCTGCTTTATATATAGTCAAGGTAGTTGTTATAGCAGAACTAAGTAGTAAATTTATTCAAAACTATATTGAAAATTTTTTTTTAATTTTTAATTAAAAAAAAAAAATATTAAAAGTTCATGAAATCAAGGACATGTCAACAAACGAGAGCATTGTTAGTATAAAATAAAAGCAAAAAAAATTTGCGTAATAGTAAATACATGTTTAATTTTAAAATACTCAGAAAATAAATAAATTAACTAATGATTAATTAATTCGACTTTTTAAATTTAATATTTACTTTTATCATATATTTTATTAATAATACTTTAATGTCTTTTGATTTACTGCTAAGCTGTCCGTGAATTCATTAACAAATGATACTTATCCATTTTCGGTATTTGATCTGTATTTCAGTGGTGAATGCGATTCATTGATTATAATGCAAGGTAATTATTTTAATTAATAATAATATATTAGCTAATTTTAGTTGATATAAATTCAATCCTATGAATCATTTAATTTAAATAAATTTGATCCTTTTACGGAAAGGCAGTATAAATCAACTCAGTAGTAGTGAGTTGTTGCTTATCTTATATTCATTAGTAATTATAACTTATTTATATTATCATATAATATAATTAATCGAGGGTAAATATTTATATTATTTTTATTCTACTTCTAAAAGAATTTATTTACTTTTTTTTTTCTCGTGAAACTTTTATTGGTATTCTCACGCTCGTATATTTTTTAAATAATTTACTTTAACATATATAGTATATGAATATATAAACTAATCTTTTAAGTCGGTGACACATACATAGAGATTAAAATTGAACTAGCTATAAATTGTCGATCAATTCTATAATTAAAATTTCTTTTTGCCCTCACTCACTATGATTACGATGCAAAAAAAGTTATTTTTTAATCTCATCACAAAATAATAGAATAAGGCATAAAAATCAATAACAATAACAGCGCAAAAAAAAATAAAGAAAATTATAGAAAGTAATAAATAAAAATAATGAAATCATAAAGTAAACAAATTTTCGCAACTTTTAGTTTTTCTTTTAAAACCTAATAGATGTTTGAGAATCCTCCTTCGATGTTTACTTCTTCTGCGTCTAGTTACTTGATCTCGATTTCGCTGTGGATTCAATTTGATTTGGGCCAATATTCCAACGAGCAATTCATCAACATGATGAGCGAGTCCGGAAGACGTTTCGATGAACTTGCAACCGCAGCTATTGGCGAGTCTTCTCCCAACTATATTCCAATTCAATCATTAATCAATAGTTGTAAAGTTGAATAGAATATAATAGAACAAAAGAATAAGTATATGAGGAAGACATCTATTACTTATGTAACAAGTAGTTAAAGGACATATCAATATTGGTTTAGTTTCTAATTAACTACCCTATTCGATAAATTTATTTGATTAAAAGTTAACGATAAAATTGCTAATAATCAGCGTAATAAATAAGGTAAAGTACCCAGTACTTGAACACTTCTAAAAATGGGACCAGTAGTTGAACAGACTTTTAGAATTGTTATAATACAAAATCATGAAAATGAAGTTAGCCGACATTTCAAATTTTTCAGGAATTTTTTATTGGAAAAATTTCAATTAAACAATTAAAAAAAAAAATTTCACTTGTAAAAAACTTGAAAAACTATAAGTGCAATTTTTTATAAATATTTTTTTAGTTGTAATTTAATTAATAAAAAAAATCAAAAACTTTTAGACGTCTGCTAATTTCAGTGTCATACAAAATCTTTATATATATTATGAGTAATATGCGCATATTATAATTATTCAATGATACAGTAATTGATTTTGGTAAGTTTTTTCAATTATAAATCAAAACAATTACATTTTTTTGTTAACTTTAAAGTTGACATGTCAAGAATCGCCGATAGATGCTATTTTTTTCATGAAAAAGGTACTAAACCGTAAACCGAACAATCAGTAAAAAGAACGGTATATCATCATTTTAAGTGAAAAAAATTGTACCACCCAATGAAATAGTCTTTTCTAAATAATACATATTTTTTGCAAAGACATTAACTATAATTTTTATAATAAATTTTAGCGTTCAACTATACTTCCCAATTTTCAAAGCGGTACCCAAAACTTGAACAAGCTGGGACCATATAATTTTAACAGCAGTCTAACCTTTAGTAGGTTTATAGACTAATGATCAGTATTGTGATTTGTATTAATTACTGCAAATTAAATAAGTTTTATAACTAAAAATTAGTATAGTTAAAAATTATTGAACGTTTTGAATTGAGTTTTTTTGATTTATAATTGAAAATTTACTTTGTCATTCATACAAAAATGTAATTAAAAAATCAAATACAAATGTTTCTCATTTTTTAATTGAACATATTAAATATCCACAGTATTATTTTTAATATTATTCAATAATATATTATAAATCTTTGAATATTTCAATAAAACGTTAAAAATTTTTGGTGTGCCTATTGCCAAATATTTTATTAGTTCAAACTACTGCTCCCGGAGTGTTCAACTACTGCGGCTTGTCAGAATTGATTGTTCAACTACTACTCCTTTCATAGCCTATCTTAAAAACGTTGTCAAATTATAAATATTCAATTATTTGCGTTATTTTGCACTTCAATCAATTCAAAATTGTTTATATTTTCATGAAAATCACTAATTTGAACTAATAATTACATCTTTATATATTAAAAGTAGGGTCAAATACCCATTTTACTTTGAAACCTATTCAACTACTGGGTACTTTACCTTACTTATATTTATAGTTGTTTTAGATATAAATTATTTTTATGATTAAATTCTTACCAAGAGCCGACACCTCGCGCTTTCTTTCGAGGTCGACCTTGTTACCAACAAGAATAACACCGTGGGTGGTCATGTAGTCACTTTTCCACAAATAAAGAAGAATTTCTTCAGCTACTTTGAAGCTCTGTCGATCCACCACTGAGTACACTACGACGTAGACGTCTGGGTTATACGTTGCGCAAAAGCTTTCAACCTTAAAAAAAAAAAAATAATTTATAAAAAACATTTATTTTAGTTAGAGGTATTCATTATATTTTATATTGTATTTTTTTATAATTTTTTCATTACGATTTATATTTCCGAATATTGTATTTTTCATTTTTTTTTACTGATGCTTCACATTTTTTTCTCTGAGGTGTTTGGTTAAAAGCAAACTTTTGTGCTATCGGCAGCTAATGCCAATTACAGAGTTAAAGGATGCTTGCATTATTTTGCGTGGGCTTTCGAATAATGTTGATTCACTAGATATCTATATCCGTTCTGACAATGTGCATTCAAGCTACTTACATATCGTACGTGTAATTCAAATTACAGGTATGTACTCATTAGCTCATTTCAAACTTTGTTAATTATAACTATTTTGAAAATTAAGTTTACTATATCAAGGTTACAGAAATGATACTGGAAATGTCAGAGAAGACAAATAAGTTTCAAGTGTTAATAGCTACAACTTAAATATATCTTCTTCTCAATCAACCAAGTTCTTGGATGCTAGCAGCTTTTTGAATTACTTGTTAAATAGTTTTAATAAAATAAATCAATTACAACTTAATGTCAATAATTTGATAAAGTTTATATATATATATTCCACAATTAATCTTATAACCAATCATTAAATTTAATTACGTTACTGCTATACGTAATAATAGCCCTCTTAATCTTGATAAACTTACAGCCATTTCAGATGTCGGATGGTCAACAATCTCTAACTCAGCTTCTTGGCCGTCAATCATTACCGACACGCTTTTTTGTCCATACTCGTCGTCTGGAATTAGAAATAGAGGTACATTTATTTGATGAACAGATTAATTGGAGGAGATAACAAGGATGCTGAAATAACAGTCTATTTATAAGCTCAAATGTGAGACTTGGAGAAAACAAAAAAACTATCTTTATATTAGAGAAATTAGCTTATTAGAACACTACGAAGTACAAATACGATCTCTATATAATTTTAGGTAGATTTCGTAGAAATCTATCTATTGCATTGGACCTTGTGTCGGAATTCACACGGAATTTTGTCATTTTATCTCTTATATAGTCGAGTAAAGCTCATATCAAAATTAGCATTGGTTCAAAAGTTTATATATATATGTAATATAACGCGGCTTGTGGACACGATAGCGTTTACAATTCTCAACGGATTTAGATGAAACTCGGTACACATATTCTTTAGGTAATTACCTTGAACGAGTTCGAAGATGAGCAAAATCGATCAATTAGTTTAGAAATGGCGGCCATTTAAAATTTTCAAAAAAGTGAAAATCACGTTTTCGGCCACTTCATTGATGTATAACTTTTGATTGAACAGAGATAGCTAATTTTTGAAAAATTTATGTGATAGCTCATGAAATTACCGTTAATTTGACGTATATAGTAGCATTGACATTTTGACCATTTTTAGTTGTTTTATCAAAGTTAAGAGTGCAACTGAACCATTTTCAGGCAATGTGTAGTACAACCGACTTATGAATGTTATATTATCGAGAATTCTTAACAGATCCTAACGAAATTTAGTATATTTAGATTTCTTGGACAATAAGCTTGCATGAGCCCTAAAATGAGTGAAATTCGTCAATTAGTTTGGAAATGGCGACCATTTAAAATTTTCAAAATAGTGAAAATCACGTTTTTTGGCCACTTCATTGATGTATAACTTTTGATTGAACAGAGATAGCTAATTTTTGAAAAATTTATGTGATAGCTCATGAAATTACCGTTAATTTGAGTGTATATAGCATTGACATTTTGACCATTTTTAGTTATTTTATCAAAGTTAAGAGTGCAACTAAACCATTTTCAGGCAATGAGTAGTACAACCGACTTATGTACGTCATTCTATCAAGAATTTCAATCAGTAAAATCTACCTTCCATTTCGGGTGTGGTCGAATGGCGTTTTTTTTTATTATGATTACATTACAAAGAATTAATAAATTAGTGATGGAGTTAAATCACGTGTCTAATGCCAAAAGGGTGTATAAAAAATTTTTTTTTTGCCATTCTTTTTAGACTCACTCAAAACGTAAAGATCTGAAGAAAAAAAATTTTTGACGTACTAACGCCAAAAGGGGGTATCTTAAGATATACTCCCTTTTGGCTTTAGGAAATTATCGGTCTAAAGCCGAAAGGGCGTATAAAAAAAATCAGTATTTTTCAAAATTTCGAAACACAATCTTCAAAATTGTCCGGAGAAGGTTGTATAAAAAAAAATTTTGAAAAAATTAACATTTTCGATAGTAGTAACTTAAAATTTTCATCATCTTGGACACCCAAGACCAATGATTAAAAAAGCATATGAATTGAAAATTTTTTCTCGGACTAAAATGTTCATATTTTTTATAAATTTATTTTTTTTCAGACGAAAATGTAGAAGATGCAGATAGAGAATGTGCAGGAATTGTACCCCAATAAACTTTCCGTATTTTGATATTAATTTTTTCTTGTTTTTTTTAACTGCGAATAATTATAATAATTTCTTGCCTGCTATAGCTGCAATAAAAGATATATCGACGGTCTAATTAGTAATTTGTCTAACTCCATATTTTTTAGAGGGTGATTTTTTTGACATTTTGATGTAGCCATAATCGAATTATAAATTATTTGAATGATTCAAATCTAAATATTATATCTCTAATAGATAATAATGATATTAAATGGTTTTTTAAAGTGATAATGAATTTTGAACTAATTGCTTTTTTCGTACAAATAGAAGATTCCCTAAAATTGAATTAGACAATTTACTAATTAGAACGTCGATATTTTTGTTTAATTGTATACCTTAAGCGCGAGTGTAGATATGCTTTACTCTCGCCTAAAAATTCAAACCACCGATTCCGTTACGTAAAATTGTAGTTAAAATCCATAATATGTATGTATAGAATGAAAAATAATTAAACGGGAAGTTAAAAATTACACGCCTTTTTGGCTTTAGATCACTAAATTTTCAGTTTTCTAAAGCCAAAAGGGCGTATAACTTGAGACATACACCCTTTTGGCTTTGGAAATTTTTTTTTTTTTCATTTTTAAGCTTGGAACATGTCTACAAAACGATTGGCACCAAAAAAAATAATTATACGCCCTTTTGGCATTAGGCACGCGAAATGCTTAATTAAAGTATGTTGCTGAAGATTCACAAGATGTAGATAAATTTTATATGTATAAATATATGTAAATTGAATTGAAAGGAAATATAAAAAAGTATGAATAATGATAATAAAGAATTAATTTAAAATCAATTAAATCAATCCATACACGGAGAAAATTTTATAGTAGAGTTTATCATCCAGTTATGTTAAAATCTATTAACTGAATTCAATAGTAGTAAATATTATTTAAATAATTAAGTAAACTATCTGAATTGTAGTATTTACCATCCTGATGGTAACTACTACTATTATGATGGTGGTAATCAGTAATAATAACTGTTATTATTTTAATTAGTTACTACTATTATCAAAATCGTAATTATCCTAATATAACCTGATGGTTGTAGTTACCATCAGTAATAATAATAACTACTATCAAAGCTAGTAAAAAATATTAAAAAAATTAAGAATCTGCGTTACCGTGGATGCATTTCTGAATAAACTAAAAGCAGCTGTAGTGCACAAAGAATCGGGATTAAATTCGGATTGAAATTATATACTTTGTATAATTAATTTTTCTCCGTGTATAATTATTTTTAAATGTAGAGAGACCTACAAAATGTCTGAATAAAGAATGATAGGAAAAAATATAAAGATTATTGTTGATTCCAGGTAAATTTAATTTTACGATAGGTATTGTGTGAAGTCAATAGAAATGGAAATGTAGGAAGAAATATACATAATATATGTATAATATAAAAAAATTTAATATGCATGGTGGGTGTCTGATATAGAGTTAGATAAATCCGCCACGAGAAGTAAAATATAAAAGATCAAGTGTATGGAAAATTCACTAGGTACTTTCATGCTGATACTCGCTTTTATGTACACCCCATTTTATTCTAAGATTTTTATAAGTTTATTTTGAGTATAGCGGAAATTTACGATTTTCTCTTGTTGAGCTTTTGAAAAATTCTAAGCAAACTTTGGTGTTTTAAGATGATTAGTTCAATATTTTCAGTGATATAAAAAGAGTGTGGTGAAGATATAAAAAATTAGGGGTGATAAAAATATAAGGTGAAAAATAGATAAAAGGTAGAATAATAAAATAATGAATAAATATATATTTATACAGAAGAGAGTTAAATAAAATAGGGAAGCATTTTTGTGAGCTTTATACTCATAATTTTATACTTTATGTTCAAAAAAAGTATTATACATTTTTCATTGTTTTAAAAAAGTTTTTTGCAAATAAATTCTAGACGCTTACTATGCGGCTCATAATAATACAGGATTTTTATGAATTTCATGATATTTTTCTTGCAATTATAATTAATTTTCTATGTTGGGTGGCTTGTAAAATCAGTAGGGTGAAAAAGATGAAAAGTTTTCTCTAAAAATTATGCGTTGTAATAGATTAAATAAAATTTAATGAAACAATAACAACTTTAAAAAAATTTGGCAGTCACCTAAAGAAGCGTCGTAGGCGCAAATGTATTCACTGGTAGTAAATTGAACAGTAAGGGCTGTCTTGCCAACTCCTGCGGCGCCAAGCATCCCTACTTTGTAAGTGGCCACTCGTCCTGAGTTCTCAGCATCCTCGCTCTCAATACACGAGTGCTGTGATGCTGAACTGCAAGATAAAAAAATTATAAATGACGATGCAATTTTTTTACGGATTAAATCATCCGATAAATTGTGGAGAAATTTCAACAATAATAAAACAAAAATACTTAAGTAAAATAAATCATGTAAATGGGGTTATCATTTAGAGGTTTGAAATGGGAACGGTGTAGAACGAGAAGAAGAAGAAGAAGAAGAAGAAGAATAGTAGTAGTAGTATAAGTAATAGTAGTAGTAGTAGTAGTAGTAGTAGTAGTAGTAGAGAGAGAGAGAAGAAGAAGAAGAAGAAGAAGAAGAAGAAGAAGAGAGAGAGAAGAAGAAGAAGAAGAAGAAGAAGAAGAAGAAGAAGAATAGAGAGGAAAATTTAAAGAGCGTAACAGTATGAATTACGAGAATCAAATAGTATGTTGCGCTGAAATGATCCAGAAAATTAAGCGATTTTAGTCTATCACAAGACATTTTTATTTAACTTTTTTTGTTTTCGTTTTATTTGTTTGACGTATAGTACGGAGTGAAAGATATTTTGTCAAGACAATCTCCCATGTGAATTTATCTCACGTCATTTAACTGAAAAAGAAAAATGCTTTTGCTATGAACCAAGACGAATAAAGTACAGGAGTTTATAGTGTAAAGGGGAATGAAAAAATGTAACCGAGTAGAAGAGGAATGATAACCCTGATATATGTTGAATTTACTTTATACTAGTCTTCAGTTTCAATGTTAGATCATTTTCTATCCAGTTGGGCAAAACTGGAGTAAACGACAGTTTGGCAAAACACAAAAAAAGATAATCAAATAAGCATTATTAAAAAGGTATACGATTCAAGATTTACAATTTAACAGAGTTACGTCAGACGTTTTCTAAAAAAAGAAACAATTTTATTGAGTAATAAAAACTCTTTAAAATAAGGAAACCAATTATTGGCATTTTATTTTAATATTTTATTAATTAACAGACTTGTACTTGACAGGATCTAACGCATAGAATTTATTTATTTATTTATTAGTAATATATGCCAAAGCACAAACCAAATGGCAAGGTATTTAATACAATATAATTTGTGATGACTGATGTATTATAAAATATAAATAGTATAATATAATAACAATAATGCAAAGATTAAATGTAAATTTTCAAGATAAAACACCATAGAATGGTATAGATTTAAGATTTAAAATAAGTTTAAAATTAATTTAAGATTTAAGTAATACAATTATAAACATAATTAATAATTTTACAATTTTTACAATTTTTAGAAGTCAGTAGAGATTAGATAATCATACATTTTCTTTTTAAATATTTCCAAAGTAGTCGCAGCTACTATATCAGCTGGTAACTTTTGCCATAGACGTATTGCCGAAATTAAAAATGAGTGCTCAAGATGTAAAGTAGAAAAACTAGGAATCAAGTAATTTACATTGTTGTTTTTACTCGCTAATCTTTCTGAGCGCCTATTAGCATCGTCTTCTATAAATATGTTTTGAATTTGTTTTCACAAAAGTCTACTATTGAGACCGGTTAAAAAAAATATAGTTGATTGACACGGATAAAAGCGGTATTTTGATTCGAAATACGTAGGGTAATTGGCAAATCTACATTTAACTTTACTAAATTCCATTTGATTCGAAAACATGGTAATTGAAATAACTTCACTTGAGGGATTTCGCAATAGATATAATGGTATTTAAGCTTTAACAGAAATGTATCAGAGACGAAGCTTTGGAAAATGGAAATAGATGGTTTACTTTGAATAACGATTTATTTTATGATATTAATATTTTACTTGGAAAAAAAAATTTTCAAGATCTCTAAAGATTTAAAAAACTTTTTCCTTGAAAATTTGTAATTTTTGTTGCAATAAAAATTAAATTTAACTTTTACAGTTATTTTTTTTTATCAATAACAATTGATTGAAAAATGAAAAAAAAATTTGACAACTCAGTTATTGATAACATAAATTCAAAATTAATTATTATTTGTCTTTTCAAATGAAAATAAGTTCAAAATTATCAATTCAAAGTTTAACTTAGTCTCAAACTTCGTTGATTACAAAGTGATCGTTTTTTGAATAATTTTTCGTCTCACACCAAAAGTCTTTGTCTGAAGCTAATTTTACATTATTAAAGAGCGTACTAAGTTTATTATGCAGTATACATTTAGAATATTAATCATGTACAACAAAGTTATTTGAAAAGAAAAAGAATTTTTAAATATTTATTAGTGCAAATTACTCGGATGTTTTTCCTTTCGTTATAGTATAATGTTAAATTACGTAGATGAAAGCAAGGATTCCCGAGAGTCATACGGCTTCAGACACGTATACTCTCCGTGATTCACCCGAGATCAGAATTCCGGTAAATTATTCAAAGTCATTCCAATGTCAATAGCATTTAACAGTACAATTTCATTCTAAAATAAAAGCTCAATTATTTATTAAAATCTTTAATTTAAGTATCAAATTTAATTATTTTTTATGAACTGAAAAAACGAAACAAATATCAACATTCTTAGACCCATATCACGTATAATTTTATTTAAAAACTTGATGCGCATAATTTTTTCATTCTAAAATTTTTATCACGGATCAATACATTTTCTTTTAAATCCTATAAATATATATGAGCTATTCCACAGGAATTGGTTATAGCTTATAACTTATGAAGTAAATTTAAACTATTACTCTATTTTTGATTTTATTCTGTCCTTATGATTTTTATTATTAAAAAATAAAATTTAACTACACGGAAAAAAGTAAACTGTAATAAATAACAGTCGATTTATAATAAGTAATGATCAACTGCTAAAAATTACCATTTCTTACAGTAAAATCGTGATTTTACTATTCACATTATAATATTTACCATTTAAACGTTACAATTTACTCTTTACATGGAAGAAAATACTATTTCAAACAGTAATATTCGCTAAATAAATGTCTAAAATGTTAAAGTATAATAATTAAGAATTCAGACTTTGATATTTATTATTTCGTACCTAAAAAATGATCTTATGATATGTAAAAAGTATAAAATAAAGTTAGTAAATTTCTAATATACAAGCAACGTCAATATTTACAAAGTAAAATGATAAATTTTAAACGCAACGCTAAAAATCCAACTGTAATTATCGACTTGCTTGGACTGGTAAAATGTATATTTTAAAAGTATAATTTTTACTGTTTGAAATGTTAAATTCTCTCAGAGTGAGACCCCCTTCTCTTTCATCTGAGTTCCCCTTTTCCTCATAATATAGACTATATAGTGAAATGGCAATTTTTACAGTTTGAAACTGTAATTTTTTAAGATGAAAGAGTCGTTATTTACTATAGTGACAGCTACTAATCACTTATTTTGGATATTAAATTATAAATTGTGACTTTTATACTTTCTACCTTAAGTTCTGTAATATTTATATTTTTGCCACCCCGATATCCGCTTTACTGTTTGAAACTATAAAAATTAACCGGAATCCGAGTGAATATTACAGTTTACTTTTTTCCGTGTATCAACTAAATTTTTTATTTATTACTCACTTAAATATTTTATTAACAATTAAGCAATTACGTGAGACTAAACAATTTCTGTAGAACGTACACCTAAAAAATTCTATACTTGTGGTATTATGATTTAATTATAATTTTTCATTTATATAAAATAAAACAAACTGATTTCTTTGTAAGAAACAGCATCTATCCTCCATACCTAGCTATAAGAATAAAAATAATGGAGATGAAGATTATTTTTCAGATGAAGATTCTGATATAATAACATACCTGAGTAGTCGAGCATCTCTAGTGCTGCTACAGCTCGTTCCAGAAGACGTGACGCTGTTGATACTCCGACTACGACGGCTTTTAAGAGAGTCACCAAGATTGAACACACCGTTTGCTGTTATAGAGAAAGATCTTAGTCGGTAGTACTCCACCCCATCTTCGACTTCACTGTCTTCACATCCGGCAATTCCAGCTCGTTTAGTTTCCGCTAGCATAGGCTATTCAAAGTTTAAAGGAAAATCATTATTTCATCAATATAATAATTTACCATTTTATCTATAAAATAAAAGTATATAAGTATTACACAATATAAAATATAATAATAATAATAAAAATAATACTGATAATAATAAATTTTTATATCTCAATGTATCCATGCACATTTTGAGTTCACATTCTCTAATATAATGTTTTCTGCACGTAATACATACAATATTACGTGATACAACTGTACGTACTAACATGTATATATTTTTTGACCTAGGAAAAAATCAAGATACATGTTTTGAAGAATTCTCTTGTGGATATCAACTTTAACTGTGTCAAGTAGTGCCAGTATCTAACTTTTATATTAATGGATCACTACGTTGTAATGAGTTTTATGGTTATTATATGTGTAAATATAAATATATATATTTAACAACTAAAAATGTGATAGTACAACTTTCTTTAATTCTTTATTACTCGAGTTTTACTTTAATATGTATAAATGTGTTGCTGAAAATACTATTTACCCACTTTATGGTATAAGTACATTTTTTATGTCTCTTTGAAATTCTTTTTATCTTTAAAATATACCAAGAAAAATTAAAAGGAATCGTTCTTCTAATAGAGAAAATACTTTTTATCTTCTTTTTTAGAAGATTTCATAGAAATCTAATTATTGTATTTGTTCTCATGAAGGAAATTTTAAAAAATTTTAATATTTTCTGGTTCAGCTTGTCGCGATGGTTTAGCAAACACATATGGTTTAAAATTTTATGCATATATCATAAATGTATAGATAGAAGAGTTTAGGAACGGCAGCAATTTGAAATTTTCAAAGATTTTTAATTTCATCCTTTCACTGCTTTGTTTCCAAACAACTATTGAAGGCAATAATTTATTTAATTTCTGTAAAACGTACGTGAAAGCTTATGAAATAACCTTTATTTTCCATATCTTCACGAACTTAAAGGAAAGATATTTTTCATGAAATTCGGCTGTTGCAGTCGTTTCGAAGATTTTACTAGTTTTTAGAAACGAAGAGAATTCTACTTCCATTTCGGCTGTCGAATAGCCTTTTTAGGTAGATTTCTTTAGAAATATAACTATTGTAGCCGGTCTCATATTGTAATCTTAGGAAAATTTTATCATAATCTGTTTTATTTCATCGAGTAATGTCGAAAAATGGCATTGGCTCAAAAGTTTATATATGTATTTATGTATATATGTGATATAACGCGCCATGTCAGCAGGATTGCACACACAGTTCTCAACCAATCTTTATGAAATTTTGTGGGCTCATTCTGTGGATCAATATCAAGATCAAGTTCGAAGATAAGCAAAATCGGCCGGTTACTTTACGAGTTGTGGGTGCTTGAAAATTTTTTTCACTTTCAAAAAATTTTGAATTTTGTATTTTTTATAAAAATAATCTTCCAGATGTAAAAGATAGATAAAATCTATCAAATTTATCTTAAACTTTATTTAATTATCTTCAATTTAAACTATTATTTGTCTAGTTTTGATGATTTTTTTAATTAATTCCTTGAATTTAAAAATTTTCAAAAATTTTTCAATGAACGTATTTCAGCCTTTTCTTTTTAAATAATTTTTATGCCGTAATATATAGCTCAAATTTATCAAATTTATGTTAAAATTCACATAATTATCTTCAATTTGAGCTATTATTTGTCACCTTTTGATACTTTTTTCAATTTATTTCGGAGTTTGGAAGATTAAAAAAAAATCAAAAATAAATTAATTTTTAGCTTTTATCATCAAATGACTTTCATCTGTTACAAATTCTATTTTTTAGGTAGATGTCTTCGAATTTCTATTTGTTGTAGTCGGTCTCATATCATTATTTGCAAAAATATAATAAAAAATAAATTTTAAAACATTATTGCCTTTTAATAACGTGATTTTTTCATTATTCCAATAAGAAATCTACTTATTCATGTCGGGTATGGCCGAATGGCGTTTTTTTTTAAATTCAAGTCAATCATTTCTTCATTTAGCAGTTACCGATTTAAAAATTACAGAAAATTAGTTCAAATTGATTATGTTAAAACTTATGGCAGACAAAAAAAAATTTTTTTTTTTGTACTACTTGATGCTTAAATTAAAATTTTTTATTTTAAGATATTTCAACAAGAACTTTTATAGAGGTCAGAGGATCTTCATAATTTTTCTTATTTTCCTATCTTCGATTTTTACTGCGGTATTTAGCTTGAAAGGAAAGAAGATTCTTTTGTCATTGATCATTGATAATTTTACAACTAATGGCCGCAGATGAAATCAATAGCTGGTTATTAAACGGAAATAAATATTTTACAAGAAACTACTGGAATTTTCAATGAAAAAAAATTTATGAATTTTAAGAAAAATAGTTAAAAATTTTTTATGATGTCTGAAGTACTCAACGATTTTTTTACTATTATAGATATTTGCTCAGATAAAATATGAGAAAATAGAGAGAAACAGTTTAATTACACTCTAGATTAAACGCGATTGTTTCATAAGGTCTTCAAATTTCGCAGAGTGCTTTCGACAGTTTTCTGCAATATGTTTTAGACAGTTTTCAAATTTCTTATTTCTGAATTCCACCTAAACTATATTAAACTAAGATTATTATTAAATAATAAAGTTCAGTAGAAACACCAGCTACCTAGTTCGCATTATTTAAATTTATTGTTTTAGTTACCGCGGCATTTGAGACAATTCATTTAAAGTTTGAATTTTTAAGTAGATGCTTATGGCTTTGCATACAATTAAAAGTAATAAAACAGAGTTGAGAGTTGCAAATTTATTGCATTGTTCTATTAAATATCCGATATATTTTTAAATTCAACGCTCAAAAATTTTTAACGTAAACTTCTTGAGTAGTATCGAAGCTTGTATAGTAGTTGATGTTTAATGATAATATATATCTGAAATATTATAGTGATAAAAATGGTCAAGTTTTGAATGTTAATGTTAGTTATTTTCCGGAACATATACTTATAGATAATTTAAAAACTAAATAAATAAATGTTTTATTTTTTAAGATACTTGTAATGTGTGAGTGCTACGGTCTACGGTCGAGATAATTTGAGACGTTGAAATGGAGTTTGAAGGCAAAGTCCTTAGTGGGAAACGCGATAGTTATGAAAGAATTACCTTTCATCCTGTAAATTATAGCCACCTCGGAAAATTACAAGCGGTTTCAGTTTCAACGTGTAACATTCACGATGCTCATGCGTGATAAATTTAAGATTTAATGTTCCTTAAAATTCATAAGTCATAATACAGAATAATGTTGGATTTGATAATTCACGAGCAATATTTATTGTAAATATAAATGTATAATAAAATTATTTATTTTCAGATTAAAAATGATATATATTAACTCGATGTTGAGAAAATGAAAAATGTAATATTTTTCTCTTCTCTATTAATTTTACAATTACCATAGATTTAACAAATAAAAACAAACAAATTGATGTTATAATTCAATCATAGAATCAAGCTTTTATTTTCATAGTAAAAATTAGTTTTAATTATTAATTATATTTACATTAAAATTTTTTAACATTTGTAGTTTATATAAAAGAAGAAAAAAGCGAAGTATACTGAGCAAACAAGAAAATAAGGTTGAATATTTTAAACTAAATTTGTACTGAATTATTAATATTTATTTATGTATCATGAAAAGCTACGATTTTATTTTTCCTTCGCTTCGGGAAAATTTTTTTTTTCGTTAATTCGGTCCTCAAGGGATTAAAATAACATAACGTGGTTATAAAATGAAATGACTCTTTTGATATACAAAAACAAACATAAATATGAGAAATAAAAAATTCTCATGAATTATATTATACTAGAGGAAATAAGAATTCAAATGAACACATGTATTTAATCTTTTTGACCCAAGGTTTAATGCATCAGAAATAAAATTCATGTCATTATCAATTTTTACTATTTTCACATTAAGTTAATATAAAAATATTTCCATCTTTTTTTCTGACATTTTCAGTTGAAAAAAATAAGATAAAAAGCATGCACTATCTTCAATGTTTTAATTTTTTAATAATTATAAAAATTTATACACGTTTAGATTTTCTGAGCCTTTTTTCTTTAAGTGAAAACTTCCAATTGAAATGCTATTCTTTTAACTTTCTAGCCATAAAAAATAAGATAACAAAAAAATAAGAAATAAATTATAAAATGAGATTAAATTCAAGTGAGTCTAAAGAACACAAATATTAAACTTTATAAAAAAAATAATTCTTGTTAAGAGTTAACAATAACTTACTATCTATAGTGGTTTTTATACTTTTAAATATGAAAAACTTTCGTTGTATCTAATTTATTCAACAGTCAACACTACTGTAATAATTCGCACAAAATTTATTCAAATAGCCAATTACTTTCTTTTCTCAAAGAGAACAAAAATCTTAACATTTTCCGTTTATTTAAATATTTATCTTTTTTTTATGTATTCCTGTAAACTCACTCGGCATGGATTGCAATGTAAAATGAGTGAAAAATATTTTAGTGACAGCAACAGATGGTGTTAAAGATTGAGCAGAATACAAATTTATTGGAGATTGAGGATTTTCAAGACTTTAATGTCTGAACCAGGTTGACAAAGAGTCGCAATATAGCACGGCTTTCAATAAGCTATTTACTGTACACGCTGTACACGAAATTACACAAGAAGCTACACAATGAGGTGTAGGTGCAGAAAAAGATTTAACTTTATGACCATGAGAAACTTCGGACCATAAAAATCGGACCTAAAAAACAATTGTAAGATGGCCATATTGTGTTGATAAAATTAAGACTGTAAAATAAGCCATTTGTTTGTTTAAGCATTGTAATATACCTGAAATGTATTTTATTTTTTAAGGGTTCAATAAAACAAACTTATATAAAAAAAAAAAAAAAAACCATAGAAATCGATCTTTGGCGATCTATACATCACACAAGTAACTGAACTACAAGATATGTACTACAAAGTTCTAGGCAAATACATGTCTTCATGTTCTGTGTAGTTCTCTTCTACTACACACTATTGTATTTCCTACACGTAACATTAACACGTGATGATAATAACACCGATAACATTAATTATCTTTTTTCAGATACACGACAAGTGCCAACTATGTTATTCGAGCTTAATCTCGTGGCCTGATTTTCCCCCAGTTTTTTAGGATTTTAAAAGCTATTCTTTTCTTCCTATTTGAGGAAACGTGAGAAATTAAAAAAAAAAAAAAAGTGAACAAAAAGATTAAGATCGCGATTGTTTATGAAAGATTATTGAAACGTCTGCGTTTTTTTTTTTTTTTTTTTTTCATCCAATCAGACAACTTCTTGAGTTCAAGTAATAATAATAAATGAAAAAGCTTATTGATAAGTCCTTCTGATAATTAATTCTATAAATTAAACTTAACTATAACTTTTCACGTAATGTATATAACTATCTAACTATATAACTGTGTATATACGTTTATTTTTAGAACGTCGTTGTCCGTTTTATCCTCTCTTTATTTATCGAGTTGAAGAAATAAAAAAGTCGAACTCACTCAACGGATTTTCATCTGGACATTGAATTTATTACTCCAGGAATACCATTACCCTGTTTGTTTTTATTTAATATTGATTTTTTTTTATTATTATTATTTTGGAACTCTAACGCTGCCTTTCTTTTTCTTATTGTATGCTGATTGGCTCTATTATGTCAATTCAAACTTCAGTATTTTTTTCATTGCCATTTTTCTCTTGGCGTTTTATGATATGTGTAATTTGTCGGAATTATCAATAAAATTGCACGCATTATTTTTCTTTTCCGTTAATAAAAAGTTTATTTTATATTTTTATGATAGTATAAACATGTATTATGAAAATTTATGTACAAGTAAAACAAAATGAAACGATATAAACTTTATAAATTGATGATGAAATAATCTATATAATTAAATGAATAAGAAGAATTTTTTCTCTAGATTATGTATAAGATAAAATGAGTTTTTTAGTTAAATTAAGTATCATTAGAATGCTTTTGATTTAAATTTGTCTTTTTACGACTTTATGATTTTTAATTTTTTTTTATTCAATTTTTGGGGAAGTTTGAATAGTTTGTTGATTTTATCTCGTCACGATTTTATTAAATTATTAATAATTGATCCTGTCTTGGTAACATTATTTTTTATATTTATTTCGAAAGTATCCATATATAAATTGTGATTAAAAATATCGAAAATTCATGAAGCTAAAGTTTTTATAATCATATCTCGATAATTTTATGTTGACTGCAGGTTATTATATTAGAACCTAAGTATTACTATGAAAAGGTAATACTTATGCAAAATATTTTTATGAAGATTTTTTTCGTTGAAATTCAAATATTGGTTGTTTCTTTTTAGTACGAATTTATGTTTTTATTTTTTATTCTTTTCAAATTGTATTCGTAAAACAAAAAAAAAATAATTTTTGAGATAATGCTGATTTCAGCAGAGAATGATAAATTTATCTTTTAAAAACAATTAAATTTATTTTCAGTCGGTGAAAGTCGAAAGCAAAAAAATTTAGAATAATAAAAATAAAGCTCTGTTGATATTCAAATTGAGCAAACTGAAATCCGCAAATATTTAAATTTGCGAATAAATAACAAGTGCTTTCGAAATTTGAGGAAGGCTTATGGCACGTCGATCTAAAATGAATAACAAGTTTGTCACTACAAGATTGTCGACCTCTTTTCTTCTTTCGTATCCTCTTCATAAAACTTTTTTTATATTAACCACTTTGTCTTCTTTGCTTGTGTCAGCGTATGTGTCACTCTTATCTCAAGTAAAGCTACGAAATTTATATATACCTATAAATATATCCATTGAATTCTTATACATATTGACGTAAAAATTTTCCAACAGAAAATCTATTCGCTTATATCATCAAAAGTCTTTCTAAATTATTGTATTTTTGTTATTGTATTGTTTGATATTCAGATTGATGTATTATACATCAAATATCCAATAGTGTCAATATATATTTAAGCAAAATAAAACAATTGTCCGTTTCCATTTTATTCAATCGTTGAAATTGGCTCTTTTCATCATTCTCAACTAGTGTAATTTATATTTGTCTCCAGGAAATAAAAATAAATGAAAAACAAAAAGTAAATGAATAAATTGTTATTACGGCGAAAAACGTATCTCTGTGGTCACATCTATAGCATGTCATTTTTTATGCTGCTGATAGCAAAGAGTATGTTTGAACTGTATTCTTTTTGGCTAATGGATTAAAAGAGAAAAATATCTATACTGATAAATTGAGAGCCGGTTTTTTTGTCCGGTTATACTGCAAAAACTACTGAACCCATCGGAATAATACTAATACCTACATTTTTTTGACTTATAAATAATGAATTTTTATTGCAACTAAATTTATGCTATTCGATTGTCATTTGTTAAAAATAAATTTTTTAGTTCTATTCGTTATGTTTTATATACTAAGCAGATTTCTTCACTTAAGAGACCTGCAATTTCTGTAACTGAAACTTTCAATGCTCATTACAAATTTTTTTTTTTCATATCAATTATTATTCATTTTTGTAAGAAAGACACGGGAATGTTATAATGATTGCACATTGAAAGTTACAATGAATATTAACTAAAATAATTACATGGATAAAAGGTGCATGCCAATTCGACAGAATTTGGAATCTGTGCAAGTCAAAACAATACTCTAATTCAGGTTCAGTGGATCCCCATCGAAGTATGCAAAGAGAGAATATGTCTCTCGACAAATACGGAAGATGGAATGTCCATCCGTTTGACTTGAATTAAAAAATTTACTAGTCACTTGACCGCACGGCGATAGAACTTTAATTTATATATAAAAATTCGGTTGATAAAAATAATAATGAAACTCTAATTAAATTTCAAGTCTAGATCTAAAAATGCAATTCTATAAAGCGACCAGCTAGTTGTAAAATAAAATAGTTCACTGATTATTTGACTTTTGCAGTTTTTTTTTTCTTAATTTCTTTTCAAGCTTTAAAATTTATTATCAGTTTTTGCAAGAGAAAAAAAATTTCTTCAACAATTAATATTAATTGATTTAATAAATTAACTAATTTCATGATATTCTATTGAAAATTTTCGTTATAATCCGAGTTTAGAGATCAATTAATAATAAATTTATAAACTATAACTAAAAATTATTAAAACAATTAGGAAATCGGTTGACCCCCAAGGCCATTCCTGCAACTTCCCGCTAATTCCATAACTAAGCGCTTAAAATTGCACTCATGACATTTTTGAGCTCTTCAAGCATACATACAGACACCATTGCGGGAATAGTCAGGGAAGCTTTCTAGGACCTCAAAACGTCGAGATCTAATGAAAACTCGATTTTCGAAAAACAGGATAATATACTATTAATTTCCCGATTTTTGAAAATTTTCAAAATTTTCTTAGCGGGAAGTTCTTTCTAAATTGTTTCGAATGAAAAATGACAAAAACAAATGGTAAATAGAAATATTACATTTTCATAAATAATTTATTTTGAAAGAGGGTTGAAAAGGAGAACAAGATGGAAATCATGCAGTTTTTAAACGCAAATGCTGTTGATTTATTACTTCATTCAAACCTAAAAAAATAAGACAAATGTTGGAGTAAAATATAAAAAATGTCTACTGAAATATATATCATTTAATACTTTTAACAAATTTTCAGAACTAAAATTTTCTAAAAGTTAAACACTATTTCAAAAAATAAATAAATATGTTCGTCTTCAATATTTTTATTCATAATAGTGTCTCTGGAAAATAAGGAAAAGAGACTATCCAAACTTAAGTAGTATGATCTCTTCAAAATTTTTAATATACAATACTAACTTTTTTCATATAAGTTCTTTACTTAGTTGTTTTATTTTGATTAAATTCTATAAGTTTCATGCTTCTTATTTATTAATATATTCACAGTCAATAATTTGAAAACCTAATCCAAAAAATTATCCAAAAAAAAAAATACGTCAAATTCATTCAAATAACAAATGTAATTTCAAGTACTAAATTTAATTTCCCTCAGTTAAAGAATTTTAATTTACGACTAAATGTCTTGGAGAAAAAAATCAATATTTTCTAGCAAAAGTTCCTCAGAAAAAAACTTTCCACACCTCCGAATCGTTTCGTATTTTATTGCTCCGTCCTACTTTATATATTTTTTACGAAAACTTCAAAGTTCCATTGTGATGTTTCATTCTATGTAAATATATTCAATATTAAATATTTTTAATTAACTTTATAGTTATTAAACCAGTTAATTAAAAAGAAGTTCATGTCAATGCTCGACCTTTGCGTCGGTAAATGAAATTGCTGGTTACTGTTTAATAAACAATTAATATTTATCGATTGAAATAGTAAATTAAAATCTAAAATTAATTTCATGAAAATGACCGCTGACATTTAGCGGCGGAATTTGAATTTCTAGCTTCGATAACATTAGCAAAAAAATAATGAAAAAAAGTATTATAATAAATTTACCCGGCGTGGAACTGCTGGCATGCTGCTTGTCCTCCCACGGTGCTGTTGTCGATCAGGTCGTTGAGTTCTTGAAATGGTTCCCGGCCCGGCGGGACTTGTAGGACTTGAACTGAGATGTTGAGATGTCGATGACGTTGCACCAGGACTTAGTGCACTTGTCGGGCGTGTTGGGCTGCGTGGTGATGGGGATAAATGACCCCAGGGACCAGCTTCTGTCTGCAGAAATCTGCAATGAAACACAAGTCACTTAAAAGTTATCGCTCAAGACTTGCAATATTGCGTCTAGTCTTGTCGTTAAAGTGAATCCACTGTGACGTATAAAACGCGCACTTCTACGAGGTTCATGGTTCAGACTTTATTGCGATACACTATATAATATCGTGCTTTACTTGATATTGTGTACTTTATCATGGCATATACATACATTCGTACATACTTAACAGTCTGATATAATACGTCGTTAAAAACTATAAGGTTCCTCGAGTATATTCGTCATGAGTGTCATGACCATTTATTACTCAGTTTATAGCATAGATTGACAAAAACAAAAATTTTTATTATTTATTTTATAGAAAACTAAGTTATGAAATTGGATTAAAAAAATAGTATGTATTGCATAATTTATAAAAACATTAACGTTATTTATTGACGTATTATCTCAATATTTAATATTTATGTACTTTTTATGTCATGTAAGTGCAGCATAGACGGTAGAGATGATTTACAGGAAGTCTACCCAACTAAATCTAAGAGCGATAGCGAGTCATGACCAATTTTTACACTTAAGGGTTTGCGATCTTTCCATCATGAATCATTTTTCGTAACCAATTTTTTTAGTATTGGCCAAAAAATCCGACTTTTCTTATATTTTAAGTCTTCCATGAAAATCATTTAGTTTATCAGATTTTAAGAACACTCTCAAAAATCAGCTCAAGAAAAATTTTTTAGGGATCATTCTAGATTTTAAAAAATTATCAAAGTCGTCAAAAATTAAATTTTTTTTTCATTTTTAATTTTATTTTCCCGTCATTGTAATTTTTTCTTGGTTGAAAAATTATGTAAATATTTTGAAAATTTATTGGTTGGTTAAAATTTTAAAGCTAAAAAATTTTTTTTATTTTTTTAAAAATTAGAATAAAATTGAAGGTTACTCTTATGATTATACATGAATATTGATAAAAATAAAAAAATTACAGGTCATGATCTCCATGGAGTGACTTGATTTGTTATTAAATGTCGGATAAATATTTGTCAATTAAAATATAATAGTTATAATTATATTTTTAACTTTTATTTGCATATTCCGTGCTTTATTTCTTTCTTTCAATATATCAACTTTAGAAAAAAAATTTAGCCATCGAAAATATAAATCATTGAAATATTAAATCATACAACAAAATTTTGTCATTTTCGAAGAAAAAATGTATGCAATTTGTTACATCAATTGCGAAATAATCTCAAGATTTATGCAGAAACAAATCTACGTGAGAGTAAATATTAGACTTTAATATCTTTTTGAAGAATAAATTTCAAATATACCATTATTTTTTTCGTCAAGTATATTAAAAATAAAAATTTTGCTTTGTATTCCATAAAGTTATTTCTATTTTAATTATCTTTCACCTCTCGTTGCTTTCCGCAGCGATGAAATACGTCCTTTTTATCTGAATAATTTTCTTTAAAAAATTCTTTTAATGAGTTGAAAATGCTCTCGTTAATTGACAGTGAGATTAAATGAAATCTTTCTTTAACACAAATACCACGGGTGAGTCAAAAGCTTTGAAAACTGAAAATTCAATCGACTTTAAAAAAACATTTTATTTTTACAAGCCAATCAATTAATGTTTTTATTGTTTCCAAAAAAATGTTATTTTTAAAATTATCAACGTGTACTACAAATATCTTCACCGAAATTCATAAAATACAGCGAATTAATATACAATTTTAAAACTATAAAAAAAGAAATATTTTTTAAGATCTTGGCTATTAACCGAAATGTTTATCGATTACTATAAATTATCATTATCAACAATACCTTGGGAAAAATTAAATATGAATCACCTGTGTAAATCTGGCGTTGGACGGGCTACCGCAATACTAGAACTTCGTCTACGAGAAGGAGTTGGCGACTTGGGACCAGCTTCAATACCCATTTTATCCGGTTGTCCATTTGTAGAAACTGATGTTCGGTGTAACCGGACCTCTATTTCACTGCTACGTCGTTGGAATGTACGTTTGGCCCATCTTCTACTGCCGCCTTTTATCTCGCTATTATCCGTTTTCCTGTAATATTTATTAATCATTTTCTTAATTGACACTCTTAAAACAATATATATTTATATACACCTTAAACATCTATAAATCAATCTTTATATGAAGTAACATAAATTTCAATTTTCATATACGATACAACGCAGAGCAATTATTCATGTGCTCTCATATTCCATCTCATCGTTGTATTTTTATGTGAAAAAAATTACTTAAGGAAAACATTAATTTACATTATTCATGATTTTATTTCCACATTAGTTTTATTTTTATCATTTCACTAAAAGTAAAGTTTTAAATTTTACTACAGAAAGTAATAGTTTTTTAATTCTTACAAAAATTTCTGCTAAAGTGAGATTACTTTTTCTTACCAATTTTCAAATTACTGATCACAAAAAAATATCAGTGGTAGAAGAAGTAAACAATAAAAATCCATTTCCTAGTAGAATGATTTTTTATAAATTTATATTTTATAACGAGAAATTTTATTTTTAGTGATATAAACATAAAGTTTTTATTAATTATAATAAGTTATTTTTATCTGACTTGTAAATTTTCCAAATTTATTTTGACTTCATGAAAGATTCTATATTTCTAAATAATTATTTCTAATATTATTTCATTTGTTTACAAAACAAATACATCTCTCCCACTTTAGTATAGAATGTATTCGATAATAATCTAGTGACGCTAAAAATATTAATCATTTGTTGTGAAGAGATAAATATTACACTGTAAAAATTTTTTTGGACCCGGTGTAGTGTAAATGAGTCGATGGGGTGTGGATTTAATATTTCCACACCGTCAACCGTATAAATGTATAATAGGGTGGGTCAAAAAAATCGATTTTTTTTTTTTTAACTTCTAATATTGAAAAGTTGGTTCTCAGGCACCTCTAGAAAATGCTCACCAAATTTGAGCTCTTAATATTGATAGGAAGCTTATCCGCATCACAGTTTTATATTTTTTGTTAGTCTCTTATAAAAAAGATCATATATCTCACTATTGATCAATTTTTTAATCAAATCTTTATACATGTTTATGTGGAAAATTGAATGATCTACAAAAAAGATTTGATATGTGTAAGCGATTACATTAACCATTTCAAAGATATCCGAGGTCAAAGTTCAAAAAATTTATCAAAAAAAAATTTTTTTTTTTTTAATTTCCTACCAAATTGGAAAATAATAGTTGTCAAATGAATATGCCATAATTTTGTAGGAAAATCAACGCTCTACAAAAAAGGTCTGATATGTTAAATTGATTACTACAACCGTTTAAAAGATATTCGTAACCGAACCCCAATGCTTTCTGATTTCAAGAATTTTCTAATAACTTTTTCAAATATATCCATTAAATTCATGAATTATAGATATTTTCATAAAAACTTTAGCTCATATTGCTAGAATGAAAGTTTTTAACTATTTTTTACCCTATTCACAAATGTAAGGAAGCTTTACTTTTGGACAAAGAGAATGATACGTCCGTTTTTATTACTTACAAGGAAAGGTTCCCAGGTTTCCAGCTCCGATTTTGATGCCATTGAATNACATATTAAATCTTTTTTGTAGATCATTCAATTTTCCACATAAACATGTATAAAGATTTGATTAAAAAATTGATCAAGAGTGAGATATGATCTTTTTTATAAGAGACTAACAAAAAATATAAAACTGGGATGCGGATAAGCTTCCTATCAATATTAAGAGCTCAAATTTGGTGAGCATTTTCTAGAGGTGCCTGAGAACCAACTTTTCAATATTAGAAGTTAAAAAAAAAATAATCGATTTTTTTGACCCACCCTAATGTATAATATAATTCACGATAATTTTGGGTTCAGAAATTAAATATCGACTCTACACGCTGAAAAATTTATGGTTATTTCCAATTGTCAAATTGCAGCCATCTGTATTTGTAATCATGTGCTTCACTCTTCTGAGATTCTTAAGAAGAAATAGAGAAGAAATTAAAAATTTTAAATTCTATTTATATATAAATACATTAATTGATTGATAGATAAATACATAATATATGTATTATATTTAATCGAGATAAATGATTATAAAAATGTTCAACAAACTATTTAATATACAAATAATATTAATATAGTTATTAATTCAGGATAAAAATTAAGTAATTAAAAATATTCATTGACCAATTGTAGCTCATTAAATAGGAATATATATCGGATAACACGCAATGGTGTAGAAAATAAATTACGCCGTGTTGAAATTATACGGATGAAAAATTTACACCGAGAGAATTTTACACAGTTATTTCACATACACGACCGTGTAAAGTGCTCCGGGTCCATTTTTAGACCGAAATTTTTTACATTGTATACATATTGAACTTTACAATACTTAGTGTATTAATTAAATGAATTTTTGATTTATTTAATTGTTTAAAAATTAAAGAATTTAAAAACTGAAGCTTTGAAAAATCAGTTAGTCATCATAGTATAGTGAGATCAAGGCTCAGTATCGTGTCTCAAAATATCCTGCCAAAAATATACTGTCCAAAAATATCCTTAGACAAATGTGGTAAATTTTCTTATAAATAAATTTTATTTTATAATTACTATTCTTGTTTTTTTTATGTGATTATGATTTTTATACATTTAATTGCATTTTTTTTTAAATAGAATGTGTTTCTTTTCAATTTATTAGCTGAAAATATTTTTAATTGGATATTTTTCGACAGAATAATTAATCCTAATAGATCAATCATAGTTAGTAGTTTTTGGAAATTTTATTTTTAAAAACTCATCAAAAATTTCGGCAAGACTTTCAGCTTTTAAGAAATTTCGTATTTAACGTGTACTTTTTGCCATTAAAATTGATTTTTAACTTCCCTATATGAAAATCAGTGATTTTTAAAAAATCAAATCTTAATTTTTAATCAAATCTTCACGTTTAGAGGTCCTAGGAAGCTATTTTGACTATTCCTTCGAGGATGTCTTTTCGCGCGCGCGCGTGTATGTGTGTGTATTCAGCTCGGTATACCTAAATCTATAAATTTTGAAAAATCTCAAAAATAAAATTTTCAAAAAAATGTTTTTTTGAGATAACGTTTAAGAAAATGTATTGATTAATTCCAAAAACTAACCAGCTCTTGACTTAAAAAAAAAAAAAAAAAAAAAAAAAAAAAAAAAAAAAAACATTGATTTCCGTAAACTGCATCAAAATCGGTTCATTCGTTCAAGAAAAATCGTTGTCGAAAAATCTTGATAAAATTGTTTTTCTAATATAATTTAAAAATTTCTTCTTGATTCGTTTAGCGAGTAGAAAAAAAATCTATTTGAGATTTAAAAACTGCGTTGATTGCTGTAAACCGCATCAAAATCGGTTGATTTGTTTGAGAGATATTTAACTTAAAAAAATTTCAAAATAGATCTTTTTAACATAACTTAAAAATTTTACGTTGAAAAACTGCGTCAACTCTGCTACAAGTCCTATCAAAAACGTTTGATTGCAATTAAAAATTTTTAAAAATTATGTTCTCAACAACCACTAAAATTTCGAACTTAAAAAGCTCGAAAAAGAATAAAAGTTGTGTTTTCGGAATAGATAATTTGTCGAGCGTTTTGAACTTATACATAGCGGGAAGTTCCTGGGATATGGCCTGGAGGGTCAACCGTTTTCCAGATCTTTTTTCCTATTATTCAGGGCTATTAGTAACACTTCAATTTTTCAAAATAATGACAATAAATTTTTTTACAAGATATTTTTAGAATAGATTATCCGATTGAGATCTAGATTGCGACATTCGAAGGGGTTCACCGAGACTTAAACGTAATAAGATTATTGAATAAGTGACATGAAACATTTAAAAATTTTATATTGTGAATGCACAAATAAAAGTCTAATAAATTTTTCAAAATCAAAATCCTCGAGCTACAAAATTTCTTTTCCAAGGCAAAAACAAAATCAGGGGTAATTCACCCTAAGCAACAGCAAAGTAAATAAATCAACTTGGTCGTAATTTACAACAAACAAGAACATTGCCCTTACGAAGAATCAAGATCCTCGTAGACAAGACAAACAAAGAAATATTTATACTACAAATTACCTAGGGATAAGTTTATCTTCCAGCATGGTGGATAAATCATCGGTGTCTTCGTTTAATGTCGCAAAAAAATCTTGAAATTTGTCAGGAAAACTGCTTGGAGGACATGTGGTGGTCAAGGACGATTGAACCACATCTGGACGTGAATTACATGGATGGGATGATGATCGCTCATTACCCTGATGATATCTCGTTACCGTAGATGTAGCCATGCCGTTAGAATCCTCGTAATGTTCATTATACCCAATAAATTTAAATGTTGCCTATCAACTTACACTTTGTGGGAGGTATATAGTGTCTATAGTTCTATTCACCAAATAAAAATAAAAAAAACTCTTTTTCTCATTTTCTTCATCTCTATCTTCATATATTATACCATCAGATTATTTATTCTCACATCGATCTACATTAAACCTTATATATGTTCTGCTAAGTAATATTATCTGAACGTCTATTACGGATAGTATTTCTGTACAACAAACCGTTCCTTTGGGTATTAACCACTCAGCAACCTACGCTCCGAAGGGTTGCGATTCTGAGTAAATTGGACATAAACTTGAAGTTGATGATATAAAAAATTCAACTGTTATTTTTATTTATTCATTCCTTTACCATAAATAAGTTAAGTTTACTCTTAATCCAATTTTTTTTTCTAGTTTATTCTTTATCAGTAAACCAATTTTCAAAATTTATTTTTTATTTTTCACAGATTAAGCATTAAAATTAAAAAATTATGTTCGGAAAAACTATGAATGGTGAATTTCAAGTCCTGAGACCGACGGAAATAATATGCGGTATGTCGCGCAGCACTTTCAACGGAAAACTGAATCCCGAGCTCGCGTGGTTGTTGATACTAGTTACTCACTCTCTTCCCGGACCCTCTCGCTCTATCAGCTTGGTATCTCTTTCTTTCAATGGGGGTTGAAAGCTCGGGAGAGGGTTTAGCTTGTGAATAGGTGGGTTCTGAATGTACATATATAATACCAGTTCACCCTGTGTATTCGCGCACGCGTGACTCCAAATTCAACTAGCTGATTTCTGGTATAACGAGAGAATGGGAAATACCGTGGAATATGGAACGAGAAGAGGAGAGGCAGAGGGATAAAAGTATAAAGAAAAACCAGGTATGGATACACACCTATCGAATTATCAGACAGATTCATTTACAGTCGATTAATTAATTTATATGATATTAATATTCGCATAAACGGTTCTAGATTATTGATAATTTTTTATTTTTTAGCTCCATTTTGATGAATTTGGAATTGAAATTGATGAGAATAATTAAGTGAAAAAAATATTATTGAAATTTCCAGTAAAAATCAGTAGATGGTAGATCAAATAGTTGGCCAGGTTCGATGGTTTTATCGACTCTGCGAAAAGCTCAAGCCACGCGTTATATTCCAATATAAATGTTGACTATTAATACTTTTGATACTGGAAAATAGATAATGCGATAGAGATTATGCCATGAACATGTACCGTTTTGGGGGATTTGCTGGTATTTTATGAATTACACTCTTATTATGTTCGTGGTAATATTTAATTACATAATGAGACTAATGTCTTTTTTTAATTTTTATATAGTTATTAATTGAAGATTGTAACGCAACGTAGTAGAATGTTGTTTATAAATTAATCAAATCAATATTTTTGATATTTTTTTAAGTAATTACTTCTTGGTCTTCCGATTAATGTTAATTCTAATTACATTGATGATGAACCACTATGGTTTATGTTTTCATTAGGAATTAATAAAAATTATTTGATTAAAAAAATTTTTTTAAGAACTTGAAAAATTAATTCAAGAAGAAATCGATCATATAAAAGTATATAAAATTATACATGTTTGGACTATCAGATGCTGCATTCAAGTTTTTTTATATCCTGTGAATTCAACTTTTAAAAATTTTGTATAATTTTATGTAATCTAATCATAGAGTTTTTTTTTTTTATTATAAAAACAGAGAATAGAATTTTTGAAAATTATATTGAATGTTCACTATTTTTATTTTTTTTTTAAGTTTTGATTATAAATAGTTGTCCAAACGGATATGAGACATGTTTATGTTGATAAATTTAGCAGGATAGAATGTATATGCAATCTTGTGTAATAATGGTTAACTAGATATTATTATATATAATCATATCTGGTTATAGTATACAGTTAGCTCCTGCCAATATTTGGATTTAATTAAATTTAGCTATTAGTTATAATTATATGTGATCACATCTGCTTATATTTCTCCAAAATATATTTTGAGATTACTATTGCGTAATGAATATTAGTTGATTTTATTTTCACGAAATTATTACAATTATTTATTCACACTGTGAAGCTGTATTGATAGAATTATTTGAATACAAATAAGATTGCATAAGAATATAAAGTTTGATTTTTAATTTTATTCGTGAGAATACGTTAGGGATTATTCAATTAAGGTCAAGGAGATTCGACGTAGCTTGCAGTCTGAAAGGGGATTATTGTAAAAGAACAATGTTATTATTTAATTTAATATAATTTATTGAAAGTAGTATATTGTGTGCTGAAGTATTATAAAAATAATAACGATAATATTATTATTGATAGATCCGATTAAAATTTAATTATTCTGTACAAAAATGTTTAGAAAAATTAACCATCAAGAAGAAATATTTAGAAACGCAATTTCAATGATCCTCTGTTCGTAAATACGTTTCGACACGAAAAATAATAATAACTACAGAGAAAGTAGTAGTTATATTTATATAAAAATGGAATTAATAAAAAAGATAATACATTGTTGATGAAATTTTCTTTTTTTTTTTTATTTATTAGTTAATCACTTTTTGATGCGTTCAATTTGCGGTCACACGCTTAGCTGACAAACAAATTATAATCAACTTATCTCATGTAGCGATCGATGAGATCGTAATCGAGTTATTTGACAGCTATTTCTATAACCGAAAGTGAACATGCAGAGACAAGAAATATAACGAAAATTAGTATATTTTTTTGTCAACATTATAACTTGTAAAAAGTTTTTTTTTCATCTTTGATATTTACGATGAGCACAAATTTTAATATACACGGAGAAAATTTTTTAGTAGAGTTTATTATCTAGTTATGTTAAAATTTATTAACTGAATTCAATAGTAGTAAATATTATTTAAATAATTAAGTAAACCATCTGAATTGTAGTATTTACCATCCTGATGGTAATCAGTAATAATAACTGTTATTATTTTAATTAGTTACTACTATTATCAAAATCGTAATTATCCTAATATAACCTGATGGTTGCAGTTACCATCAGTAATAATAATAACTACTATCTAAGCTAGTAAAAAATATTTAAAAAATTAAGAATCTGCGTTACCGTGGATATGCATTTCTGAATAAATAAGGAAAAGCAGCTGTAGTGCAGTGTAGTGCACAAAAAATCGGGATTAAATTCGGATTGAATTTATATTTAAATTTTTATTTGTCTAAAACAAGTTTCAACGCCAAATTTTTCAAAAAAAATTTGAAATTTCTAAAAAAAATCAAAATTTTCAATAAAATTCAAATTAAAATTTCAAAAAAAAAATTTTAAATCTTCAAAAAAATCGAATTTTTAAAAAAAAATTTCGAAGGGAATTTAAAATATTTTAATATTTCAAAGAAAAAAATGTACATTAGCTAAAATATAGATCTAAATAAAGGATTTAATTAAGTAAACTTATATTATTTTTCTTTCAGAATTTTTACAATCTGAGATGGTTACAGTTACCATCTTCGATTGTAACAGTTATAATTTATAATTATTACAATCATTACCATTATTAATAGTAACTATTACAATTGTCAATGATACCACCTATTATTTTGTTACTAATTAATTTTATAACCATTAGGAGTTACTATTTTTGTATAGTAGGTAGTATAATTAATTTTTCTCGGCCGTTTAGTTCTTATAAAAATGTTCTATCTCCAATAATTTTTTTATTTTTTCTAGATGATTTCTTTCTTTCTATACACCAGAACTTTAATTAAAAACAAAAAAAAAATCAAAAACCTACTATAATCATGAATCAATAAGAGAAGAAATTAAAAAGTATTGACACGAATTGGAATTGCATAATTTTTTATACGTTTTCATTTTTTTTCAATCAGTATAATCTTAAGAATTGATGACGGGCAAAAAATGACCAGAAAAGAATTGATATTTCTGAAAGCATTATATAGTTTTGTTTTCGCAAACATATTGGGGATTGAAAGAAATAGTGACGGTAACTGGACGAAATAACAGGAGGATGTCATAAATATGAGATTACCTGTGTGAAAGCTCGCGTGACTTTGAACATAACTACCACTTTCAATAATATGGAGTAATACTATACATAGTTTACTAACATCAGCGCATATACATATTAAGAGTACACTGCTCTCAATCGATCGACGAATCTCCCACTAATTATTACTATCATGGTTATTTTCTAGCGTGTTACTTATTATAAAAACTGATAAAAATATAGGAGGTCGTCGACTCCAATGTGTTTCAACCTTGTTGGAGTTGGTATACAATCGGTTTATCTCTAAGTATTAATAAATCATAAAAAAATAGTTTTTGATCCCTATGTTAGAATCGTAACAATTAACCAAGTTACTACGTAACATAGTCACGAAGATTTTCGTGAGAATTCTGTGCGAATTGGCTGGAAAAAATCTTGAAAATTGTGGCAAAAATATGAACGATCAGTTCATTCGATGCGGAATCAAATTTTGAGATGTTTCTTTATTTATTTATTGAAATTTTAATTTGTTATTGCTGAAAAACATAAACAATATGGTCTTAGCTTTTTCTAAATAAATAAATAAGTATAAGCAATATCAGAAATCTAGCAAAAGATAATTACAGAGGAGGAAATTTAAAAAAAAAGTTTCGACTCCTAGAACTCTAGTTCTATAAAAAAGCATTTCTATTTAGTGTTAAAAATTGAGTTTGACCGAATAAGCAGCGTGGAACTTCATATTGTTTATGTTTTTCGGTAATGATAAATTGAAATTTTTTTTTTTTTTATAAGTTTATTTAACGTCGTGCAGACATCATAGGTCCTTGGCGACGGCAATTATGTTACAGTGCGATAAATTATAATACATAGGGGACATCTATTAATTACGTGAGCTCAGAATGGGGGAGGGGGGTCCAATGAAATCTCACCAAATCTCATCTAAACCGAGGGGGGGATA